CTTAGGGCGCCATCCATGATCTTCCAAAATAGGAAAAAGCATTGCATGTGGGTGCCATGAAAGAAAAGCATTTTTTTTTTTATTTGTGTATGCCATACAGCATAAATTGTATGTTCATGCACAGGAAGTTACGGCAAAAGACACTGCTGACAAAGGCAGCCCCTTTCTTTGTAAGTGCATCGAGTTCTTCTCTCTTTGACACGCGCCCGTTTCTCATGACAGCCACTTCAATTTGGCGGTAGGTTTGTCAGCATATTGCTAGACCTCTCTTTTGTCTACTTTGGCAGTGGTGGGAATAGGCATTTGTAGACGTGATGCTCAGGAGGCGGCGACTTTGAATTTGCCACTCACCATAGTACGGAATCAAATTTTAGGTGTGCAGAAAAGTCCATGCTCGGCACCAAAGTGGGAATAAACTCAGTGTGATCCCTCGATTTTCGAGGTGTAGGTTAATGTTTAGATTATAAATAATAGATGAAAATAAAATTATTATAATTGTGATTTGTATAATATATTCAACTCGGTAAGTAATTTAATTATTTCTCTTAGCAATAACTTACTAATTTATTCACTAAGTCTCCATGAATGAAAATCGTACAATGAGTTGAAATTTGCCAAATGACCAGTAAAATAAGCTTGTTTGTCAGCTGGCATTTCCCTTTTATATATAAAATAGACCAGTTCCTCGTGAAAATTCGCTTCTGGAATTATTATTATTTTGTTGCCATTTATAATGATATACCATAAATGGTTTGAAACATCACGGTGATTACGGACTAATAAAACTATTGATAAGAAGCTTCAGTCACAAGTGGAAAAAAATAACTTGAACATTGTCGTAAAGTTTTAGAGCATATAATGAGCATCACTCAATATTTAGCTGAACGAAATTTCACTTTTAGAGGAAATACAGATACATTATTTAAACATTATTTAAAAAACAAGCGAATAAATAAATACTAAGACAATAAGAGTGCAGCGACATGAAAAGATATATAAAAATAGTCTCCATTTCTAATTATTAACAACTATAAATAAATGCACATAAATAAAGAGCATCGAATTGTGTGGCCTTTTTAAATTATTGATGTAATTTTTACATGTTTTCCTAATAAGAAGTCCTATTGTTTTACTTTTATTTTTCAGAGTTACTAGCTTATACCTATGCAATTTTTCTATCTAATATTTTGCATTTTTATAGGTCTCTTTGAAAAACCTGTAAATGGATCCTTGATGACTAAATTTTAAAAGAACTCTAAAGGTTTAACCCTCTCCATGCCAATCCACGACATGTCGTCAATTTGACTGGTTACATTTGTGCCAAGCCACGATATATCGTCAAAATAATGTATGTAATTTATTTCTTTGCTTGCGGCTATCAATCCGACTTTTATGTTCTCAAATGAAAGATAGCTTTTCTTCTTCTTTCCTGTTAGAAGTAGGGCTTGTTTAAATGTATTTTTCAAATAATAGTTCAATTTGTGTTGAAACTTTTTGTTGTAAACAAAGCAATGGCCACGCTGACTCCAAGAACATCAGCTATTGCTATACCACGTAGGTAGTCACGTTTGCAAACAAAAGAGCTTTTATTGCTAATTATTGATGCTGAAACATCAGATAATAACCATGAATCTACAATAAACATTTGAATCTGATTCCAGTGATGATTTTCAGCTACCTGACAGGTCAGTAAATGTCAAATGGAAATAGTAATAGAATGGTGATAGTGATAGTAATAGTGGTGACATTTTTTAAAATATAAAAATATCACATATGTATAGAGCCTAGAGAATGGATTACAAAAGCTCCAAGATCAACTTTCTAGCTCAAGTGGTTCAAAAGTTATGAATTTTTTTCATAACCACTTTGTTACTATGACAACAGTGAGGATTCAGATAATACTACTCCTAACGTTACAAAAATGTGTATAACTCTGTCACTAAATGGAATATTTTCAAAATGTAAATTGCATTTTGATCAAAAATGGATATACTTTCTAGCATTGAAGCAAAATATGATACCAGCTACACAGATCATATGGTGTAGACTGGTAAGTTCAGATTTGGTGTGAATACTTTTTAAAAATTTGATCTCATAATATTACCAGAAAACTATTGTCATATTGTTTTATCTGTTACATATTATTATTCTCTGTCTAATTTCCTTTAATTTGATATGAAATACAGCTACCTTGCTAAAAGAAAGGTATTCAAAATTAATTAATTTATAAGAGCACCTTAAAAAACTTCGATTGACCAAAAAATGGTCTGGCACAAACATGGAAAACCCTTTAGCATGGAAAGAATTAAGGCATTTAGAGATGGTGGGCATTTTTATTTTGTTTACTTTAGGTCTACTTTGTGGTAATTTTTGTTTTTTTTTTTTAAATGTTTATGGCAATGTCATTAGTAATAGGCTTTAGATTTTCCCTTTCTTTTTTTTTAATCATAGATTCCACACATGAGGATGTTCATTGCCAACCTGGAGGAGATCAACAAACAACCCAATGAAATTGACAATGGAGAAGATGAAGTGTTGCTAGGGCTCCAGTGCCTGAACCACGAACTGTGTCCACCATATTTTGAGACAGTTTCTGTTCTATTGATAGGATTTTTATCTGTCTAAAACAAGCTTAAATATTTATACTTTCAGCTGGACACGGACCCCATCTGTTGCTGTGGATATCTATATTGCATCAGATGTTTTTAAGTTTTGTATTTAACTTTAAATGTACCAGTACAATAGTATTGACAAAGGTGGAGTTCCATTTAATAACTTTGATATAAAATGTTCTGAATAATGTTTTTTGTGTTTGGAAACTTTATTTATTTTAGATTTCCTGATTATCACTGTCAAATGTGTACTGTAAATTTCATTTAATTAGCATTATTAGTTTAAAAGTTATGTTTAAAAATGTACATTAATGTCAAGAGAATAGCATGATTTTAATTGCCTTTGTCTTTTTAATATGTGAATATTCGATTACATTTGGATTGTCACTTTCTGTTTGTACTGAAAATTTCATTGCAGTAGCTTTATTAGCTCAAACGTTATGTATTTAAATGTAAAAAATGTCTCAGCCGAGGTCGTTTGTCATGGAATATTTTTTCTAATATTGCATATATTTTTTAATTGGCAGTGTCTACACGTCTGGTGCGCCGGACGTATATCTCTATTTGTCCGGCGACCAAGTTACATGACCGCGGAAGAATACTTTATAGAGATTTCCGTCCGGCGCACATGTCACATGACCGCCGTAACAAAGTGGTGCAAGATATTTTTCCGTCAGCCTTGTCACGTGACCGCGAATGATTCAAAACTATTTTTAATTTAAAATCTATTTCTCTACCAAGTCATTTACTGAGTATCTTGCAAACAAATAATAGAAAAAAAATACTTGGTTATATTACCAAACAAAGTGGGGGTTAAGCAATAATGCATTCTAGAGGGAAGCAATGCTAAAAGGGAGAGAGAATTACGGTAATAAAAAATACGAATGAGCTAAAAAAATAATACTGAGGGTTATAAATAATTAAGTTTAAGGCGGGGAGGCCGATAGTTCACAAAAAATATACCCTTCAACTTAATATAGGGCCAATATAGTGTTAGCCTAGCCTACTTGTCATGCAATACTAAATACTAATCCTGAAATACAACTTTATTGGCATAGGTCTATTGAAGTCTACTGGTCTTATTTTATTTGGTTCATATTTTAAATTTAGGCTTCAAGGTGGAGCTTTACAAGTACTTGCACTACTAATTAGTATATAGGTCGACTAACATGTTCAGCATTTATTTATTATCTAGGGATCGGAATATCAAATGCAATGCAACTATTTTGCCGGCGACAACTAGTCACATGACCTGCCGGAATACTAATGCCTACTAGTCGCCCGGCGGTCACGTGACATGCCCGCCGGACGTATATCTTCCACGCTATGTGTCAGGCGTGCCGGACGTTTAGACACTTTGTTTTTAATTTGCATTTTATTTATTTTAAAATTTGCCTTACTTTTAGATGGACATTATTACTTTTAGATGGACATTATCTGTTTGTACTGTATAAATAAATTGTTCGGCAATTCCCGATATCCACGACACGACCACAACATATGCTCATCAAATCCTATTTTATAAAATATAAATATAATAAATTAGGCTAATTCACAATTCATGTGTTTTGTTAACCATTGTATATTAAATATCTCCTTCAAATATGAGCACTTTAACTTTAATAACCAAAAAGATTCAAACAAAATAGTACCAAAAAAAAAGAGTTGAGTCTGAGTGATTATTCCATCAGTGGTTTTAAATAATACAATGCTAAACTGTGGGGGAAAATAAATCACTAAAAAAATCATTGGAAAGCTTAAAGCCCGCTTTTTCCAATGATATCCTATGTCAGTATTTGTGCATATCACTTTATCAGATAGATGTATTTGAAAATTGAGTTGGAGTGCCTTTATAATTTATAGTACTTTACTTCTTTTACTATTTAATATATGAAAGAATTTGGTGTCGGAGATAACCAAATATATTTTCTTAACAGTAAAACGAGGTGCAAAGAAATCTTTGCATGTTTCAGTATACAAAGACAGACACTGATGACAGACATCGAAATTAAAATGTGTAATTTACTACTTACAAAAGTTGTACCCCTCGAAGCGTTAAGGAGGATGACATTTTGAGTTGTCCTTCGTAAGCCAGGAAAAATAAGCATTTTTGTATAGAAACTGATTTGTAACGTTAAACTTTATAAAGTGCCACATTTAGTCATAGATAAAAACAAAAAAAAAGCATCAAAAAAAGATTCCTTTTACTTTGTAATTCAAATATTTATAATAATATAAATATAATCAATCTAGAGGGAGCAAAATTAAATCTGATTTTGTTTTATATTAAAGTCTATTTTTGGCTTCAAGACTTTGAATTCTTCTCAATCTTCTGTTCAGAAAATTATGAAAATAAATATCAATATGCCAGATTGTAACATTTATAAAGGGGAATTCCTATGCATTTCCTGCTTTACCTTATTTACCCAATTTAACATAACTATCTGATCTGAAATTAGTGATGTAAGCATAAAAAAGAAAATCTATTGGAGGTTCTTAGGTAAGCTCCGAATTTCTTTGTTGTATAATGTTTACTTGATTATATTATAATCATTTACTATTTTAAATTTAGTCTTATCAAGTTTTCTAAGTCACACTAACTTTTACTTTTACTTAGAGTTCAACTCAATATCACTGATCACTAACTAACTACTCTTACTACTCTACTAACTAGTGACTATTGACAATTGACTAAGTAAAGTCCAATGAATGATATTTTAAAATATTTATTATATTTATATATTTATTTCTAATATAGGCCTAGTTAAGTTAAAGTTTAAATAGTTTGGGCTAGGCTCTAGGCCACGATATTTATGATGTCAGTCAATATTAATAATTATGTTATACTTAATATTATTAAAATTGATCTGTAATCTGTATACTATTAAATAATATGCAGAGATTTTATCGCTATAATTTTTAAGTGTCAATTAATATTGACAAATAATTTTTTCCTTTATTTCTTTTCATTTATTTTCAGATTGCTTTTAAACAATGTCTCAAAAAGGACCATGCCTAACAGAACAAAAAAAATCTATGTATGAAATTAGAGCAGATGCTGCTATAATTCTTGAAGAATTCTTAAAGAAACATATTGCTGAGAATGATTTTAGAAATTCTGCAGTTACAGGGCGAAACAAAAGCGATCCACTCTCAGAAAGAACAAAAGTTTATGTGGGGCATAAAAGAAATGGTGTTCCACGCAGCAAAACAATGCCATCAAAAACAGATTCCCAAGAGAAGAATGCAGAAAATCATTCAAACAACAATGGAATGCCACGAAGTAAAACAATACCATTTGAAAATGACCCATCAAAAGTTAATGATCTGAAACGTAAAGATTCAGATTCTTCTTCTGATAAAAATGTTCGCATTCATGGAAAAAGCATGGAAAATGGCTTTGAGTCTTCTGCAGATTCTGATGGTGATCCAGAAGAAGTTTTGTCCAACAGGAAAAAGAAAAGTGCTTTCAAAAAAGCTAAGCAGAGGCTCCGCCATTGGTTCCATTTAAGTACTAGAGACAAGAAAGATGGTTTAATGACAGGGAGTGAGCAAAATACCCCCACAGTGACAAAGAAAATTAAGAAAAAGTACTCTCTAGATGACCATGGTCACACTCACAGAGCTGACTCTAAATATTCTACATTAGATACGGTAAATATTCATGCTCAGGGTCAAGCCGATAAAGACTCCCAAAAAAATGGAAGAAAATCTTCTTTCTTTGGCTCTATCCGCAAAACACAAAAAATTAAAGCAGCTGTGGCCAGTGAAAGTAAACCAGGTAAAGAAATATTATAATTCTATTTAAAAAATGATAGGTTGTTTTTCCGTCTTCTTCTCCTGATGCCTTTTCACCCCGTCTGGGACATAGGCCGTCCACAGGAGTTTTCCATTCATCACGGTCCTGTGCTTTCCTTTCCAGTTGCTTCCAGGTGTATCCTATATTTTCTGCGTCTGCCTCTAGCTCGCATCTCCATGTTTTCTTTTGCCTTCCTCTCTTTCTTTTTCCCTGTGGATTCCATGTTAGGGATTGTCTGGTGACACTATCTGGGGGTTTTCGGAAAGTATGCCCTATCCACCTCCAACTTCTCTTTATGATGTCTTCATCAATGGGCACCTGGTAAGTCCTTTCTATTAGATCTTTTTTAGTGATGGTATTTGGCCATTTGATGTTCAGGATGTTTTTCTTAATATGTTGTGAATTCTTAACATACATTTTCAGCTTTTTTTTCACATAAAAAATTTTGAGAATAAATAACTTAGATAAAGGTGGATATTGTTAGTTGTAAATAACTTAGATAACGATGGATATTTTTAGTTGTAAAATTGTAACTTTTCTAATTTGTGTATTAACATAATTCATTGCATTGATTGTACATATTCATATTCAGCATATTAAATAAAACCACAGGCAAAGAAAAAATGTGCTCATTGACTTATCAATTGTACTGAGATAATAATTGAAGGAATGCATTGGTGAAATGTATACATCTTATAGTCCTGTCTTTTAATTCAAGCTTCAACATATCTTGCTATACTATTTTAATTATACTAAGCAGCCATCCTGTGTGGTCAAATGCCCTTACTGACTAAGAATTGTCTATAGCACACTGGTAATTCCTGACTGATTGAGGAACAAATAAATTATTTGTATATCCTTTGGTCTTTTCTTTGAAGGAATGTATTCACCCTCATCATGCTAATCTTAAGTAACTATGATGTAGTGGGTAGGATTTATTATTCAATTATAAATTTTTTGTTAACAAATCCTTTTTCTTTACATATTTCATCCAGTAATGGTTGTTTTCTTTGTATTATATTGCTTGTTTTATTAAAATTAAAGTAGGTAAAAGTGCTGATCATTATTTTTCTTTACCTGATACACTTAAGAATGATGTTATACATTTTGTTTATTGATGAAGATGAATTTTTCGTGGGTGTCTTAAAGAAATAGGTCATCACAAATATATAACCCCCCACCCCAATTTTAATTTTTTTGTTGTGTAATAACAGTAACGGAATGTATTTTTTTTATTTTTCAAAGGTAAATAAAAAAAGTATCTTGCAATCTAAATTTTAACTCAGGGTCAGGACCTAAAAAATAGGTCATCACAAATAATTCCCATGTGATATATAGGTCTCTCTCCCCCCCCCTCCCCAACATTTCAAATGTTTAGTTGTGTAATAACTACATACTTTTTTTAATTTTTCAAAGGTAAATAAAAAGGTATCTTGCAATCTAAATTTGAAATCAGGGTCAGGACAATCTGTAGTTAGGATTATTCCAGGTTTAACAGGCTAAGACTTATGCTAGAAAAGAATGGACATGTAATCTCTTCAAAAATTATTATAACATTACTCCTTTTTTTCCTAGAGATTACAAGAGTTGAACTGGAGAAACCTAGGAGCAGTCTAGTGTCATTCCCCGCTATTGCTGGTGCAGTGGCACAGGGTCTCATTAACTTACCCACAGATAACAATCATCATCTTCCTGCTCCTCCACCCCCACCACCTGGCCAAGCATCACCCACAGATAACAATCATCATCTTCCTGCTCCTCCGCCCCCACCACCTGGCCAAGCATCTTCTGTATCAAAATCATCTAGTCCCTCACCCCTCAACATAGGGTCAGTCCAAGCAGCTAATTCAACTTCCTCTTCCAACTTCCCGGCATCAGATTATACTAAAGATGGTTCAAACACTAACATACTCTCTAGCGTTAAAAGCAACGCCCTTGATAGTCCAGGAGAGGACATTGATTATATAGATCTTGATGATTTGGCTAGTCAAACCAGTAGCAGTAAAGTTGATGTTAGGAGTGGGAGTAGCCCAAAAATGTTTAAAAAATTCCTTGGAAGCTCAGGATTACTAAAATTAAAATTGCTGGCTGAGTCAATTGGAAGAGAAAATGAGGAACAGGAAGAAATGGTTGATGGCATTTCTTCCTCAAAGATGACATCGCAAGCAGCAACAGACTTTCTAGATGAACTAGGCCATGGTTAGTATAATTTTTGTCTTTAAAACATTTGTTGCAGAATGTGTAAATTAAGTGCTGGTTTTAACAATTATCATTGATTCAGCTTGGCAAGAACCTGTCAGATGTCACTCCTGCTAATTGAAAGGTTACAAAAATATTTGTTATAAATTGATATTTTAATCTTTATATTATTTTTCCCCTCCTATTTTAAAAAAAAATTTACAGGCAACTTTAGTAATTTTATATGCCAATAGGCTTTTAAAATTTATTTTAAAACTTGTATTGTTTTAGTTTTAGCTGTTTGAAATTTTTTGAATTAAACAACCAGTTATCAACGTGCTTTGCTTATTATAGATGCTTTAGATGGACAGAACTCAGCTAAAGCTCAGCATCAGTCTGACAAAGATGAGCTATATGGAAAGATTGCTAAGAAATTGGCTGAGATGGCTGACTCCTATTCTGCAACTATGTCAGATCCTGAATCAAGAAGTGTGGCTGCTGTGCTTGCAGGTATTCCACATGATTACAAGAATATTCATTTTTTAAAAATATAAATCTGTTAAAATTTACGTTCACAAATATTTTAAAATTGTGTGCATCTAATTGTGCTTAAAGTACCCTAACTAAAATCTGAAACAATCCTTGGAGTTCAAAAAGCAGTAAATGGGTTTCTAGCTGTGTTTCAAATGAACCTCCATCTATTTTATCTTTTTGATACATTTTCAAAAAAAGCTGTTGTAAATTATAAGAATGTATAAATATATAAATGAGGAAACCTAACCATTTAATAAAGACAAAAATTTCACTGTGCAAGTTAAAAGTCTAAGGAAATAAATTATGTTGGCTCATCTGTAATTTTCTCATTATCATCTTATTAAACTTTATATTTTTTAAAACATGCTGCGTGGGTTATAAATATTAGTAATATAACAGATCTCAGAATTAAAGTTTAAACAGAGCACTATACTTCTTTTTAAGAAATTGAAATATAATTTTATCAGAATTTGTATTTTACTTAACTTTTGCAGCACCACCCTCTGAACTGGAAAAGGATATCATTGATTGTTTGAGATCCATTGGTGATAGGAATTCAGCTGTTGTAAGTGTAATGTTTTAATTTTTATAAAATTAATACAGAATGATCCCATTAATATTTTGGGATTGACATCTATGACTGCTGCCATTGATAGGAAAAATCCATAAACCAGACAAAAGTCCACATTTAAGTAGCAAGTACACCTAGGATTGTTACTAACAAAAAACTATTTTAAAAAATGTAACAGTTTGTTCTTAATACTATATATTATCCCCTTTCATTGTCCAATGAGTCTAATGACATTTTCTTCAAACATAATGTTTTATATAACCTATTGCTTTAACAGCTAGCATTTAAAGGGTAAAACTTAAAATTGCCTGATCACAGATTAAATAATATATTAGATCATATTAAAAATCATATCCATCCATCCATGTGGGGCTGCAGACTTAACTAATGCTTTTCTTTTCCATAATTGGATTCCCACCGGCTGTAGAGCTTTGTCCACATCATCAATCTAAGCGTAGGTCTGCTTTGAGCTGTTTATCTCTGAGGTTTTGGTGATGTACTCTCTCAACTCCTATGTCATTTGGTATTCTTTCTAAGTGTCCCACCCAGCATAGCCTACCCTTTTTTATTTCTGCTACTAGCGTGGGATCCTGATTTAGACTGTACAATTCCTGATTGGTTTGTATTTTCCAATCCATATTCATCCTTTGTTGGTCCATATATTTTCCGGAGAGCTTTTCTCTCTAATGTATTTAATTGGTTTTCTGTCATTTTTGTTAGGGTCCAAGTTTTCCTTGCATACGTTAAAACTGGTCTGATTACAGTTTTGTAAATAGTGTTCTATGCTTTTCTTGTAATGTTTTTACTTTTGGCTATTTTCTAACAACTGAAGTATGCCCTGTTTCTGGCTGATATTCTTTCTTTTATTTCTGTTAAGTAATTCGTTTCTTTCATTTAATAAAGATTCTAAGTATTTGAATTGATTTACTTTTTCAAAAGTCTGGTTTCTGATTTTAATGGCTTCATCTGTCTGTTCTTCTCATAACATAGTCATGTATTTTGTTTTTTGGTTGTTAACTTCCAGCTGTAGTGATGCATCTTCTAATTTAATGAAAGCTTTTGATTTGTCTTTACTACTTTTCCCTAACAGTTCTATGTCATCAGCATATGCTAAATATTGAAGGGGTTGGTTGTAGTCAGTGCCTATTGGTTGTGAGTCTTAATTTTCCCACAGAAAGTATCCAGTTATTATTCCTCTGGTGTCAATATGTATGCTACTTATAACTCTCTCATTGTAGTTTAATAGCTTACAAGACAGTCTCTCCTTGTCTTAGGCCTCATCTAATCTGATTAAAAGTCAAATATGGTACAGAGAATAATTATTAATAAATCTGGCACCAGTCCCACCTGTCTGCCAAACTTAAAAGTTTGGGAGGCAGTGCTCTAAGATGATTTCCCAAAGTTAGCTAGGTTAATTTGTTGGAGTTTATTTTAAATGAATTTTTTTTAAATTGTAACTGTTGTAGTGCATTTGATAAAACTGATAACATTTTTAGGGCCATTTTTCATGAAGTTGTTACATTTAGTCAATAAGGATTATGATCATGCTGGAAGAAAATCTTAGGAATGAGATGCTTAATGGCTTTTTTTTTGGAATGCTTATATCAAAAGGATGTATGAACATTGACATGATTTGATTTCTTTAAGGTCAACATATTGTGAAAGATTAATAAGAATTACAGAAATAAATGTTAAATTTTAATTAAAAAATCGTTTTGCAATTATCCACATTAGAATTAGAACACATATTTGGTTTTTGGATGCACCCTGTATTATATGGTTTGATTATTTTGCCAGTCAAAATCTATTATGACCATTTTAATCATCAGATACTTTCTGATTCTGGTTGTGGGTGAACAGATGGCTGATGAGACAGATTTTTTCATGAAATGTTTTTATGCAGTAGGTGCAAGGAATGGATGGGATACCTCCAGGTGCAGAGTTAACCCAGTCTGAACCATATCCTGTGTATATTTATATGCATACATGCACACACCTCTCTGTCATTTAACATTCTAAAAAAATTATGTTTCAATAGGTTGATGAAAATTTTGAAGCAGCAAGAGCTGAAGCCACAGAAGAAGCCTATCATAGATTCAAGAGCACCATTCAAAACTCTATGGGAAGTGAGCTCAGCTGGAATCATTTGGCATTTGTATTTTTCACAACAAAAGGTGTTATATCTGCTGTAGGAAAGGGAACAAAAGCTGCTGCAAAGGCCAAGGAGTTTACTTTAGATTATATTAGCGATAATTTTGCTTCTTGGATCATGGACCAAGGTGGATTTGTAAGTTTATTGACAAAAAGTTATTAATTAAAGCAGACTTTTTTTTTTCAATAATACTTTAAATTAAATTTACTTCTTTTTATTTAATCTGAACTTAGCAAGTATTTATTGAATCTTAAAGACCTTAATATATTAATCTAGAAATCGATAGATACAGGTAATTAAAATTAATATAGACTTGTGGGGATGGAAGCAAATTTACAATGCAGGTTGCTTTATCCTTTTCATATTAAACCATTTTGATATTCTATCAGTAGGAGAGATAGAGGTGGCTAATATAATATTGAGAGTTATTTGTCATAAAGCAAAGGTTATCAAAACCAAACACACACATGATGTTATAAAATGAGTCAGCTGTGTTATTTATTTCACTGTTTTGTCTCTTTCCTCAACAGGATAGCATTATGGTCAGCAGCAGCGATTCAGATTTTGAATTGGATTAAGGAACAAGGATTACCATCTATGGCTCATGGTTTGATTTGTTGTGTCCTGGAACTTTGCTGAAATAATTTGTAAAGCTTATGACTGCTGTGTAAAAATGATTTTTTTTAATATTTTTTTTTTGAAAAAAGGATAAATGATTTTACACGGTCATAGACAACAACAAAACTGTTTTTTTCCAAGGCTTTGTTTATTGCAAAATATAATCAGAGATTATAATATAAAGAAAAAAAATCAAAAGTACTTCCAAGTTATTCAAAACCAGGCCATTATTTTTTTGGTCGTATCATGTTATTTTTTTTAGCAGTGGTATGCATCAACCATCAGCAAGCATTGGGTTATTTTTCATTCCAAGAAGACTTTAACTTTTGTTACCGGTTTTGATATGAATCTTCTGCTATTAGCTTATCATGTTTTTCATCACTGTGTATAGTGATTCATCTTTTTTTACACAGTGAAAACTTTGATGAGTAGTCATTGCTAATGAAGTGATGATCAGGACATTTAAGAACACATTTCTGTTTTTCTACATAATTCATGTTACAGTACTGTAATAAATGTTTGAAACATTGAATAGTGATTAGTTGTCATAAACCATATTGGTACCCCTCAAAATTCTTTGTTAATGATCAAAGAACATCTTCCTTTTTCCATTCTTGAGCTAAAGAAACATGAAGCATGCATAGACTTGGTAAATAGCTAAGCATTTATTTGGATGCTGAGAGCGTTCGCTTTGAATCCAAACAGGTGAATCCCACTCAATTTATCAACTTTCTTGGCTCTCTAATCACCTATATGTATTTTTATCCCTGGTAAGACATTCATGCCTCAGGGTACAACAATTTCCCATCTTTTGGCTTTTCATTCAAGAAAATTTTTGACTTTTTTGTGCAGATCTTAGAGGCCAGGAAGTTGTCATGTATAATACAGTTAAACCCGCTTATCTTGCCAACCCTGTTATGTCGACATTTTTTAAGTGGAACTGCCAAATTCTCTCTTTGCCTCAGCATTTTCTCCTCGGTTATGTCGATTCTTTTATGTCGCCAAACCCTGATATCTCGAGCACAAAAGGCGACCAAATGTGCCACTTAACCTCGGTTATCTTGATCCCCATGACCAATCGCCGGCTTTTGAACTCCGCAAGAAGAAATTGCAAACAACAAATAATCAAGTTTTTCATAGTGTAATAAAAAATAATTATTTATTTCTCAAAATACGGGACTTGTGTTTTAGAATGAACCTTACAGTAATTCAAATATATATTTTTTAATTCGAGGTTTAAAAACCAGGTTAAGTCCATTTTATCAATGATCCTAATTTGCTGTGTGCAAAACGTTGTCATGGGCAGCCATTCACGGTCATAATGACTATGCCATGGTGATACATCATAGTTTCATTCATAAGAGTTTGGTGTGTGCAAAAGCTATGAAACCATTGGTCAGGGAAAGCTTTAATTAAATAGTCATGTGCCAAAGTTGGTCAAAATAAGTAGTCTCTATATCACGATCAGCAGAATGAAGTCACCAAATGTGGAGATTTCGTCCATAGTAGAAAATACCAAACGAACTCGCTCTTAAAAACTTTGTGGCGCAAAAAGTTCTGAAATTCAAAATTTGACTCTGGTTTCATTTTTTTAATTTGAAATTTGCTCTAAATATCTGTATTAATTTTTTTTTTAATATTATTTTTTTGTACTGAAGTACCTACATTTATTAACACATCATGTACATAAAGAAATTTCAAGCATGTGTTTATATATTGCCGCCATATTGGTTTTCGGTTATCTCGATGCTTTTTGGCGAACTCAGAAGTCGTCAACATAACCGAGTTCTACTGTAATGTGAGTTAATGATCTTCTGACTCCATTAATATATTTTGCTTTAAATATTCTTTTATAATTGGTGGTTACACATATCCTGCTTGCTCCCTATTATCAAATTTTATATTTTGAATAAATATTCAGCACTTCTGTGATAGTGTTCTTTCATCACATTGCATAATGCAATTATTTCCTTTAAAATATTTTTTGCTTCTTTGCAATCCTGTTTAAAGTAAATTGAAATAGTTTATAGTAAAATGTACTTAACATCTAACCTTAGTGATCCATTAGTCTTCTAACACCATCAATCATTCTTTTAAAGTTGTAAGTTAGAAGAGCTTAAACTATTTGTAAAGACATGTAGATTTTTGTCCCTTGAAGTATTCTGTGATTTCCATTCTTTGTCCTTAAACTAATGATTCTTAATTTCCATTTTTTTAAAATATATTATTCTCTTTATTATCTTTCTTAAGATCTTATTTTTCACTGTAACAGTTCATAAATTCCTGTAATCTTGGCTTTGAAAAATCCAACTTCCTGCAGTAACAAATGGCAACCACTTAAGTTTTTTACTTGTCCTATTTTTGTCAGTCTTATCTGCTAATGACGGGTCTTAGCCGAAACATTCTTGTCTCATTGTCCTGTTTCTTAATTCAAGCTTTCACATACCCTGTTCAAAGCTTAACTACAATAACTGATTGAGATAAAAAAAAAAATTTTGTTTTGTTAAAATATACATCAATGCATTTAAACTTTTTAAAGATTTAACTTTTCAATTTTGGCAGTAAGATGTTTTTTTCCCTATAACTATAACTAACTATAAATGAGAGCAATATTATCATGAAATCATATCAGTTTCCCTGTGTACCATTTTTTTACCATAGGTAGCAGCACACTTTTTAATATTATTTCAGGTGGATGCCTGGTGTGAAATGTGTTCATTTATTTAACCATTTTCTTAACTTCAAAAAAATTATTATTTCATTGACAAAAAAAAATGTGTGTATGTAATGTGAGTGATCTCTGCATTTGGTTTCTTCATGTCAATAGGCTTACATGAAATGTGCCATAAAATATTTAATCAATATTTTTCAATATTGAAACAATATTTTTCATGCTTTCACTTGCTCATTGTTCCGCATTTAAATTTAATAAACTTTACAAACAGGTTAGTATAGAAAGAGTTAAATGTAATTAGAAAAAAAAAAGCTTTTTATAAACCTTATCAGTTTAAATAGATAAAATTTTCACTAGATCATGTATTTACATATCATTTCATTACATTTTGATAGTGCATACTTTTTTTTATCATAGTCATAGCACTAGTACCGTAAATAACGAAGAAATGATAAAGGAATTTTTTATGTTATTTACCCTTCATGTACCTGATTGCAGTCTTTACATAATTGTTATAAAAGTGCAAGAGATGAAATAGTGCAATTCATTGTAATTTGTATAAAAAATTTTTATCTGAATATTTCAGCAGAGCTTTTTTATCTTTTGCTATAAACAATGGTATATCTACATAAAAACTAAAAGTATGATTTTGTAATTTATACAAATTTTGTCAAAGGTTTAGTTGAACATTGACTATTTACTTAAGGTGCTAATCAAAAACTATTGTAAATTGGAAATATAGGCATATCTGTCAACTTGTATGATAAATCCAAATGATTTGCACCTTATTTCTGCAATTTTTACTTTGTATATCAATTCATTCAGTCCCACTGTTGTTTTGGGTTTTTGTTTGCCCAGGCCTGCACATCTTAGTTCTGTCTTGGGAAGTGAATTTGGTAAGATATGACCAAGCCAACTCTTCCAGCAACTTGCCTGTATGGTTTCTGCAATGGTTGTCACCCTCCATGTGTGTCTTATTTCTACACTTGGAATTTGCCCTTCTATGGATTCTTTTAATTTTAAGACATTTGGTCTAGAAAACTTCTAGCTTCTGTTCTGATTTGTTGCTAGTCATTCAGCACTCTGATCCATAAAGGAGAAATCTCACGACATAACTTTAAAAATTCTGGTTTTTGTAATGCAAACATTCCAAATGTCTGATTGGTCCTTGCATTGTGATTTATTTGAAACAATTGCCAACATTCTATTTTGACCTTGCTCCTATGCTACTCAAACCTGTGTTCACACCTGGTGTAAATGTATTATAATCAAAGTGTTTAGTGTGAAAATTGTTAGATCTTGAGGTTCAAGGATTAGTCATTAGTGGTATTATTATGTCTAAATAAGGTGATTTGGTCAAAAGGGCTAAGTGTGTTGTGTGACCAAAGAAAGAAGTTTAGTTTCTCGCAAGTCAGTGGCCCTAGTATGTTGATAGCTCTCAGTATGGATAGTTGTGCTCAAAGTGCTCTGTAATTGTTAGAATGGGGAGTAGTGACTAACTGTTGTTACTCCAAGTAATAGTGGCAGCAATTTTTGAATACTGTGTAATGGTAACAACATCAGTGAATAAACTTTAATAAATGTAAAACTAAAAGTTTTTTTTATTTTGTCATTCATTTAATTTAACCAAAGTTCTATTCAAAGTGACTGATGTGACATTAAGAGATAATTTTTAGGGGGCACCAAGATGTCTGAAATATCTACAGCCTAGAGCCCCCAAGGATCTTAATCAAACACTGGATACAATGCTGCAAGGTCTTAATAATTATAGCGCTATGCAGGTCATATTTTTAGGGTTAAGCCGGATGCAGTTTTTTTACATCCGGTCCAGGTATTTTGAGAAAATTCTTGGCGGGTCAAGTCCCAGTGCTACTAATAAAAGAGTTATCCTCTCATTTTCAATTGCCTATTCAACCAATGGGGAGAAGAAAAAAGTGCATAAATAGAACCAGTAGTGATTTCAAAGGCATCAAAGAAAGTTGAATCTTCATAACACTAACTTAATAATATAATCCTCTCATTCTTTTTAGTGATGAGACCCCTATATAACATTTGCCAAGATGTGGTTACCTACAACAATAATTATACCTTGAAATTGTGAAACAGGTGTTGAGAAGAAAAAAAAAAGGGGGGGGGGGTGGGGTGCAGATCTTTTTCTAGATAAAAAGGTGTTGGTACTGTAATTGTGTTTGAGGATGGATGGAAGCAGAAATAAAGGCTAAGAAGGGTGGAAGTTTTTGTAGAGATGGCTGTAAGTCATTCCCCAGAAAAGGTTGTATAAATTTATACACCAGCAACCAACTTTTGAGTTAAGGCCAAAAAATTATTTTTAAAAAAAAAAATTTTTTTTTTTTTTAAATTATAATTAAAATCATATACTGGTATACATTTTACTTTTAAAACCAAAAAACTAATCAAAATATGAAGAGAAACTATCAAACATTTATATTTAATTAGCCACTGACAATAATAATAATTATAATTATAATAATTTGTGGTACAATATAACATGGTACCCAGTGCCGTCTTAAGGCATGGGCACAGTGGGCACCTGACCAGGGCCGCGCGCTCCTGGGGGGCCCCCTTGCTTCTAAGAGACTCACTCGTATAAAGGCAAATATTGTTAATGAATATTTGAAGTTTTGGCGATTAAATTTGATTTAAAAATCAGTGGACAGCACGTTTCCCAATTTTAACCCACGATTTTTTCAGTACCCTCCAAAATTAATATTATTAATGCGAATCACGAGTTAGTCAAGTTGGATACTTTTTAAACTTTTAAAGGGGAATAACTCTCGTCAAAAAGTTTTTCTTCTCCCAGATATGAATCGAAAAATAATAAAGCATTTGTTTACAATCAAGTTAGACAAAGATGTTGGCCCCGGGTGGTAATAACCCTAGATACGCCACTGCTCCGTAGTGAAATTAGTTGATAAAAAACTATCCTGGCACCATTTCAAGTGCTTCTGAATTTTATTAGCATATATAAGGAATATGTAGGTCACCAATGAATAATTCTTTTTAATTTTAAAGTTAAATTTATTTTTTTAAAAACAAAACCCAAATAACTATATTTTTTAAACAGAAAAATAGTTTGTATTCTGTGTCTGAAAAACATTTAGATGATAAATAGAACACAACAGTCACCGTATGTAGTCTGAGCTGTAGGCAGAAATATGTAGGCATTTAGACATAATTCTGCTCACTGTTTAAAGCTCAAAGTAATTTTAATATTACATACCCGGTAGCTCAAACACAAGATCGGTTTTATTAAATTAATTGCACCATGGCTATTGTTCATTTCCCGATGTTCGTTTTTAGAGGGGCACAAGTCAGTCTGAAGGGACAGAGAAATCCATTTTAAACGGATTGCTGCTATTACTATAGACTATAGAAATACTACTTGTAAACAATGAATATATTTCTAGGTGTTTAACCCCTTAAGCGGGAATAAAAAAATAGTTTTATAATAGGAGCACAGAAGAGAAAAAAAGCTGAGGAGACAAGGAAAACGGGTAAACTTGCAAAATTAACATCTTGGTTAAATCCAATCGAAATATCAGTGACTAATACTGCTCATCAAAATTTTTAAAAAGCCTCATCTACACCCTCTATTGGATCAAGCCATCTAGTTCCAGACAATACCATTACCTATTTCCTCTGCTGGGGAAATTGTAAAAACTGAAATTTACAAAACTGTGTCAGAAAACGAAAGTGTGATTCACCACACAGATCCCGGGCTATGGAATATTAAGAACACTTGTACTGTTGAGTACTGAATTCGCGGTGGGCTATCATAGTGTCAGAATCATGACTGCAACCTTTTGATCTCAGGCAGAGCTGGAGAAGAAAGAACTAAGACAAGGTATTTATCAAGAAATATGTTCAAACTGCGGAATGGCAAGTATGTAAAACTCGAATGGCTTCTCTATTCACCATACCAAGGTTGTTTGTATTGTTTTGCGTATTGTCTATTGTAAAAAAAAAGTATTTCCCTTTGCTATATCAGGATTCAATTATTGGAAACATAATAGTATTGTAGAACATGAAAATGGAGTAGTGTATCTCAAGGATATGACCGCATATTTGCGTCGACTGAAAGAAGCTATAGGTGTTTAGGTCCTTTATTAATCAAAGACCATAGGTCAAAACAGAAGTACTGGCATAAAGTTCTGACTCGTGGGTTTTATGGCGTTCGCTTTCTTGCCTCCAGAGGTTTGGGTCAAACTATTGGGTCAGTAAGCAATGGAAATTGTTTAGGTATTTTAGAGCTGTTGAGTGAATGTAATCCTTTTTTGGAGGAGCATCTCAAACTATAAAGGAAATGCTGGAAAGGGTAACACATCATATCTATCGGCAAATATTTGAGAATAATTTATTGATCTAATGGGGCACAATGTCCTTTATTCTATTCTGGAAGAAATAACAGAGTCAAATTATTATACAATAAGTTATGATTCAACTTCAGACATTTCACACATTGATCAACTGACATTTACGGTCGAGGATGTAAGTCTTTGGAATTTTTTATCAAGTTAATTTCATATTTTCCCATGGAACAAAGGATCTGACAATTTTTTAGATTTCCTGAATGAGATCAAAATTTCGCCTTCAATTTTCCGTGGTCAATCGTATGACAAAGCTTTAAATTTCTTAGTCTATGGACGCTACACTGGATTGCAAGCACGGCTGCGTCAATTGAACGAGTTTGCCGTGTATGTCCCTTGTGCTGAACACGGTCTGAACTTATTGGGCTTAAAAGCAGCAGAGTGCTGTCTACAAGTTGGACAATTCTTTGACTTTCTCCAGCGCCTATATGCCCTTTACTCAGCTTCTACACATCGATAGAATGTTCTGGAATCTTCGTTAGGAAAATCCCTCGTTGTCGTAAAGCATCTATCTGACACAAGATGGTGAGGCGTGATGCAGAAAGACCAAGTAATCAAATGGACAACCTGATTATTTATCATCATCTGGGATGAATTAGAATGTATTTCTGATGTTTTAAAACCATTATTAAATAGGAATGATTTTGTTTTTGTATAAATAAGTAGAATTAACCTATTTTTAACTTTATTGAATGTTTATTCTTTACAATTTTATTCCTCTTGGTGAGTTGGGAGCAACAACTGTTTGCCCCCCCCCCCTTTTCCCCAAATGTTTGAGCATGGTGCGAGTGCCCCACTTTGCCCCCCTCTTCTAACGACCCTGGTGTGTTGTGTTGCTAGGGGCCCCAGTGCTTTGCTGTGCCCAGGGCCCCCTATGTTCTTAAGACGGCCCTGGTGATACCCCAGCCTGTACCGCGCTGTATACATAAAAATATTAGCATTAGCAAAAGAGACATAATCATGACATTAAAATAAAATACATTTAAGAAATAAAGAACAGCATGTAACCAAAAAAAAAATAAATGTATATTCACCCACCCCACCCCAGAAATTTTACAAGGCAAATCATGGAAGGCAGACAGCAGGATCGTTTATCGGTCAGAGGAGGGGAATCAGTCAGGGTAGTATAGTTTAAAGAGATGTGTTTTGAGTGCAGTTTTGAGGGCCTGGGTGGGTGGTATATTGCGGACGTGTTGTGGCAAAGAATTCCATTGTTTCGGGGTGCAGAAAGAGAAAGATCGTTCACCATATGTTTTAGTGTGTGTCTTGGGAAGGGACAGAATACGCGTGTCTGCTGAGGAGCGAAGCTGTCGAAGGGGTGTATAGACAGAAAGAAGTTCGGTTAAATAGGAAGGGTAGGAATCAGAGAAAAAGTTGTGACAGAGAACAGACAACATGTAGTCAATGCTTGCCTGTATAGGGAGGCACTGAAGGGAGTGGAGTAGTGGAGTGACGTGATCACGTTTTTTTTTGCATTTAGAACTAGTCTAGCAGCTGAATTTTGAACTTTCTGCAGTTTTTCTATGCAGTGTTTTGACAGAAGAGAGTTGCAATAGTCAAGACGAGATAGAACAAGAGCACAGACTAGAGTTTTTGTAGCGCTAACTGTGAGGTAGTGGCGGATAGAGCTGATCTGACGGATAGCGGTGTATAGCGAACGGCAAATGTGAGAGATATGTTTATCGAGAGAGATGTTGTTTGAAAGAATATAACCAAGATTCCTAGCAAAGGGCGTAAAATGTATGTCGGAGTTACCTAATTGAAATGAGGTGGGAAGAGTTGAGGCAGAGGATGATGTGTGATTGTGCTTCCATTTTGTCATCATTAAGCTTCACCTTGCTGAGTGTCATCCATGACTTAACATCATCAATGCACCCCCGCAAAGTCTGGACAGCGGAATCAACAAGAGAAGGATGGGTATGCTTATATAGCTGCGTGTCATCTGCAAATGACTGGCTCTCAACAACATGCCTCCCAAGCAAGAGGAGCAGTGGTCTAGTATACAATCATACAATGTGAATAGAACTGGGCCCAAAACGGACCCCTGTGGCACTCCGTTCACCAAATCAGCTCTGCCGGAGAGACAGCCATTGACAGAGACCGCCTGCATTTTATCAGAGAGGTAAGACCTAAACCAAGCCAAAACGAAACCAGAAATTCCAATGTAATTTTCAAGGGTTTTCAAAAGGATCTACCTAATAAATCATAGTTTGTTTTTAAATTGTATGTAACTGTAGTGCAAAGTGTAGTAACAATAAGAAACCAGTGTGATCACAGTAAATAATATTTAAATTCAAAATAAAAATTCAAATAATAAAAAAATTCACATTTTACACACAAAAACCCCCTTCAAATTTCTGAAACTCTCATACGACTCTTTTTATCAGGTGACTCAGAGGGGTCAAGAGCCACAGGTTCAGAAAAACTGACATGGGTGGGACGGGGTTCATCCCTATCACCCCACCTCCGTTACCACTGCAGCCACCCTGTGTGCCCGAGATTGAAAAGGAATATATGTTGGGCAGCTGTCGGCAGGGTCATGCCAGGGCTATAGCTATAGTCCCATTTTCCTTCAACCATTTGCACAGCTTTGGTAGTTGGAAATAGATATATCACTGGAGAAAAAGATATTCATAGTTGCGTATTATAATTGCTTATAATTGTTTTTTCTCCCTCAAACTTTCAAATACCTTGTGCCTAAAATGCCATTCACATGACTCTGAATGTATTCACTAGCATCTTATCATATCTTCTTGTTTCAACTAAATTAACTCTGTTTTGTTTTTTATTTCACAGTATTCTCCCATTTCTAAAAAAAGGTTTTGTAGTTAAAGTCATCAGTTGTCATCTCTAGGGGCGCTGGAGACGTTTTTTTTTTTTAAAAAGAATAAATGCTTCAAATGTAATTATCTAAGTGCTTTCATTTTTGTGTAAACGTGGTGATGTAAAGAATTCAAATTCAAATTATTATATAGCCTATCATCTGCAATTTGACTTGGTTTTTCAATGTTTGCTTGTTTTGTTTTTTTTTACATTATTTTTTCTATTTTCATTTGGAATTTAATACCTCACTTCCTGCACATTTCAATCATATATAGGCCTACCTCGATTTTAATATTTATGTTTGTTAAAATATTTCTATGTTTAGAAAGGTGAAACATAAAAAAAAGAGTGTTAGCTTGCCTGGATCTGTTTAATAATTATTCATTATCTGCACACAGGAAGAAAGTTTTTTTATTAGCATATTAAATGAGATCAGTTGCTTTGGGAACTAAACTTTACTATTTTAAAAACTTTAAATTAAGGCATAAATTAACAAGTTTGATAGGATTAGGAATTGAACTTGGAATGTTTAACGGTTTTTTAAAATGGGCTATAATGATGCATTTGACTTAGGGTGACCAAAAGTCCCGTAAAAACTATCGTACCCGGTGTCCCGAAAAGGTCTCTCGGGACGCCTAAATGTCCCGTTTGTGAAACCAAACACATTTTCAAATCAGTAAAACTTCATAATTTATAATATAAATTCAAGTAATATTTTGGCTATATGTGTAACCAGTGCCAGAAATGATGTGGGCTCACATGATGGCTGCACTTTCCCCCCTCCACCACTCTGCCGACGCTGCGTAAACGAAAGTGTCCCTGTCATAGATCTTATATGTATAAATAAATAGGTATTCACTGCAAAATTATTGTTTTCATATATGATATGCCGCAGAGTTGAAATAAAATTACAAAAGTGAAGGTAAATTTAAAAAGATTTCTAGTTCTCAAAATAGTTAAAATTAGCATATTTCAATAAACTGTTTCCGGCGGAGGCCCCCGGATCTTTCCTTAGCTGGAGCCCCCCCCCCCCCAATCCTCCTTGAGAGTGTCCCGTTTTTTCCAGTTCATGATTTGGTCACCCTAATTTGACTAATATTTAGTAATGAATTAAATCTCCCAATTTACTATGAAAATAAAAATATAGTTTGCATTTTGTTTATATTTTATCAAATTCATTATGACGATATAAATAAATCAATCATAATAAAGCTCAGTCTACTTGATTAGTTCAATGTTTTACGTTGTAAAGGAATTAGTGAAACAAAATAATTTGTATAATGCAACAAATTTGAAGAGTTTACAGGTTTAAAGTTCTTAATCAGCAGTTAAATCTCATTGATTTAAAACACTGTATAATGTATACTTATGAACACCCTCAGAAGCTATTGTGACTTGTTGGGTGCAACAATTTAGAGCATGTTGTTAAGAAATGTATTAATATTAATAAATTCTGATTTCTTTATAATTTCATAATTATAATCAAATCTGCATTTTTTTTAAGACAAAAGATTTTTTTTTTTCTGCAGAGCCTGAAAGTCAAAGGTAGCTAAAAAAAATTAACTGTAACGATGTCATGTGCAGAAAGAACTCCATCACTGCTAATGATAATGGTTTCAAGTCTTTTAACATAATTGATCAAACATTAATGAAATTATAATGCTTGTATTATATTATATAGTTTTTTAAATATATACAAATTGCCCTACCATATTTAAAAACTGACAAAGAGCAGGGGTATGCTGGAATGGAATATCTCTCGGTATTTTAGTACTTGAGTAGTTTGTAAGTAAAAATATTTTACGGCGCCATATTTTAAGAAAATATTAAAATTCCGAGAAAATCCGAACTCACCTTATAGGAAAACAAATCCTGCTGATGACGGATGTCATGTTTTAAACAAAAACTAATTTAAAACATTCAATAATATTGGTTACCAAAAGTTGTTTGCAGAAAGATCTTTGAATCTTTATAAAGATTCATCAGGTGACATAAATAACTGAGTATTAAAATATAAATAAAGGCTAATGCTTATATTATAGTTATAGTATAGTCATAGTCATAGTATAGTAGTATAGTAATAGTAGTAATAGTTAATAGTAATAGTAATGATGACTAGTTCCTAAGAATTGAATGAGCCTAAATTTTGGTTCAATAGTCAATAGTAAATTTAAAACTGAAATTTTTAAAAACTCTAAGTTCCTAAATTTTCTGGTAAAAGTGGAATTCAGGTGCGTATATTATTTCTGTTTGAATTTCTTAGTGTAAACTTATGTTAGTTTATTCTTTATAAAAAGTATTTTAAAAGTAAATGCCATCTGTTTTTGGAATACAACAATTAAATTTTACGAGATTAAAAAAGTACATTTTCATGAATCTTTTGTCTTTTACGGAGCCATTGTGGTAAATCAAGGATAACTCTTCTGTTTTTAAAGATGCGTTATAAAAGTTTCCCAATTTGATGAATCTTGGTTAAAATAAATGTATTTATTTTATAACTTTTACTTTACTATCAAATTCAAATATAACCGAAGTTTCCCAGGATTGCATTCAGAAAAAACATCTGCTACTTTCGTTTAATTCACATTGCTATAAAGCGAAATTTCAACAACAAAACAACAACCCTATATTTAAAAAAAAATTATAATTAATTTGTCTCCTATAAAAACACTTAAAATAACTTATGTAAACCTTTTGTTTTTCCGATGGCACCTCGTTGTCCGGAAGGATCATAGTGGGATCCCGATGGGATTCCAATTCCGGTAGAATTCTGGTCATGGTGGTATCCCGGTCATGGTGGATGCCGATCCTGGTAAGATCACGATCCCCGTGAGATCCTGTTTCCGTTGGTATCTCATTCCAAATGAGATCCCAATCCGGTGGGATCCCATTTCCGGTGATCCTGATCCCGGTAGGATCTCGAGCGCGGTGAGATCCCGGTGGGATACTGGTTCCAATGAGATCCCGTTTCCGGTGAGATCCAGATCCCAGTAGTTATAGGGAACTCTCATACTTGACATACGTAGCCAGTTTACTAGTCACATAGCAATTGTTACGAGTGCCTGACGAGAAATTCCATAGTTCTATTAACGTAATTTGTTGCCTCACAAAGTTTGCGTATAAACCAAATGCTGCTGCACCATTTAAAATTTCCGTTGGATCAACAATTTCAAGTATTGTCTCTTGGTCGTCCTGCCATTTTGAACAAAATATCCCAGCTATATCCCAGTCCGTCTTATTCTATATAATCACTAGCCCTCACCCTCATTTTGCTCAGTGCAAATTATTCACCATTAATAAGCGCATTTGCATACCAAAAAGGGGATGATCCTCAAATTAGAGCTGACCAATCACGGACAACGTATTTGCAGCCATCATTATGAGATGACTATCAATAAATGATCCAATTTCCACCAATCCTGCAACGTAACAAATATTTTTTTTTTAAAAGTGGACACGTGATCACACATTGGCACATAGTCGTGTCGTGGAAACACCCCCCCCCCCTTTCAGCTTCCCTCCCGGACAATGATGATGTGTGTCCCCGCTGCCTTAGTTGGTGATCCAGTTCTAATCCACCCCCCCCCCCGACTTCAAGGGTCAACCCGTATATTCTGAGGGCTCTGAGAGGGGAAAAAAAAGAAAGTGGGGGGTGGGGAAGGGGAGCGCTCGTGTGTAATGAAAAATCTAGTATTTCATTCTTTTTTGTGACCATGCCTACAGTTTGAAAATTTCGTTTAGCATACTAACTTATAGTATAGGTGGTTAAAAATCTGGCCTTAGGGTGGGAAAAACAATTGGGCTATGGGCTATGTAACTTTGGTTGGGGGATGTTAAAAGACTCTTTAGAAATCAAATAAAAAGAAAAAAAGTGATTTAAAATTCAATATTGGCTAACTATAACTGCCTGTATTTAATTAATAAAGAATACACGTAAGTTTATATGATAAAATACAAAATGCGTTAAGAAAATTAAATAATATACGCACCTGAACTCCACTTTTACCACTTTTCTACTAATAGTATTCATTAATTAAGTTCCTTGTCTTAGTCATCATAGTGACAGTCGTACGCTCTTGGTCTTAAAAATGATAGGACTAACTAATACTGCTTTTTATAATAGTTCTTATAGTCTAGATACATACCTTCTTTACTTTTAGTCAGTCTTACATTACATTTACATTGTCAGTCTCATTCTCATTGTTCTTATTTGTCTTATTTAAATATTAAATGACTTTAACGTCAAATATTGTATTATAATAATAATTAAACAACCCATACAACTACAAGCAAAGTTTTTCGTATACGAGACAGAAAAAATAAATTCTCAATATTTAAATAAGCCTGTTGTTTTATGTACAATTTTAGTGAATAAAGTGATTGTTATTATTAATCTTAAAAAAGCTAATTAACTAAATAAAAAAATTTCACGGTTCAGAAATAGTACGGAAATTTTATTTTAAATAAAATATTAATCATGTGCTAATTTTTCTGTTTAAATTATTAAATGCACATTACTTTTCAGATTTGTCTAGAAAATTGTATACAATTTATATTTCAGTCCTTACAGTTACAGTACAGAATATTTAAGAGATACCCTAGAAATGACAGCTATTCAAAAATCTAAGACTGGAGATAATGTTGCAGCACTGGTAGATCTCTTTTTATCACCAGAATTTGAACCTCTGCAAAGTTAGTGTTGTTATTTGTAGTTTGATTACATTTTTTTTTTAAATTACAAAAAAAAATTCAGTTAGAAGACAGTTTGTATTCCAGAGATATCCATGACTTTTTGCATTATAATGTCAGCCTTTAATTTAAAAGATTACAGTAATGTATGCATCATTAAATCATTCGATTTTTCCTTTTTTTTTTTTTTAAGGAAAACAGTGTTTTTAGAATAATATGTAATGGGTAAAAACAGCATATTAAATATAAATATATTTTCAAATATCATTTTATTAAAAATTGTTCTATGAGCACTATCTATTACAATTGATGGATATTTTAATTTTAATCTGTTTGGAAAAGTAAGTCAACACAAGGAGTTCAAGGGGTATTTCACTGTAAAACAGTAGCATCACTAGTGTAGGGCTGGTGATGTGAAATGCATCTTATGACATCCTCGCTAGGTATCAAAATAGTACAAGATTATTCCAAATTGTGTGAAAATAATACAGTAATGGATCGTTTAGTCATTTATTAGAGATTTAACTGCTTTTGATGCTGATTCTTATCTGTTAATGCTATAGATAATATAATGGATCGTTTAGTTCAGGCCTGCACAACATATGGCCCGCGAGCCACATGCGGCCCGCCAGCACGCACTTTGCGGCCCGTGAAGTAACGAAATATTCTTAATTCTTATTATTTTCTTTATAGCTTTTCCCCCCGTCATATTTTCTTTTGGCCTGCACAAGTCCTGTCCTAAATTCTTTTGGCCCGCACAAGTTCTTCATAAAGTATTACGGCCCGCTTTACATTTTGAGTCGTGCAGGCCTTGTTTAGTCATTTGTTAGATTTAATTGCTTTTGCTGCTGATTCTTATCTTTTAATGCTATAGATACTATTCTTTTCTGTTTATGGTGTAGATCAGGCCTGCACAACTCAAAATGTAAGGCGGGCAATAATACTTTATGAAATACGTGTGCGGGCCAAAAGAAAATAGGACAGGACTTGTGCGGGCAAAAATAAAATAATACAGGGGTGAAAGCTGTTAAGAAAATAATAAAATAATAAAAATAAAGAATATTTCGTTACTTCGCAGGCCGCCAAGTGGGTGCTGGCGGGCCATGCCGCCCGTGGGCCGTATATTGTGCAGGCCTGGTGAAGATACTACTCTTTTTTGTTAATGCCATAGATACTACTCTTTTCTGTTAATGATTTTCAAAACTGAACTTTTTTTAAAGAACTATTTGCAATCTACCTTGTTACATTGTAAGCCTACTATTCTTTCAGTTTTATCCATTCAAGTTTTAAGTAATATGGTCAAAAATTTTGATTTTGTGATTGATAAGTGGGCTGCTTGAATCATGATACAGAGGGGGTGGGGATACTGCTATCAGGTTCGGTAAGAGGAAATGTGTAAAACAAGGTCGAGGAAAACAACAGACATTCCGGCAAGAAAGAGTAACAAATATTTTTTTTAAACTTCACTGAAATGTTGTATCTCAGAGAACAGCAAGAGGAATGTGCTTTGATGGCCAGGAAATTATAAATAATTTTTTTTTTTTAAAGTTTTATAATATATTTGTAATTCTTTAAGACTGTCACATCAATTGCCATCCTTTCCATTGGGTTCATAGGACAATCATAATCTTACGAATTGAAATTACTTTAGGCTAGATGACTCTCGCGTGTAGATACTGATATTCCATCGAGCGCTGCCCCACTAGATAAAGCAATGAAAGCCCACCAGATATGGCAAGTACTGGGGAAAAAAGCACCATTGTGGACCAAAAGCAGAGCCTACCACCTTATAGGAAGTGGAGGCATCAAGACAGGCTTGGGAACCTTAATGTAGCTACATAGAGAACTGTAAGGGACAACCCCCAGGCGGTTGTGCACAGGGCTAACAGCCCATCCATTTAAAGAAATGAACGTTACAAAAAAAAACAAACAACACAATTAAACCCGTAGTGATTCTGACGGAAATCGACCTATGCCTGGATATGGACATGCTTTTTTTTGGATTGCGCCTTAGAATGTACTAAGCCTATTTAGAGCAGGACCCTTTGCCAACCCAATATATCAATTAATTAAATGTAAAATCTCTATTGCTGCATTGCATGGAATTTGATGGAAGAATGCAGACATCATCAAGACAAAAGATTACACCAAATTTTTTATTGGCAACAACACTAACACTCTTGGAACAGGATTTGCTGCCAAGAAAGAAGCTGTCGGTGCAGTCATAGGTTTAAACCAGAGAATTAAAGATTGTGCTCTTTGCATGTGCAAGGGAAAATTCTTAATATATTTATAAATATTCATGCTTCCACCAAAGATACAGAGGGTCGGATAAAAGAATCCTTTTATGAGGCACTGGAAAAGATTTGAGATGAGGCACCACAACATGATATTAAAATAGTGATTGGCGACTTTAATGTCAAAATAGGGAAAGAAAATGTGTTAATGCCAAATATTAGCAATTAGAGTCTGCATGGAAGAATCCGATGACAATGGGATCCAACTCAAAGACTTTGCTGTAGGAAAAAGCATGACAGCAGCACCAAGCTCTACACAAAAGTATACATAAAGAAACTTGGAACTCACCTGATGGAATCACTCACAGTTATATTGACCATGTTCTAATCGATCAGTGGCATGGATCAGACATACTAGACACAAGAGGTTATCAAGGAGCAGATGCAGACTCAGACCATCTTCTACTTGTAGGGGTTAAATATAAGCACAGAATAAGCATAATACACAATGGCCAAAATCAACTAGAAAAACTATATAATTACCAAAAACTTACCAAAGACCTACTAATCGCAAAAGCTTATCAAAATGAAGTAGAAGTAAAACTACACAGGAGGAAATAAACATGGCAAACAACACAAATGAGCAGTGGGATAGGATAAAAAATGCTAAGAAATTATCAGGAGAAAAAGTAGTAGGATTTCAGCAAACTAACATCAACAGTAAAGTAGGTTGGTTTGATAATGAATGCAGAAAGACTGTCAAAGAAAGGAACAAGGCACAAATGACCATGATCCAAAGAGAAACAAGAAATACGAGACAAATATAAAAGGAAGCCAGAAAGAAAATGTGTAGGAAGAAAAGAGGGAATGGTAAAAGACTAAATTAAAGGAAATGACTTCCTTTAGTCACTTAAAGAAACTTTGTTTTTTTTAGGGTTGACTTAAATTATAAACCATACAAATATTATATCACTGATAACCACTTTCAATGTTCCTTATTTAAAACTTAAATTTGTTAGCATCTATAATCTTATCAGGGAGACAAGTAGTTGTCTTTAGATTTGCTCAACATTTACTTCAGATAACTAATAGCCCACAGAATTAATTATGAGGTTTTATTGACACTAGCATAATATGCTTACCACATTTTTATTATATCTTTTTACTGTTTTATAAAAAAACTTACCAAAAGATAATATATCATTTGTAAAAAAAATATGTGATGTACATTATTCTTAAGCACAGCAAAAATTTTTACTGATTCATAAATTTTGAAAATAGTTACTAGCAACCATTGACTTATTAATCTACATAACTCTTCAGTCCTCATTATAGTTAATGAATTATCCACAATTATGTTTAAAGTATTCTAGTTTAAAAATTATCTTAATCAAAATGTTTATCCATGTGCTGAACATAAATATGCAAAATCTAATCAAAATACTTTTCCGTTTATTTGGATCAATAAAAGAATCTTATCTTATGGCCAAGACATAATTTTTAAAAAGAATTTTTAAAATTATGGCTGCGTCTATTCGCACCGGGTCCCATTAGACTCAATGCTATTCAGATATCATTTGTAGTCGTTTATTTTAGTTAAACTGAAGAAGTAAGTTTACCAGCATATTATAGTCCATTCAATTATCTTTCATTTGATACCTCATTTTGTCATACAAACCCAACAATAATATTTTAAATAGTTTTTTAATCCCAACCTCTCAATTATGGTACTCCGGTGCGAATAGCCACTTTGAAAAATTATTATACTTTTAAATAAAAATCGTATATCCATATTGAGCATGAGGAGAGAATTGATTAAAGCAAAATATGAAAGCTGTTAACAACAAGGATCATTTGTCAAATGTTTCAGAAAACTAAAAGGCTATGAGCTGAGAAAGAAATTCTATTATTGTTTAAAATGTACTTATTTTTATGCACCCAAATAATTTTATTGTCACTGTAATATATTTTTCATCTCTTAGAAAATACAAGTCAGAAAATACATTTCTCAGGAGCTGGTCCAGTGCAAAAATATAGTTTTGAAGCTGATATTGAAGTACATGATGGGGATCTAAAGGCGCCTGGTATGATGTTTAATTTGATATTGATATCAGAACAAAGTAAGGTACCGTCACCGGTAGTTATTTTAAAAATCACATTACACACATTAAGGGTGCAGTCTTCTAAAACTAACTTTGTTCATAAAAATTTATAAAATATTGATATGGTAACCAATGGATTCTAATATTGGATTGGAGCATTCTTTTGAAGATGTTGTCCAGTAATAAGCCAGAATAAAGTCAAGAGAATCTTCCATTTTTTTTTATTGAACACAGCCTTGCTAAAACTTAACATACCTCAGAATTTATGACATCTACTCAACATGTAAGACACCTGTTAAATTATTTTTAAAAATGAAAGCATGACATACAGCTCCACCTTTTTGAATTGCATTAAATGAATTGATGATGAGCTTCACTCCCAAAGGTCAATGAATTCATTCTAAATTTTGGTTGACCAATGTATGACAGAAAAAAAGACCTAACTGAGGTCAGATGTAGCTTCATCTCAAACTAAATTTCTCAAAACAACTCAAGAGTGCTAGAAATTGACCTGGTTTTGAATCATCATTTAACAATTCTCTCTATGTCCTCTAGATCAGCATTTCCCTAACTATTTTATACTTCCCTTTCATAACCCACTTAACTGTGTACTGGTTATTCTGGCCTATATGATAACAAGAACAAAAAAAAAGTTTTTATGCATACAAAGTTTATATATGTCAATACTAAAAATGCATGTGCTCTCACAAAAGAGTAAAGAAATCTAAAACAGGTCAATAAATATTTAATGAGAAGTGTGATATTGTATTTTGTTAACTAGAAACTGTTGGGTCTATTGGAAAAGATGACATCTTTATATTCTGATAACAAGTTCTTTACCTTTGCCTCTAATTTCTCCTTCACCCATCCAATTTCACCCTCACCCATCCAATTTCTCCCTCACCCATCCAATTTCTCCCTCACCCATCCAATTTCTCCCTCACCCATCCAATTTCTCCCTCACCCATCCAATTTCTCCCTCACCCATCCAATTTCTCCCTCACCATTCTTCTTATTTGTGGGGCCTTCTGCTTTTGCATGCTTAATCATTCCTGGATAAACATTTTACTATATGACTTCTCAACTATGCCCCAGAAAGTGCTAGGACAATTAGGGAAATAGAGCGAACCACTTATGATGAGCTGAACTTCCTGTGTCATTATTGGATGGACATATTTTGATGACAAACAAAACCACCACTTATCTCCCAAAATAGCTCTTAGTTCTTGCATTGAGTTATTCCAATAATAAAATAGTTATATTTTTTACCTTGCCCTCTAACCTCATGTGTTTTAACATGAGGTTAGAGTGATCTTAAAGTGATCTTACTCATAGTCTTTCTCTGCCTCTCCACACTTTCTTTTTGGACTGGGTATGGTTTGGGCAAGTGAAACAAATGCCGGACCAATCTGTTTGTCTGTCTCCCAGTCATGCATTTGTTTGGGCTAATAATTTAGTAATAAGCTGTGAACAATGAGATGGCAAAAAATTCGCCTCACTCATCTGCCGGTTTCTATTATTTTAAGATTTCGTAGAAAACAAAACCTCAAAAACAAACACAATGCTATTTTTGTAGGATTCTTTCACAACCCAGTATTTTTGTTCTTTTTGCCCAGTATGCTGCAAAAAAAACAAAAAAACTCCCAAGGCAACTTAATCCAAAGTTTTTTTCCAATTTTCGGCTTCTGAATCAATTTGGCTTTAAAAAGGAACATAAAGCAATTATTTTATTCTATCCCCTTTCCAAGCTAAGAATGTTGTATGATGTGTAGGATTGTTTTCATGATCCTTGCATTATTTATCTTTTACCAGTTACCTCTTCTTAAGTATAGGTGCAGAACTGAAATAAATTTATAATAATTTTTTTGATGCGCATTTGAAATAGCTAATTTTTTTTAACAATGGAGTTATGTAAATAATTTTAAGTATGCTATTAAAAAATTAATTTGTATAATTTTTAACAGGCATTTTAGCATTTGAAAACAAAGAAGGTTAAATATAGACTATATATATTTATATTAATGCACCACAATCGATTTTCCTTTATTTCAAAAGTCATTTTAACTAAATTTTAATTACTATAAAAAAAGAATAAAAAGAGATGAAATAGAAAAAAAAAAAAAAAAAAAAAAATAAAAAAACCCCCCCCCCCCCGATCACCCTCCAAGTAATGACCAGAAAGGTCAAACCCCCCCCCCCCTTTTTTTTTCTTCTTAATCCAAAATACTGATACTGGTACATATACAATTTATTCTAGTCGCATCTTTAAGCTATAAAACTATATTTACCGGTATTAATATATTTCATTTGCAGATCAAAAGGAGCAAGTTATTGCAATAGCTCGGTCTCTGGCACAAAGTGGAGATGAACTATACCAGCAAATAGGTATTTTCAATATGTATTATATATGTAAGATATGTAAACAATGATTTGTGAATACTAAATAATATTTGATCCAGTGTACTGAAATAATGAAAGAACACTGCTCAAAAAGATTTTACTACTGGTACTGAGAGCAAAACATATGGGTTATATGGATTTCAACACCTTGATTCCCAATATGATGTCAGAATCTGCCTAGCACATCTAGATTTAATTTAAACATGGATTTTAAACAATATATACATAGTATTAATATATATAAACAATAATATAAACATAAATATATATATAGTATTAATATATATAAACATACACAAACTGGAAAATGATATATGTTTATGAACTGGTGTGATGTTCTCATGCTGAGATTAGGTTGCGAATCTGTTCTTAATCACTGGAGACTTTTAATAGATTCCAACAAGGCGAGCTTGAAAGCTGAGTTGTTGCACAATTGTAATGAAAAATTATATGTCCTGTTGCTCTCGCGGTAGGGCTCAAACAAACATATGATTCAATGAAACTCATTTTGAAAGTGATCAACTGCTCTGAACGCAACTGGAACATCGGTACTGACTTGAAAACGGCAGCGTTTATCTAAAACTTGGACAAAAGTTGAGCTACACAAAACACAGGTGTTTTTTTTGTGTGTGGAACAGCAGTGATGACAACAACAATTGCAAAGTGAAACAGTGGCCTCCTAGATCTGAGCACATTGTTGGTTGGCTCTATGTGCAACACAAATCATTGGTTAATCCTTTGAAAGTTAACTTACCGCTTCACATTAAACTGGAACTCATGAATTTTTTTTATAGCAGCAATGGCTCGTAATATCGTAATAGAAAATCAAAACTGATGCTAAGCTGTTATTTTTATTGGGTCAAACATCCACGAACTGATGCGTGAAACTGTATCTAGAACCAAGCTGAATCCACTTGAACTTGCCAATCGAATGTTGGTGGTGCTGAACTTTCTTGTGCATCACTAAGCTCTGAACTATGCTGAAATCTTTTGCAACATGCCAACAGCCTACAAGCAACTCAGCTGCCGAAAAATATTTTCAAAGTGGATTTTTTTACCGCCAAACTTGGTTGATGAAGCGATGATCACGGAGAGAGATGTCATCAAGATGTCTTCATCTTCGTAACAAGGTATCAAGGCCAATGAAATTCTTAACATGAGAGGTAATTACTGCTGCATTCTGCAGCAGGCAATAGGAGCCACTCACAAGCACCAGAGAAAGTGCCTAAAGCACTTTTGAACTCGTATAGAGTTAAGCTGGAGACAAACTTTGAAATGTAGTATTTCATCTGAGTAATATTAATATACATACAATTATATTGGATTTTTTAAAATTTGCATAATATTATTTTTTCTCAAAAATTCATTGTATTGTTTAATAGACTTTGGCATGTTTTTCTCTTAAGAATTTCTATATATATTTACTTCTTTTTAAATTTAAGACAAAAAGCATAATATTTACTTATTGGACATAGGTTAATTTTTTCAACATATAAGTATTAAAAGAATAACAATTTTATTTATGTAATGACTGTTCTTGAGTATAGTCACATTTGTAAGTTATAAGCTAATACTAGTTCTATAATTTATGTATGATATGTAAGATCAAAAGCATAGGGGTAATTTGGAAGAGGTTGTGGATGCTAGGACATTTGTAAAGTAATAAGGGAAAAGAGTGGGGTAGAGGAGTGGGAAGTGTATGTCCTTTTAGTAAGTGGGAAATTGTATGGTAAAGGTTCATAAAATAGTAAAAAATAATTTATTTACTTTGTAGAATTAATAAACTTAAAGATAGTTTCTGATGATAAACTTTTTTTTTAAAATTATTTGATAAGTTTTTTGCACTGATCATGCATTAAATTGAAATAATATAATGGTGAAGTCATAATTTATTTTCATTGCCGTATAGGGGGTGGGCAGGTGGAGGAGGGGTGGGTGTTGAGGGTTTATTGGGGATGATAGTGAGGGAGTGCATCTTTTGGAGGTGTTAAGGGGGCTTGTTGAGGTTGGGGAGATGGTAAGAGATGAAAGGCATGGGAAGAGAGGAATTATACAAATTTATGGGTGGTCAGTGGAGTAGCTGGACTTTGTGACACCTTGGATGTTTCCATGATTTAACCACCCATAGTTCATAAAAACAACAATGCATACAAAAAAATAACATAAAATAAGCTATATGAAGTGGACTGAAAATACTGCTTCAAAGTAAGTTCAGCCCAGTGCTGACAGTCACCCTCCTGTTATGCCAGTTGTATTTTAAATTATTAAACTGAAATCATATTAAATGTGTAAAGGAACTTCAGTTATTTCTGAAATGATTTTCAGCGGCAAGGAATCAACAAGAACTGAATTCAGTTTTTGAAGGTGACTTAAGAAAGGAAGATGTAAGTATTTTGGAGCTGTTTTGGAAAACCCATATTTTCTTGAATGTCATGATTCAGAAATCAGTATTAAATCCAAAAAATGTTTAATTTATTGATTTTTTGGGTATATCATTAACGAACTCTTTCTGGAATGATGTAAAAGACATACTTATTCCATTTCTTTAATTAAAACATTGTTAGAAAAAACAACAAAAATTGCATTAAAAAAACACAAATTCAAATAAAACACTTGTGCAAAGCAACCATGTACATATCAAGTAACAACATCATCTTACAAAATACAAAGTCTTTATTATTATGAACTGTATCAAAATGACTGGGTACTTAAAATTTATCTGTTAAATCGTCATTTTTAAAAAAAATTCTAATCCTTTTCTCACTTATAACTTATGATCATTACAAAACTACATTACGTAAAGTAAATAAATCTCAAATCAATATCTATGACTGAGACATGTCTAAACATTAAGTATTGTCAAAACTAACTGAAAAATGCTAGACACATTGAGGTTTGTCTTGAGGCAGCCATCGGGTGGAAAGGGACTGCCATTCATTTGTTAGTCTGCTGAACCTGTAATTTTATTTCATTGGACATTAGTTATTACGTTGCAAATAAATTTTAATAAACAGATTTCATAATAAAAATGTAATACTGCCCCAGATGCTGATTCCACCTGGAAAATCCTGACATCAGACTTTGGATTATCTAATCTCTAGATAGAATAGATATGAAATAAAATTTAAGCAACATGTCCTGATTTTGATATTATTGTTTGAATTTTCCATTGCTATATAAAAAAAAAAGGATTAACATTGGTTAACTTTTAATGTTAAAATTTAAATATTTTAAGTCCCTGGCAAGTACTTTCACAATGAGGTACTATAATAAGCTGATAACGTATTGATGCTTTATGAAATAAGCATTGAACTGGCACCAGAACAATTGAACTTTTAACAATTTTTTGGCTTTGGATTTAAATATCTTATTCTGTATAATGTTCAAGATACTATCATTCCATGATTGTGTAGTTAACAATCAATTATGCTGATTTCATTGCAAAAGAAAACAGGCAAATAATTGTTCAATTGAAGTACACCACTGAAACAATCAGTCCCAAAAGCATATCTGTTAATCTAAATGATGCTCTATCTATCGTACTCATGTTATTAACTTAATATATTACCTAAATCATTATCAATATAACTTTTACGCTATTATTGATGGCATAATTATGATATGCAGAAAAGTTCCTCTACATTTTTCTTGAAATTTAATTCTTTTAATTATCAAGGTGAAAGACAAAGCCTGGACCCGTTTTCAAAATATAATGGATGACTCTATCAAAGGAACAGGTGTTGATGATGCTAAAAAGCAATTAGGGGCTTTCCTTTTAGCTCTAAGAAGCTTCTGCAGAGTTCAAAAAGAAGTCAGACAAGTTGCCAGTATCTTTGCCCAAAGATTTATAGCAGAAAGACAGTTAGACCAAGCCTTGGTAGGTTTATCATTAAAATATATACATAAAACAAACAATATTTGTAAATTTAGGAAGTCAATCAATTTTCTTCAAATTTTTCTGTAAATTTTTCCTTTCGTTTCAACTGAAATTTGTGACTATACACTGAGGACCATATTTCATGGTAAAGTGATCGTTATAACTGCAATAAAATTTCAATTTTATTATATCAAAAACATTAAAATTTGAAGGAAAAATATTATCCCTAGTGTTAAAAATATGAAGGGTACAATAATAATAAATGAATAAATAAAATGCTTTTTTAAAGAAACACATCTATGTCTTGGTGCGTTTCTTTAAATAAGCATTTTATTTATTTTTTTAGCACATAAATATCACTGCTGTATGCCTTTTTCAGAAATAGGAATAGGCTTATTATTATTATTGAAATACAGGAAGCCCAAAAAATATGTTGATAATATTGACTGATAAAATTCATTAACTTATTTTTTTAGAGCTTAAGTAATTACATGTGAAATATAATTTAAACTTTTTTAAAGTTGATTTAATATCACCAAACTGTTTGTTTTATTAAGCATCCTTTTAGATTTGACTAAATGAAGGTTGACTATTTACTTGAAATAAAACTACTAAAAGCATATCACACAAAGAGTGTAAAATATAAAGTGGAAGATTAGCCTCCGGCCTCATTTTGGTCCTGATTATAATGCAAACTCATTTTGGGTCAAGAAATTGAGATGAAAAATTCTTCAGTTTTAAAAAAATTATATAGAATTGGATTTTTTTTATTATACATAGCTGGGGTGATGTTTTTTATCTAGCTACGGTACTATTATTTTTTAGATAATGTATATTGGCCTGTGTTGTTTATGGTTGCAAGGTATGAAAGACTTAGAATAGGTATTATTGTATGTAGTTGTGTAATGTTGAATTTTGTACCTCAATGTGGTATGTACCGCGCTTCGAGCCTTTGGGGATGAAGCGGGATTTTTAAATAATCTTTATTATTATTATTAATATAGCCAAAATAGAAATGATAAAATAAAATGCAAATTCCTTTTAGTTTGGGGATGCATAGCTAATAACCCTTAAAAATTGTTTAATACTAGATTATCTGTGTGTCAATAAAGAATGGGGGTGGGGGGGTGAAATAAATGACCCCAGTTCCACTTTAAATCACCTACAACTATCTACTATATGAACTCAGCTGCTGAAATTGTCACTTCAATAGATAAAAACTACTTTCTTGGTTGAAATCAACCAATGCATGTACTAACATTACTCTAAAATATGAGTGTCTCAACTTGCTGACTAAGATTTAGGTGCTAGCTCTGGCCCCTTTCCTGCTTCTCTCTTAGCAAGATTCAAATAGCTATTAGACTTAAACAAAATATCAAAATAATTGTTAATACAATTACAATAGAATGATTGTAAAATTTACCAAAAGCAAAACTTTATACTTTGATCACAGAACAGGCATATTATGAGAGTTTGGTCACAACTTTTTTCTTAAAATAGTTAAAATCAACTTTAGTTTGGTCACAACTTTTTTCTTAAAATAGTTAAAATCAACTTAGCTGCCATAATTTTTAATTAAAATGTGATAAAACTTATATTTTTGGTCTGGATGATGCAAGAGAATGTTTAGATGTTTCCTATAATTATTATTATTTTATAACCCTTTTCTTTTTCAGAATAACCTATCAGTTAGAGAATTGGATTAATACTTAAAGAGAATAGGATTAATACTTATCATCCTTCTAATTTGATCTCTCAACTGCTACTATGGCATGGAGCAAACAAAGAGGAACTTAAGTATGAATGTGGTGTTGTAGAATGGTTTACTGAGTACAATATTGTTGTTTCCTTTTTTTATCACACTGTGATTCATCATTCTTATTTGATGTCACCATTGTTTTATTAACTAGAGTACATAATATGAGAACAAGCATGAGTGTTCTCTCTTACAGTTTGGCCCATGAATGACTCCCATATTTTAAATTCACAGAAGCTAAGCAGAAGTGGGAATTTTTTTTTAATGATGCCAACCTTTTTATGGTCCCATATGGCATGGCCCTCACTATTTTCTAATGCAATACCTATTTGTTTTGTGTTATCTAATAAAACTCTGTTGTTGTAAAAAGAATGTTGCTCATTTTTATTTCTGTTTATTACTTTACATGTGCTAATTCTCAGAGCTCACTAATAAAAATTTTAAGCTAGATTAAATAAAATTGCAGGAAAAACACACATAGATATATTTATAGACTTAATGAATTCAACTATATGCTGTAAATTATATTCGTAAAGATTTTATACAAGTGTATTTGTAATATAGTTTTATTTTTTCAAATATTTATTTTAAACTCCCTGCACGCTTGATTCCAATGACTCACCTGACATCATCTAAGTTTTATAATTTTATAAAGGAATTCTCTGGCTATCTCTCATGACAAAAAAGTAGGATGATGACAAGCCAAATGATCCAGGGATAACAGTTAAGGGGAAAATAGATATATTTAAACACATATACGATAATTATAAAAATGTGTCTGAGAATAAAACTGAACATAATGTCATGTGTGTCGTGATTAGCACATGTGAAAACTATTTACATTTTTTATTATTGTTAGACGGCACGACATTCCATGTGTTGTCAAGGCTGCCAAAAGATGAGTTATGAATTAAGCCACTAGTATGGCATTTAAAACACACAAAAATTAATTCTTGTTTGCCAAAAAGAAACCACTATACTCAGAATATGTTTCATTCCATGGAACATGCTTTTAAAAGTTTTAATTTCTAAATATTATTTTATTGTTGATGCCAATGACATTCATTTCTTTTATAGTGTATTTAAGTGTTGGTTTTTTTGTTGCATTTTTTTTCTAATGTTGCCTGCAGCCGTATTGATGGATAATTTTGTCTGAATATTAGCTAGGTCATTTTTCTTTTCTTGTTAATCATTTTGCATCTAATACTAATATGATTAAAATCTTTATAGAAATGTCTATCGTATTTGCCAGTTGATACTATTCACATCAACTCTGGATTGGCTTCAAGCATTTTTCAGACTTAACAAAACATTTGCTTTCTGATTTTACCCCATTTGTAAAAAAAAAAAAATATATCACTAACCTCAATTACAACACAGTGTTCTTATCTTCAAGGCATCCCCACTGTTCATAACCATGGCAAAGTCGGAAAACTGTTAGACATTAACATACCTGCCCAAACATCCTTCCATTTGTTCCTTTAATCATTCCCTTATGAGTTTTGATTTGTTTTACTGCATGTTTGTGTTTACTAAGCTTTTTAGGCTTTGTTTTCATCCACACTGTTGCATTTCTGTCACCTTTTCTCCGAGTCTTTCTTAGCTAAACCACTTAATTCTCTGAGTCTAACTTAGCTAAACCACTTATACTCTCTCTGGGTCTAACTTAGCTAAACCTCTCATATTCTCTCCGAGTCTAACTTAGCTAAACCACTTACGTTCTCTCAGAGTCTAACTTAGCTAAACCGTTTAATTCTCTCTAAATTTAACTTAACTAAACCACTTAAATTTTCTTTCACTTAGCGAAACCAATAGTGTGACGTTTAAAGTATTTAAATAAGTTGATATTATTGGTTTTATTTTAAATGTTAGGGTGACAGAGATTTTTTTATTTTATTTAATTGTAGTATAATATTCCTATACCTCCTCATTAGATTTCATTTGATCTGATCTACTCCTATTTGTCAAACTGTTTCTTTCATAAATAAAAGTGCCTAAGTTTTGAGAACTAGACTCTAATTAAATTTGTTTCTTATTTCACTTTGCGCTCAATAAGTTAATATTTATGTATCTGCACTGCATGAACTGAACTTTGAAATGAATGAAAAATAGAATTAATTTTTTTTTAAAATTCATGTATTTTTGTTTCATTTCAATTTCAATAACTGGTACATATTAGAAATTGTCTATTCGGTGAAATTTTTTTTTTTAAATGTTGCTTTGATTAGCAAATTGTCAGATTAACTAGTGAAATCGGCAAATACATAGTAATAGTTCGTCGATTAATTTTTTTTTTTTTATTTCTTGGAAATGCCTTTAATACAGCCAAAATAATTTTATATGTATGCCCACCAAGGGGGTGGGAGGATACGTCGACTCGGATAGATTTTTTTAAATGTTGCTTTGATTAGCAAATTGTCAGATTAACTAGTGAAATTGGCAAATACATAGTAATAGTTCGTTGATTAATTTTTTTTTTTTTATTTCTTGGAAATGCCTTTAATACAGCCAAAATAATTTTATATGTATGCCCACAAAGGGGGTGGGAGGATACGTCGACTCGGATAGATAAATATCTATTTACATTTCAAAGGGCAGCACAGAGTTTGGCAGGATCTCTTTATTTAGTTCTTCTAATTACTAATAGGGAATTAGGGTGGGCAGGTGTCAAAAAGTTTGGGAAACACTGGGTCACATGAAATGTTCATGCGGGTAGGCCTACATAATAACTACAATAATTGGAAACACTGGGTCACATGGAGTGGCCATTCGGGTAAATAATAACTACTAAAAACAGTTGAAGAAATGGAAGTCAGAGCTACTCAATTGCACAAATTAAAAGTTCTAATTCGAACATCAGACTTTCCTCATAAAAGTTATTTCTATTTGACCAGTGACAATAGCTTTTTAATTAGTAGGCCGTATGTGCTTCACCCAGGCCAGATCTCCCTTAAAGCCAACCTATGTGACGATAGCTTTTTAATTAGTAGGTCGTATGTGCTTCACCCAGGCCAGATCTCCCTTAAAGCCAACCTATGTGACGATAGCTTTTTAATTAGTAGGTCGTATGTGCTTCACCCAGGCTAGATCTCCCTTAAAGCCAACCTGTGTGACGATAGCTTTTTAATTAGTAGGTCGTATGCGCTTCACCCAGGCCAGATCTCCTTTAAAGCCAACCTGTGTGACGATAGCTTTTTAATTAGTAGGCCGTATGCGCTTCACCCAGGCCAGATCTCCCTTAAAGCCAACCTGTGTGACGATAGCTTTTTAATTAGTAGGTCGTATGTGCTTCATCCAGGCCAGATCTCCCTTAAAGCCAACCTATGTGACGATAGCTTTTTAATTAGTAGGCCGTATGCGCTTCACCCAGGCCAGATCTCCCTTAAAGCCAACCTATGTGACGATAGCCTTGGACGCAACAGTTAGGGGGGTTAGAAGTAAGAACCAAATATTTCTTCTTCTTTATTTTAAGGGCCCACGATCAATGAATTGATCATTCTGGCTCCTATGTTTCAGAGGGGTTTGCGATGTTACTGTGCATGGGTTTCAATGGGATACTTCACTGGTTGCAAGGGCGACTCAGCAGTGGTGTTATGAACTGGGGGTTGGAATACAGGAGGCAATAGACACAAATGTATCGAGTGTAGCCGCCTCAACTGTTGCTTTTGGAAGCTTGTTCCAGTCCCCTATTGTCTTCGGCAGGAATGAGGAGCTTCTGTACTTCGTTCTTGTTTTTACCAGCCGGAACTGTTTGTCGTGACTTCGTCGCAGTCTGGGGGGAAGATTAACGAGTTTCTGTTTGATTCCGGAGCAGTGCACCAGTCCATTTGTTATCTTGTACAACATGGTGAGCCTGGATAGTCGTCGTCGTTCTTCCAATGTCGACCAGCCCAGTGTTTCCAGCATGCTGCCAACACTCGAGGTGCTTCTGTAGCGGTTCATGACAAAGCGTGCTGCCCGTCGCTGGACCGCCTCCAACCTGTCTATGCTTTTCTGGGTAAATGGGTCCCAGACTGTAGAAGCATACTCTAAAATAGGTCGGACAAAGGCTTTATAGGCTTTTTCTTTCACGCTTGAGTTGCCGATCTTCAGATTGCGCCTTAGGAACCCCAGGGTCTTGTTTGCCCGGTTGCACACACTGTTAATGTGCTCGTCCCAGCGGACCTCTCTTTGGATGGTAACACCCAAGTACTTAACGGAGGAAACTGGCTCAAGAATATGGCCATGCAGTTCGTAAGAGTGGTTTAGAGGGAACCTGCTTCTGGAGACTGACAGGGTTTGGCACTTGACGGGATGAAATTCCATGTCCCAGCTTATCTCCCACTCAGCTAACCGATTGAGGTCTTGTTGAAGCTGGCTCTGGTCAGAGCTGTTGACCATTGTCCTATATACCGCCGTGTCGTCTGCGAACAGTCTTGCTTGAGAGGTCAGCTTCTCGGGCAGATCGTTGATATATGCTAGGAACAAACAAGGGCCTAGCACTGAGCCCTGGGGGACCCCTGACTTAACACCGACAAAGGAGGAGGTTTTGCCATCTACCACTACTGCCTGGCATCGGTCGCTGAGGAAGCTAGAGATCCATGTTTTGGTAGTGCCTTGGATCCCATATCTATGCAGTTTGTGCAATAGCAAGCTATGGTTGACACGGTCAAACGCTTTTGAAAAGTCCAGCACAAGCACATCAGTCTGCTTGCTGTTCTCCAAGTTGGTCGTCAACTCTTCAGCAAATTCAAGGAGTTGGGTCTCGCATGATCTGTTGACTCGAAAGCCATGCTGACAGTCATTGAGTATATTATTTCTCTCCAGGTGATTCATGACCGCGCTTACGATTATGTGTTCCAATAGTTTACATACTACGCTAGTGAGGGATACAGGGCGGTAATTGGCTGGGTCGTAATGTTCTCCTTTTTTGTAGATCGGAGTGACATACGCTGTTCTCCAGTCAGTTGGAACTTTGCCTGTGAATAGCGACGATTGGAAGAGGATTGTTAATGCAGGAGCGATTTCTTCGGCCAATTCTTTTAGCACTCGTGGCTTGATGTTGTCAGGACCACATGCCTTGTAGGGGTTAATGGTTTTAAGAAGTTCCAGCACACCCTTCTCTGAGATCTTGATATCTTCCATGGTGGGATAGGCTGTGCTCATCATCTTGGTCTTCAGCAGGAACTCAACTTCTGAGTACTCTCTACCATCCCCAAAGACCGACTGGAACTGTTGATTGAGTATGTCCGCCTGTTCTTTGGGTTCAGACGTCAACTTGCCTTCCCATCTCAGGGGGGAAACCCCGATGTTTGTTGACCTTTGATGCTTGACATAGCTCCAGAACCGCTTGTTCTTGGCGGTAGTATCTTCCTCTGAGAAGATGCCGTTCAGGCATGTGTATTTACACATTTTTTCAGTATTATTTTGAAAAGGTTGCTAAAATTCTGCCTCATTTTTTAAATAAACATCAAGATACATTAAATAGACTGAGCTGTAGATTTACGCTGCCAATCACTGCAGTTTGAGGTGTATTGATTGCTCAGTCATGAGCAAAAAGTATATGCTAATTTCAATCTCAGCGTAAACCACATGTTAAAGTTAACGGGCAATTGTAGACGTGGGGGTTACAACCGTCAAGTAATCCATTACGTTCATATCATCACTTGACTTACACAAACTTTAATACAGGCCTACCGTTACAAATGTTTGTACACCGTTTAGTTTACTCAGTGGCGTAAGCCTGAAAGACAAGCAACAAAAAAAATATATGGGCATCGGTAGCGACACCAATACTCCCGTCGCGGGCAGTAAAATAAGGGGTTGGGGGGGGGCTTTTATTACAAAACAAAACATTCATAACTTAAGACTTAATGCGTGTTTATTCAGCATCAAGTCATGTTGTGTAATGTAAGTTTGACACAAATGCAAAAGATTTCAATAAAAGTATATAATGTCCGTTGAGAATAGATGTAAATCTTTGTCCCTTTCATGTCAATCATCTTTTTTTCTTTTTTTTTTTTTTAAATTTCATAAATCGAATACGGCATCTGGAGAACTAACCAAAAAAGTAATCGTCGTACCGGGTACGGTATTTAGTCTAATATGTTGGTTAACTATATTTTAGATTTACGTTTTTAGAATGGTTTTAACCAATACATTTTGATAACGGCCGATCATTGTGTGATGTTACGGCCGATTATAATCGAAATTTAAAATTATAAATGCAATAACTCTCATAATCTAGATTTACTTCCCTTTTATTAAAAAGTTCGGTTAAAATTGCTGTGCACATTTTTTTTAAAGATTGTGGGGTGTGGGGGTGTGCAGAATTATGCGGTTTGGCCCGGGGCAATGGTCGGCAAAGTCATTGGTCCAATGAGCCAAAAATTAGCAGCAGGGCGATTTTAAAAAAATTGAGAGCCTCATTTCTTTTCAAGAACATGTCAACAGCTATGTTTTTCGGAGTCGGTTTAAACCTTAAACTAGCTACTAAACATTAAATACAGCCAGATATAATAATAATAATAATCTTATGGACACAAAAATAAAAAAACACTTATTTATTGAAATTATTGTGAACTTTGACCTTGCATTTCCTTGGAAAGTTTTCACAAGTCTGGTTTGTATGTCATTGTTTTTAATCTCAAGCCGGATTCCAGATTCTCATCAGTAACACGATTTCTCCATTTACTCTTGATGAGGTTCATGCTTGAAAATGATTGTTCGCATGTATACCAAGAACCAAAACTAAGACCATCGGTGAACGCTGCTTCTACTTCCATGGGCCCTCGTTCTGGAACCAGCTCCCCTTCCATATCCGTCATTGTGAAACCTCGTCCACTTTTAAAAAGTCCCTTAAAACCCATGTGTTTAGGTCCGCCTATGACCTGTGATGCACCCTCCTTGCCCTGCCTCATTTTCTGTCTCGGGTTGATCCTGTAGTATAGGCCAAAACGTGTAAAAGTGTCCTCGTTTTATAGCCATTTTAATTGTTTCTATAGTATAGCAGTTACTATCCTAGTGTCTCATTTTTTATTTTACTTAGTTTACATGTTTTTAATAATTGTAAAGCGCTTAGAGCTTTAAGGTAAGCGCTATATAAAAAACTGCCTAAATAAATAAATATACCCAGAGCCAAAGAGCCGCACCCAGTTTGCTAAAGAGCCGCATGCGGCTCGCGATCCGCGATTTGCCGACCATTGGCCTTGGGGGGGGGGGGGAGTAATGTGTAAATCAGACCCACTTATATTTTGTGACATCCAGCTGTCATCCAGCACCCACGTAAACTGGCCGTCGTGCATGGGTGATTAGTAGACACAATATTATTCAATTTGAAATTATTTATTTAAGGATTAAATGTATTCAGAAAACTGTCCTATTTCTTTATTTAAAAATGGCTGTGTGAATCTTCTGGGTGTCTGTAGCTTCTGCTGGCTTCCTCTCCTACCAGATGGGCTATGTGGCTTGGACAGGCATTTCTATTGTTTTTAGTTCAAACGTAGGAATAATCCGAACCTACCAAATAATAATAAAAAACAATTCACAATCTATCTTAAGTTGATGGCTAATGCAGGGATTTTTATGTAGGCCTACATAATATATATATATTATTATATATACGTTCTAATATTTTCTATTTTCAGACCGTGCTTGCAAAAAAAGCTTTTTTTTTAAAAAAAAAATGAATCATCGTATCTTAAATTATAATTCTTGTGACCATTCCTACTAGCATTTACTTTAAATATTAACTTGATGTGATATCTGTCAGTGACAACAGCTTTAAGCTCTTTTCATACGTCGTATAAGGCTGAAATTTAGTAGGCTACATTTCCTACATTGATACGTTCTGGTTCTGGCAGTGAACGTTGCTGCATCCATATACTGGCATCTGTGCAACGGTTGGGGAAGCGATGTTGCTATTCTAACAGCTCCTACCGGGTGCCAGGGCAGCCTTGAAGCTTTCGACAGATGTTGAGTCCACAGCGGCATTGTCCAGGTGGTTCCAAGCAATCATTGTGCGTGGGAAGAATGATTGCCTATACTGCACTGTGTTACACCGAGGCACAGTGAAGCATTTGTTATTGTTTCGGGTGTAATTGTTTATGGGGTTGTCAGTGTTGAAATCAGTGTTCAGTGAGCGTTTGGCTCTGATCAATTGACCCGGCTTCTATGGGGTGAGGTACGTGGCTGCTGGGGTGGCCGGCAGCAGCCCCATGACCACTTTGTATAAGTATATCAGGCGGAGCCCCTCTCGTCTGTCTTTGAGGGAGGGGATGTCACATCTTTTTAAAAGGCTAGTGACGAACCCATTAGTGGTGGATTGGTAGTCACGTGCGATAAAGCGCACCGCGTTACGTTGAATTCGCTCCATCTTGTCCACGTCTTGCTTTGGGTGTGGGTCCCAGATGATCGCACCATATTCTAGTAGCGGACGGACGAGTGCAAAATAGGCATTTCGTTGGCAGTTGCGCAGATTTCTTCGAATGAAACCTAGTGTGGAGTTGGCTTTTTTTTTGTTGAAATTTTGTTTACATAGGGCGACCATTTTAGGTTATTTGAGAAGAGATTTATTATGGATTTTTTTATACTTGTTGGAAAACTGTCTCGTTTAAAGAATACATATAGGTTGATGTTGTTGTTTTTTTCCTTGAGATGCTGTTTGTGTAGCATTTTGTTTCATTAAATTTCATGCCCCATGGTCCGCCCAATTCATAAGGCACTTCAAATCTGATTGGAGGTGGTTGTGGTCATAATAGCCGCTTATCTGTCTGTAGACAAGACAGTCATCTGTAAAAAGCCTCACTTGAGATTTTACAGCATCAGGGAGGTCGTTTATATGACAGAGAAAGAGAAGTGGGCCCAGCACTGTGCCTTTGGGGACTCCTGAGTTTACGGTGGCTTTCCATGATCGGACGCCGTCTGCCACTACTTGCGTGGTACGTTGTGTCAGGAATGTTGAGAGCCAGGAGTGAAGGTTGCTTGTAATTTCCGTAGTGGTGGAGCGTGTGTGGAAGAAGGCTGTGTGGAACAGTGTCGAAGGCCTTGGAGAAGTCGAGAATTGTCATGTCAACCTGGATACCTTTGTCATAGAAGGCAAGGAGGTCCTTGGTGGTGATGATTAATTGGGTTTCTGTTGAGAATCCAAAGTGGAAACCGTGGTTTAGGTTGGTCAAGATGTTGTAGTGTTCAAGGTGGTTCATGATGTGGCGACAGATGATGTGCTCTAGAATTTTACATGGGGCGGAGGTCAGGGATATTGGGCGGTAGTTTGCTAGGTTATGACGGTCACCTTTCTTGTAGGCACTAGTGATGTTTGCATCAAGCCAGTCTTGTGGAAGTTTGCCGGAGTCAAGCAACTTTTGTAAAATGTGGGTCATGGTTGGGGCAATGTTGTCAGCCAGGGTCTTCAGGACAATGTTTTGGATACAGCCAGGTCCGGGCTCTTTATTGGGCTTAAGGTTTTTGAGAAGTTTCGAAGCTACTCCTGTTTCAGTTATGTTGAGGTGGCCTATTGTACCAGGTGATTGTTTTAGGGATGGTATGACTGTGGTGGGAATTTTAATGAAGACGGATTGAAACTGCCTTAGGAGAATTTCTGCTTTGCATTGGTCTTCGCTTTTGAGTTGCCCGTTTTCTAGTAGGGGGGGGACTACGCCCATATATTCTCGCCAAAGAGGTTTTCAAATATCCAATATTTATTTATTTAGGCATTTTTTATATAGCGCTTACCTTAAAGCTCTAAGCGCTTTACAATTATTAAAAACATGTAAACTAAGTAAAATAAAAAATGAAACACTAGGATAGTAACTACTATACTATAGAAACAATTAAAATGGCTATAAAACGAGGACACTTTGGCACATTTTGAAAAATCAGCATCAGAAAAGATTTCATGTCATACTGACGACCTCAAAGGGCGAGAACCTGTCACATGACTACGGCGCTAGTTTTGTCTAGTTATTTTTTTTTTGTAAACGTTGCCCATGTTTTTTCTCACCATATAATTTAGAAATTTCTTGGCACTGGTCTGAATAAAAGAATGATTTGTAGAATTGTGCCAATTTATATTTGTTCTTTTTTAAAAATATAGTTTCACTGTCGAATAATAATAATTTATTAACAAATACAATTATGTGCTGCGCGTTTAATTCATTACTTAGATTAGGAGCCGTCCATAAAGTACGTCATGCTATTTTTTTTTTGTACCCCCTCCACCTATGCCACAAATCTCAGGACCCCCCCCCCACCCCAAACACACCTTTAAAAAAAACAAAAAAAACTCACTCTTGTGAAGTAAAATTAACAACTAATCTAAATTTAATCTAAAATACACTGACTATAAGATTAATAACATTTAAAGTGAAATTTTCTGTTAGAATACATCTCAGAAATTTGAAAATACTGTCAATCTCAGAAAGGAAAAAAAAAATAATTAATAAGGGGAGAGACTGCAATTAGTAAAAAGGGAGTAAAACAAAGTGTGGTCAAACTTAAACCTGAAAAAAATGAAAGCATTTTTTGAGATCCTCTATTCATGTTTGACCATACTTTGTTTTACTCATTTCCTTTTTTTTTTTTTTTGGGTCAATTTTAGGCTTTATTTGTATGATAGGAGAATATTTGTTTTAAAAATAAAATGTGTGACCTCACACAAGATCTTTAACCCCCCTCCCTCCTCGCTCCCCTTACCTTAACTTTATTGTTGTTGCTTCATTAAATATTATTAGTAACTTACTGAGTAACCAAACTGGAGAATGTGAATCAGTACAAAAACTTTCAATAACAATGTCATGCATTATTAATTTTGCTGTGGATTTAAATAATAAAAATTCATAGGACATCGCCCTAATAAATGTTGAAACAAGTTAACAATGGTCTAGAGCAGGGGTCGGGAACCTATGGCAAGCGAGCCAGATGTGGCTCTTTTTGGCTGCATGTGGCTCGCAGACAAATGTTGGATTATAAAAAAAAAGGTTGCATTAATGGTAAGAAATACACATTATTGTTTAGCAATAGCATAACAATGTTATTAAAAAGAATTCAGAGACATAATTATTGCATTTTTTAGTGTTGAAATTACACAAAATGCACACATTTACTTGAATTTTTAGTTTTAAACATATGTATGGATTTCACAGAATTACTTTTCAAAATATGTAGTGTCCATGGCTCTCTCAGACAAAAAGGCTCCCGACCCCTGGTCTAGACTATAAACACGGGGTTTAATGGAAATAAGTTTTACACTAAAAATGTATGTACTGAACTACTTTGTTAAAATAATAATAATAAATTGGGAAATCCCAATTCTAGCTAGATCTAAATGCATTGCGTTTTCCCGCTGACGTAAGCTGTAAGCCGTAAGCTGATTCACTTTTTTTTTCCATTTGTCATACGGCATACGGTGTGCAACCTTTTCATAATTATAAAAATGAGACATTGAATTGATGATATAATCAAACCTGTACAATTAAAATTGTATCTGTCGCCAAAAACAGTTTTAAAAAGGTGTAATATATTGTTAAGTTAAGAGTCAAGACAAGGACAGAACTAGAAGTAGGGCACGGGCCGGGAAACTCAGAAGTATGTCGGAGTAGTCGGATTAGACTTTATAATTTATATAATTTGGTGCCGATGCCAGCCCAGACCTAGGCTAACATACTCATCATACTGACTCAACTGTCACTGACGAAAACTACACATTCGGGTTTCAACTCTTGAGTACTTAGAGTTAGACTTACATAATTTGTAGCTTACTGACTGACTTACTGATACTTGACTTTAATTTATTAGTCACTATTATTAGGCTAGGCCTATTCAAAGTTTTTCCTAAATATATTATATATATATATAAATATATATTTAATATATATATAAAATATATTTTTTTTACTGATCTTGATGATCTATGCTGAAGTATGCTGGACTCTGCGGTAAATCTGGTAATACTTGTCTGTCACAACTTGTTACCTGATTTCTTCAATAACTTTTGAATTATCATTATCATTTGTCATTGTTATGAGTTAAGTATTGTGAAATGTGTTAATTTAACTATTAATTATATCAATAACTGCAGTTGTAGATCATGGATGACTATGAATAATGATAAAAATGACATTAATAATAATGACATGAGTCATGTCATTATTATTAATGTCATTTTTATGACAAACTTCTGTGAACAAAAAAATGACTTTTTAAGATATCTCACCAATTTTAATTTGCATAGATATTCCTTGCTATTTTGCTCAGCCTTATTTTCAGTAAATGAATAATGAAAAGGCCAAATCATTTCCAGTGCCTTAATGAATGTCAGTCAACAATAATAAAATAATAATAATATGATTTATTATTTATATTAATAATTAATCAAACTATATCTATTACAGTTGTCAGTTGTAGTCTACCATCTACAGTACAGCCAGTGACAATTATTGAAGACATCAACCTGAAAGTTGAGACAGCAGAAGAAGCAGGTGATTTAGTGTTTCTCATAATAATTATACGAGTATGACACATTATCATAATCACATATTTGACACAGGCGTAAAGGAACTTAATTTCTTTTTCTTTTTTAAATTTTGTGTCATTTCCAGTAATGATAAATTATAAGAAACCAATATCACAATAATTTATAATTAGTAAAAATTATTATTAGTAATATTAGGCCTAATTGAAAAGTAATCGGACTAATAGTAATAGTTTAATAATTCATCTTAATTTTTCATGCATGCCAAACTGCAGGATCAAAAACTGTGCAAAAAGTTTTTTAAATTTTCAATGGCATGAAAAACTGTACAGCAAAAAAATGAAAAGTAAAACAAGTTTAATTTATAATTTTTTCATTTAATTATCAATGTTTTGAATGCATGCAAACTTGGCCTTTTTGATCATTTCTGAATTAGTTTGAAATCCTGACCCTAACAACAAGTGAGATTTAGATATGTTTGAAATTAAATTTGCAAATAAGACCCCTACCCTTGTAACTTTATCCGACAGATTATTTACACATGTTGGCTTGAGACAAGTTGGATTTAGGCCTCATTATCATACTAATCATAGAAGTAGAATTTTCTTTCCATTGCCTCAAAGTTTCATTCATGCAACTTTGTTTTAAAATGTGCAGGCACTTAAATATCTTTTTTTTGCAAAATGCTTGCAATGATCTGATTGATGAGACATCGATAATTCAAGGGACTTAGAAACTTACTCAAGTGTCTAATTAATCCATTTTTTTAATATGAGGTTCATCCACTTAATTAATTGGAAATCTCTACCTGTAGTAAATTAATAAATTTAAAAAAAAGAACATAAAATTCTTACTCTTACTGATGTTGGCTCTAACTCTAAATAAAATATAGACCTAGAAGAAACCAAACATGTTTGCATGTATGCTTTTTTCACAAAATTCATAGACTGTTGTGATTCTTCTTTTCCTCTCTATTGACTAGCTTATCAAAATACAAAATTCTTTATGTAACAATGTTACTAATGCTACCTGATGGTGCTGATTTCACTAAATAAAATTTCTGATAACTGCGCTAAATGAGATTCTTAAATACATAATAAAATTCCTGATAAATGTACTATATGAGATTCTTTAAAATGCTGCAACTGTGTTTGATACATAATATTATACTTTTGTTTTACAGAAATAGTTAGGGGGAGTTATTAGCACTAATTGGGAATCTTATAAAGTGCAATACTTAAATGCATGTTTTGTCAAGTAACTTTGTGTTTTGGGGCCGCCATTGTTTGGCGGGCCATAGCCAGTTAAACATACTTAATTTACCTAACTGTCTAAACTAAGGTGATCAAACGCCCCGTATAAACAGGATTGTCACGTTTTTTCACGATCGTACCTGTTGTCCCGAAAAAATCTCTCGGGACACCTAAATGTCCCGTTTTTTAAACCAAACACATTTTCAAATCACTAAAAATTCCTAATTTATAATATAATTTCAAGTAATATTTTGGCTAGCTGTGTAGCCAGTGCCAATAGTGATGTGGGCTCGGGTGATGGCTGCACTGTTCCCCCTCCACAACAGTGTCCCTGCCATAGATCTTATATGTAAATGTATAGCGAAAGACAAGAGACTTGAAGCAGTGGGGGTGGGATGTAACTGTGCAGAAACCAATTTTGTTTCCGCTACCATTACGTGTAATGCGTTAGTCTTATGTGTGATCCCTGCTGGCCTGTTCGTGTCAAAGTGACAGGTATTTGTTTTGGGTTTTGAACTTTATTCTTTAATTTTATATTATCTTCTCATGTAGATAATAATTATGCCCAAGCGTCAATGTAAGTTTACGGAGGAGTATTACAAAGAGTGGAACTATATTAAAAAAGGACGATATGAAAGTGAAGCCGAGTGCACAGTGTGCAATAATGTTTTTAGGTATTGGTATTCCCCCCCCCCCACTCCTCACTCCCCAAGACCGTCCTTGAAAGTGTCCCGTTTTTTCCAGTTCATGATTTAGTGACCCTAGTCTAAACAAATCATTTGAGTTTTACTTTTCATTCAGTTACAATAAATATCTGACTCCTAATAGTCATAAATGTTTATAATACTCTGAATCTGAGTTAGACTACTGTTACTCTGCATCTATTGCACTGCAGTTGTGGTACTAGAATAGAAAATAGAAAATTCAGCAAATAAATTCAAAGCTAGGTCCAAAGTGATAAAATTTGCTAATATTATAAATGTGTCTTTACCCTTTAAAAAAATTATTTAAAAGCTATACTGTTTCCTCAAAAATTTATAATCATCTTCATATAAATAATATAATATAGACCAAGTTGGAGTTTGTAATTTTTGCCGTTAAAAAAAGTAATTTCATTAAAAATCTTTCTATCCATCTTGATTTTGGTTAAAAAGTAATAACCATAAAACTTAACTTCACTATGTAAAATTATCCTAGGCTTTTATACATAATAAATAAAAAAATATATCTAAAGCTCTTATCTTACTTATATTTTAAAAATAATTTAATATTTTATTTTATACCAGCAAACATTTTATTTTGAAAAATCCCATTTCCTGTAATTTCAGGGTTTTTTTATTCTTTTTTGCTCACCCTCTCTTGATTTCAAAACATTCCCCACAACACTTTTTTTCAGACATTTAAAAAATGACTTCGATGGAACTAAAAACAAGGCAAGAAATTGATGAAATTATTCACATGGTCTTATTTCAAGAAAAAGACCCACTAGAAGGTGAGTTTCCTCTTTTAAACCAGAGATCTCAAACCATCAAAATATGTTCATAAAAATAATAGCCTCTTTATCCTTATTAATCCATAGAATTTTTTTAGAATATAGAATATTGAGATTATGCATATTTATAATCCAAATTTAATGAAAAACAACCAATGAACAATTTGTATTGCTTCAATATCCAATATTTCTTAACAAGGAAATATTATATTATATAATTTATAATTATACTTATGAAGCTATACAAAATTCTTAAACACTATAGATTTTTAATGTTTAGATAAAATGTATATGTTTACTCAGAAACAATAAATTAAAAAATGTGCAGAATAAAAATAATGATAGGTCTTCTTGTGAAAATTTGATACTTAACGTTAACAAAACAAAACAAAGTTTCAAATAACGCCTTAAAGGTATTATGTTAGTTTTATTTGTTTCTCCTAACCATAGATCATTATAAATGCATACATAGTTTCGAATTTCCAACAAAAGTTGGAAACTTGTACAGAGATGACAAAAAAAAGTCATTAAAATACTTTATAAGGGAAATATGTTTATTTCATATGAGTAGTTTATCTTTATATGAATCATATATATATATATATATATATATATGATTTATATAAAAATAAACTACTCATATATATATATATATATGAATGAAAGTGAAAATTTGTTTGTGGCTTTGTTCCGCATAGGTTTCAACATGGATTAATCGATCATGACCAAACTTGGTACATAAATCCATCATTATCTAGAATGAAATACTGGGATTTTAAAACGTTTTATAATATTTCTTTTAGGTCCCTAAATTCTCTTTTTTTCTTATATGAATAAAATTACTAATAAATACTCCTACATGAAAAGATGGATCTAAGCAAACTTAGTACACGTACACTTGATTATTAATATTGAAATACCCATGAGTAATGAACTCATAATATTCCCTTCTTTAGGGCCTGGGGGTCCATTTCATTTTTCCTATTAAATAAATACAAATAGGCTTAGACAATACTATAGGTTTTATGTGAATTCATGGATCTAGGTCTAGCTGGGTAGCAATACCCTTCATAGTCCCTATTGAAATATTGGTGGGTTTAAAAGTAATAATATCCAATCCATTCAGGATATGTCTAGAATTTTTAGAAAATTTCACATAATTTCAAGGAGGCATGATAATTGCTAGATGCCTGCTTAACCATTTTAATATACATCTTGAGAAGGGTCTCCTGCCAGAATATTAATCCAGTTTCTGTAAAGAACATGAAATTATTGATATGGTATTTGCAGCCAGGCATCTATAGGAAAAATCAAGGAACAGAATATTGACCTCTTCTCTTCCTTTGTTGACCTGATCAAGGCTTTCGACACTGTTAGTGGAGAAGGTCTCTGGAAGATCATGGCAAAATATGGATGCCCCAGAAAGTTCATATCATGGTACAGCAATTCTATGATGGTATGCAGGCTGGGGTTCTGGGAATTGGAGAGTCTAAACCATTCCCTGTCGCATCAAACAAGATAATGTTCTGGCACCAACACTTTTCAGCTATGCTGACTGATGCCTTCAAATCAGGAGATTTTAGATTGGCATCAGATACAGAACTGATGGTAAGCTATTTAAGTTCAAGAGGCTACAAAGTGGCTGTGTTCCCTGCCCCTCTTGATGCCTGTGAAACATGCACAGTCTATCAATGCCATGGAAGAAAGTTGAACCAATTTCACATGAATCGCCTCATAAAAATCATCATCTAATGGCAGGAAAGGGTCCCAGACGCCAAGATACTCGCTCAGACTTGGTTAACTCTGTACTTGGAGGTGTCCCATCCATTCTTTGCACAAGATCATTTTGTTCCGGAAACAGCTATCTCTGCCCCGATAGAGAGAATCAGAACCAGCATGAACCCTAATGCTTGAAATGGTCTTGATAGATTTTGACGGAGAACAAACATTAACAATGAGATATATGAGAGTCAAATTTTTTTTTAAACCCTGTCATTTAGAATATTTAAGTATGACTCTAATCATAGCAAATTTTGACGCTATTTTTTAGATGATGGCGAAATTGATGAAGAGGAACAAGCAGATGCAGGTGTAGAGTCTGACCAACAAGGTATTTCCTCAGTTGATCTTTATCTCCATATAGTGTGTTAGTTCACCTGGTGATAGGTAATTCAATCATTATTCCTGGAATGCTGGATGGTATAAGAGGTGATGTGTTACTGTCTCTTTAATGTTTGCAGAGTGGTAAGTTGGTGTTGTATCTGGTTGAGTTGTGAGTTTAGTTGGGTGTGTCCTTGTGCCAAGTTGAAAGATTATGCTCCATTAAATATAATATTTCTGTTGCTTCAGTAGTTTATCCATTAACTCTGTCTTCTTTTGTGTTAGCTCTGATAATCTCATTGGCTTTGTCACGTGATGCTGGTATATTTGGCTATTCATTGGATTCTCACTGTTCTGCTACCGGTACTGAAAATCTCATTGGAAATACATTTAATATAACAAATGAAGAACTATTTTGATTATTTTATATGATTTTAAGGAGTCGATAAATTGTTTTTTATTAATATTTCACCACATTTATCGGAAAACCCAAAGAATCTGTGGGTTTTCTTTTAGAACTTAGTTAATATTGCAAAATTTAATTTACATTAATGTTATCCAAATGTCTCCTTTTTCAAAAAATATCAAATTAAAATGTTTGATTGAACTCAAACAAAGAAAATTATAACAAACTTAAAAGAACTTAATTTAATTTAAAATTGCACAAATCAATAGCTTTAACTTTTGCTGATTAATAACCATGAGGGACATTCCCAAAATGTAATGCTATAAAAGGTGAAAAAGAGGTGTTATTTTATAAAATAATTAGATATCATACAAATTAAGAAAATAAAATTTAGTTCAAGGACATTGACAAACATTGGGTAATAGATTTACATAAGTATATTTTAAAATCTCAAAATGCAATCATTTTACACATGTGAAAATTTAATCTTTAAAAGATAGCCATATAATATTATCCCTTTAACATTCAAACTTCAAAGGCATCATAAAAGATGGGTTAAGGTTTCTTTTAAAATATGAAAATATATTTTTTTTTCCACTCTGCGAAAATTTCTATGAGATTAATAGTACTTTACTAAAACACCCAAGGCAGTTGCAGACGTGAAAATGAGTTAAGAGCTTCTTTATTAAATAAATGAATTATGTTTTTTTTTACAATTTTAAAATAATATAGAAGGGAAGCGAGAATAAAGTTTGATTCAATTTTGAAGGTACCAATACAGGTACGGTATATCAAATTCCAATTTTTAAAAGATATTTCAAATGGTAAATATATTTTTTGTTGTAAATTTGAGGATGTATTTTCACAATTATTAAAGAAAAAAATTTTAGTTCAAAGGTAGGGTAAGCCTATATTATATAGCAGATAAATATTTCTCCAGACTAAATGGTGTTAGAAAGATAAACATCATTACATAGATTTTTCTTTTTGAAATTAGGAATTCTCATTAACCATTTCCCAAATATATATATCAAGGATGTGGAATATTGTTGTTGTTTTCTTGTTTTTTTATGATTATACAAAATATCAAAACCTGTGTCTGGTATTGACATAAAAATTGGATTATTATGTGTATCGCAAAATGCTTACCATTATTATCATGGTAACATCAGGTCATATGTTCTAGTTTAATGATATTATAAATTTTTTAAAAATTCTTATTATTTAGATTTATAACATTATGACAGGAATATATGAGAAAGGAATAAAAAAAATATTTTGTTAAGTTTTAAAATATTTAGTAATATATTATTTGTTAAATTGAGTTGAATGTCTCATTTAAATGTATTAAATATTAATAATTTTTAAAAATACTCATAATTTTTATTATTTCCTAGAATATCTTTCCCATCTATCCTATTTTCTTGCAGCCCTCAGAAGTTTTTCATTATGTAATATGGGCCTCCTCACATTTTTAATTGTGCATGCCTGGTCTAGGTACACATTTCTATAATAGACTTACATATTTAGGGAATTTCACAAATTGCTCTTTGAAACTAACTAAAAAAAAAATTTAATGGAAACTTTTAAGTACTGTACATTATTATAAATACCATAAAATAATGTGCACCTGTTGTATAAAAATTTTAAATATTTTTTCTTGTCCTTTTATGAGATATATTCAATTTTAAGAACTTGTATAGTATTTAATGCTATAAACTTTAATAGTTTAAACACTCCTCAGTGTTTTTAAGTCATTTCAAATTCTTTTGCTGGAAATATATTTCACAAATAAAAATTTTAGGCCATATACATTTATTATATCAAAATTTATTGCAGAGCTTTTCAGAAAAAGATGTGGTCAAATTCTTGGAAAGATGGGTGATGAATTTTATAAAGAAAAGGCAAAAGGTCAAGCTGATGTTCAAGGTGATTTTGTTTACTATCTCCATTAATATTAATTTGCATTCTCAAAAAAAAATAAAATTGATGAGTAAGTAATTTTTATTCCTTTGATAAACTTTTAAAATTTATATGAATCTTAAATTTGAAAAAATGTAAATTTATTAGACTGTAAGTAGCTTTTATTTTAAAAGCTTTTAAAACTGATTATTCAAGGGTCCAATTGTACCCTAGGTGTCTCAAATGAAATGATCTATTATCATAGAAAACTAAGAATACAAAATGAAAAATAGACATTTCGGATTTGAATTTAATGTCTCTTCACATAATGTGGCAGTCAGAAATTTTTTAAATATGGCAATAAAAAAAACAATGTCGAAAATGTTTCATTTTAAGTTAATCATTAGCTTGGAGTCAGATGATGAAATTCTTATAATTCTTCTACCTGTCAATTAGAAGCTGTGGAATACATAACTATCTTTTTATTTTACTATGTATCATAAAAAGAACTGAGGGAAAATGTTCAACAAAATTCTGCAACTACGGAACAGTGTGAATGCTGTAATTTATGGTAATTTATTTTTATATAAATGATAAATGTATGATTTTTTTTTCCAACAGAGCAATTGCAACAATCCCAAGTCCAAGAAGTGATAAATGCATTGAGTGAGGTATGTTAATGTAAACTTCTCAAAATTTAGTGTCGGACAGATTTCAGATAGATTTATAAAAAAAATAATACGAATTGTTGGTAATTCTAAATTTGTCTAAATATATCTTAATATCCTTCAACAACACTCATTTTTTTTTTTTTCAAATCAAAATATCTAAATCACGCACTTATTAATGAAAATGACAAAAATGGCAAAATGTTAATCTTGCATTATTTCACACAGTGTTGTTGTGTTGTGACTTCACTTTTTTATGTCTTGTATCCTTCTCCTTTGTTTTTTTGACGTTGAACTAACGTTGATGATTGTCTCTCTAGTTTGATTATCTCTCCTGAGAAATACCTTTAGAAGTTAGAAGTATAATTTTTCAACACTTAATTCCAACAGACAGTATCCTTGAAGCTAAAGCAACTATAATATATATGACCACTGCTTTATTTTGTACGTCAGGATAAATGATGGCAAAAGTTTCAAGAAGTCATAGACAGTTACACAGAGGGAAATTAATTATTTATTTATTTTGAAAGATTAACGTTTACATCTAAGTCATCGTGAAAGATTTTTTGTCAAAGACAATATTTTCTCCTTATACTAATACTAATATGCTGAAAAAAAATATTCAGAAATTGCCTTTAAAAGTTAGGTAGTTTTTAATAAATAATTTTACAAAACTGAAAACTTTTGCATAGTTAAAACCTATGTTTGTCAGAGCCCATGGGGGATTGCATAGCATCCTTGAAGTTAAAGTAAATATCATTTATCTCTCCACTGCTTCATTTGTATACCAGGCTAATTCTTGGGAAAAGTTTAAAGAAGTCATAGACAGTTCCACTGAGGGAACTGTCGTTGGAGATTCTTACAAAACCCTAGGCTCTCTAATATTGGTTCTACATGGTTTACGCAGCCTAGGAGAAGGAACCAAAAATCTAGCTGCCAGATTAGCAAGACGATATGTTTCAGAGGCAAAATTAGACAAAGATATTGCTCGTATGGGAGGCCTGGTGAGTATCTTGAAAACTTAACATTTGTGTGCTTATTAATGTAATATAATCATTTTTCATCTAGCATGATTATTTTTATTTTAAGTTTAAGGCTTCTTTAAAACAAACAAACTTGTTAACACAATTATTCCTTCACTTCCTAAAATTTAGCTAGCCTTTAATAAACCTACTGAATTGAAACGATGCTCATTCATTGGTTATGTAGCTTTTCACCTCATTTGCTAATGCAAGCATTTTTTACCAGTTCATTTTCATTAAAATGGTATTGTAAAAGCCCAGTGGAACCACAGAGAAATTGTCATCATTATTCTCATTTCCTCGCTCTGTGTTCCTTTTTTCTTCTCTTTCTCTCTCTTTAAAATGCTCCTTTTCTTCATACTGTTTGGCTTATTTTTCTATACATTCAATTAGTTGGGTGTACAGTTCTCAAAGAAACTATTCTAATGCTGTAAAGAAATGATTACAGTATTATTTTTTGAACAATAATTGCTCTAAATTGATAAAAGATTAAATTTGAATTTGTTCTTGTTTGAATCTTTCCTTTGGGACCTCATTTAATACTAATGTCTACAGTGAAGTTACCTCATTGAAGCTGTTTTATAAATGTTTTACCTTTTTTCTTTTCAGCCAAAATTTTTAGCAGATAATTTAGATTAATTGTTATAAATAAAGCTTCCTAAACATGTGTCTCCTCCAAGATTTGAACAAGAATCCGACTCGAGAGAATAAACAAGTTTTGCAGTACTTATGTCCACTGAGTGAATATGGTCCCATTCTTAGAAATGTTTGATCTTTAATGCTCAAGCCAAATTGTGAACTGATGATCTCAAAGAAATAATACATTTACCAAAAATATCTTTGATTTCTTTTTTTAAAGAATTTTTTTAAAAATTGTTTTTGCAAGAGGAACTATTTCTTGCTAACTTATGTAGTTTTGCAATTATTGTTTTATAATAAATTTTAAAGTATTTTTTAAATTTTTGTGATATTATAGTTCAAAAGCATTCAATTTAAAAAGTATAAAAAACTATGTGTAATTGTAAGAAATCCTGCAAATGTAAAGAATATTTTTTAATTATTTTTTTTTTGTGCCAGAATGTTTTTACTGTAAGTTGTCAAATAAAATCATATGGCTTAAAACTATGTCATTGTAATATATTTTTTTTCAAGACAATATTTTCTCCTCCTATGCATAAAAAATATTCAGATGTTGTTTTATAATTTTAAAAAACATTTTGCATAGTTATAACCTATGTTTGTTATAGGTCGTAGGGTATTGCAAACTGCTTTGTTGCAAAACCATGGATGCTAACTCAGAAATTTATGTTGCATTGCAGATGAATTTAGTTTCGCAATATTAGCATATGCCTTACAAGTAAACTAAAGAGAACTAACCTTCAGCTTTAACAATAAAGAAGTAATATGGGGCCACAAAAATCTTTAAAATCTAAAAAAAAAAAAACTTTTTAGAAGTAAGTAATGCATTCCAAGACAAGTTTTATAGCACTTATTACTGTATTAATTTGATGCAATCTATTCATGTCAGAATAACATTTACATCTATGTGTAACTTATTTATTTGTAAATCATTAGAAATGGTTCTTGTACTTGTTTGTTTTATATCATTCATAAATGTATATCAGTTGCAAAATTCTTCATTCATAAATGTACCAGGTAAATCAATTGCATAATCTTAATTTATTTTGCTTCCCAAAAGTATTTTTGGGGGCCATCCACATATTATATATGCACGGGGGAGGGGGGGGGGTGTGTGTCCATTTGGGAGATTTTTCACATGCAGGTGGAGATGGGTCTGGCCGAATGTGCTTGCAGCTACGCACAAATTGTGCAAAAATAATTCTGATAGTCATAGATATCCTATTTTAATACATCTTATAGAAGAATAAGCCAATGACCTACAAAAAAACTGAAATCCATGATTTTTTATTATTTCGGAAGGTTATGAAATTATCATGGAAAAGTTGCATAACACTGTTGCCTTTTGTTGTCTCAAATGAACTCGCTAGTTATCACAACATTAATATATAGCCTATTTCCATCTTTAGTCCGCCGATTGCCATTGGTGCGCTCCTGTTAGTGTGACCCAATTATTGATGTAACACTTTGTTTGACTGTACTGATACTAAAGATTATATTTGCTATGCCAAACAGACAGCGGAGAACACACATGATAACTTGTAACATGGTTTATGTCGACTTTTTTCAATAGCTGTGTCTCATATTTGTCTATAAATTTATGGAGACAGATGTTTGTAGGTGGGGGGGGGGGGAATTCTCATTTGTATGTTCGCATTGAGGGATTGTCCAAAAATGTATGGGTGCAACAAAGGAGAGGAGGGTATGAAAATTTGAATTTTTCTGAAAGTAATATTGTGGATTGCCCCTTACTGATTCTTGTTTTATATGTGTATTATTTACGTAATTGTTGCGTATTATTTTTTATTTGATATTGTCATAAAATGAAATTGTAATAGATAACACAGCTATTTGTATCTTAAATTAGTTTCTAATGATGTCAAAGACATTGCCCTAATGATGTCAAAGACATTGCCCTAACGATGTCAAAGACATTGCCAAACAGTTGTTATCAAAGGTTTATTTCTCAGGTATTTAACATACTGTTACCGGTAGCCAGCAACTACAAAATGCCTTAACAAATTATTTGTCCTAGAGGCATGGATTTTGAGCAAAGCTATTTTGTGTGATTGAAAAAATAGATGTCCCAATCTTTACTTTATATACATTAATATAATAAATGGAAAAATATATTATAGTATTTATTTACTTCGACCATATGTCTGATTGATTAGTTCGACTTGTTTTGGTTGTCAGCACTGGGCGTTATCTTTCATGGTCTTCTTTAAATATATTTTAAAGTATTTATATTATTTTTAACCTCTCTGAAATTCCCAAGAGCCATAGTTCTGTGTTATTAGTTGAGCATTATGTGTTATACCTGGTAGTGATATTGTGCAGACCTGTTTACTCTTACGATTTTGGCGTACAATGTACGATTTTGAGGTGTTAGCATGTATACTGTATGTTTATTTTTTTACTATAAATATAAGGTTTTGAACGATTTTGTGATAATATTGTACGTTTTTAATAGTTTGAGAGTAAACAGGTCTGTATTGTGAGAACTAAGAACATGTCTCATGTCCTATATGTTCAGTGAGATTTTTTACCTATCTTTTTAACTATAAAGGTAAACTTGAAACAGTAACATTAATTTATTTTAAAGCAAAGTTTTGCCCTTTTGCATGTGTTTTTACAAAAACATTCCAAATGTTTTAAACATTTTTTCCCCCTTATCACTATGCTGTAAACCTATGCAATTTTATTTTTGAAAGAGATGTTCACTTCTAGTGTAAATGCATTAAAATCAAGTGAGCCATAAATACCACAACTGAACCCAACAAATAGTTGCGTATATAATATATAACAATTATGGCATTGTTTGAAGCTTATTTGTAACAAAAACGTTTTTTACGAGACTGCTGACTCAGCCTTAGCCATTGTCTTTTCTCCCTTTCTGATTTTATAAGGTGCCTTAAGTCTTAGTGCTATTTGAAAATAACCTGCTGGTTGCAAGCAAGGAGTTTGAATGAGTAATAAAATCAATTTTTCATTAATTAATTGGCTTGAGATTTTTTTTATTCAGTAAAAATGATCAGTCAGGTTTTTAAATTTGTAAAAGCAATAAAAAGCCTAATACTAATAATAAAGCATTATGTAAGAAAATATGTTTTGTGCCATTACTTTTAAGTTGATTTTAACCTGAATTGTTAGGCCTACCAACCTCATCAAAATATTGACTCTAGATTTGTTTGACATTGATTCAGTTAGCAGTCTTGATTTGACAGGGGATTGTAGTGTTTCAGTTTCACTAATTTTGTTAGTACATTAAAATTAAATGATTAAAGTTTGTTAAACATTTTTTTTCACAGTTGAAAATAATGAATGGGGGGGGGGGGGGGGGTGTAATCAAATAGATTTTTGTCAAAAATTGGGCTATTTAGTGGCAGACTTAAATATAATATGTCATCACATATAGAGTGGAGAGAGTTGACAGTGTAATTTACTAATACTAACACCAGTGGCCGGTTTTTTTTAAAATCCTTTTGAAATTGGGTTTTAGAGTTTTAATTAAAATATAAGCCTTTATGTGCCATACCAGATGTGGTACAATAATGACCCAATCACGTATTGTACAAACTTTAAGGGCTGTAAGAATTGCCGTTGTCATCAAAAAGGCAAGTTCAGTGGTGTGCTGCAATGACAATTAAAAAATAATTTAAAAAAAGCTCTTTATGTTTGTTCAAGTTTATGAAATTAAAGAACAATACTGACCAAATGAAAAGCTGCCCTTAAAACTTAAATTAAGGACGCAAACCTGTTTCTTAATGAGCTCGACAATTACTTGTGGCATACAAGGTTTTAAAATGTATTAAAAAGGTTTTATATTTTCAAATGGAGGAAGAGTTAAAACGCTCGACTGTCGACTACCACTTTATTTTTCATGTTTTCTATTTTTCAATCATTTTAAAGAGTCAACGTAGATATGTGTTAGTGTTGTTGAAAACCAAGGCGGTTTTTCTCATTCAGTAATTGTGATATTTTTCTGCTATTACAAATTATATGAAATGGGGAAAGAGAGAAAAAAAATTGCCCCTTGATTACGCTTCGATGACCTCCATAGCAGCCATAATAAAAAATAAAAAACGTTCGATCGCATCCCACAGGCCTGCACCGCTCTATGATAATGAAATAGGAACTAGCTTATCACAACTATTTTATGACAGGCAATTAAATTATAAAAATGGGAACCCTAAACGAAATATTTCATCCATGTGGCACCCATCATATATTTTCTTATTGAATTTATATCCGTGAAATATATCAATATATTATACATACTAGCAAATTTACCCGACATTTGCTGGGATTGCATTCGGAAAAAAAAAAAAAACTTCTACAGCCTTTTTCATTAGCATTGAAATTAAGCGCCACCTAAAAAAACAAAAACACCGCTATTGTAAAAAAAACAACATAATTAATTTGCCTCCTGTAAAAAACACATATGTAATAACTTTTGTAGACCTCTCGTTTCCCGGTGGGATCACTATCTCCGATCCTTGTGAGTTCCCGCTTCCGTTTTCCCAGAGTGACCACGATCCAGTTTGGGTCTAGACCTAGACCAAGGTTTTATACCGATCCCGGTGGGATCCCGAGATAGGGAGCCCTATAAAAATCAATCAGATAAATAATAAAGTTAAAATTTCAAATTTATTCCATTAAAATCAGTTTTTTTTTAAAATAAATGATCGAAATTTCTGGAAAATTCTAGATTGGCCCTGATTGGATTGGATAGGATATTATTTATTTTAAATCCGTCATATTTCAATACGGACTATAAAGGGCATTGTTCCAAAGCTTCGTCTAGATCCATCAATTCACATACAAAAACATTTAATCTATAGTGTTTTCTAACTATAGGGCCATCCATAAATGACATCACGTGTCGGGGGGGGGGGGGGGGGGTCAGATTTTTGTGATAATGTGTGACGAGGGGGAGTGGGGACTTAAGCAATGTGACGTCAGATGAAAAGCGGAATAATGTAGTAAAGAATTGCACTTAATGACCCTAAATTACATACATTTTAAACATTATTCTTTTATACACCAATTATAGCTATTTTATTTTTCAACTACGATCACAGAGAGAATCAGTGCGGGTATGCGAGGTCCTCTGATCAGGTTACAGGACGCCAAGGAGGAGGAGAATCGGGATGTAGTTATGGACACGGGAGTCGTAGAATTAGGACTAACACCTGAAGTGGGATGGAACAGGGGGAAAAATGGTGTGTGTATGGGGGGGGGGGGTAATTTCAGTCAAGTGCCCTGGGGCAAGGATTTTTAATCTGTTTTTTTTTTTTTTGCAGCGTTGCAGGCCCACTCCGTTTTAGTCTAAGCCCTCCCTCCCACAATATAAATCTTGTAATAAAATTTAAAAAATAAAAACAATCAAATAATTTAAACGTAGTTTTATTTCTTTAACTAACAAGGGGGAACAAATACCCAAAACAAGCAATGCGAAACAAAATTCACCACAAAAACATTTACTGCTGCTAATCAGAATGCATAAAAAAGGCAGCAACAAATAGCAATGGCAGCACATAAAATTTTCCGGTCTTCCACACCACAGACTGTGGAGGTACTTTTACCCCTGCCCCAGGTTAAGACACACTGTTCTAGTAACATGTTTCTGACACAGGTGCAGTAATTTGATATCCATGGGAAGTTAATTTCTTAAGGTGGTCCATTTGTCAAAAAAATATTTCTGTTTCTTAAATATTTTTTTTTAGTACATACTAACTATACACCAATAGAAAGATAAAAAAAAAACATAGTAGTTTATTTTGAAAAATAAATTTAAACTTTTATTGCAAAAATATATAATTTTATACCAATATTGACAGTTACGCAAAATGTAATGAAACTTTGCAAACTCATTAAAAATACAGTTTTAAAAAAAAAATGACACCCAGCTTTCTGCATTACAGTTATTGGAGCACCTACAAATGACATATTTGTGGGGTCACATAAATTGTTGGGAAAATACTGGGGGTAACATATGTAAAAAAATAATTTTAAAAGTTTGTTTGGACATAATATCTAAAAGAAGGAGGTGTTATTATGTAGATACTATCAATGTTAAGAAGCATGGGAAGTTTGAAGCCTGTATCTGTAATACTTTACTTCCTGATACATTTCGCGTTCATGAAAAATCTGAAAAAATGCAAAGTTGTGAAAAACGAAAAAGATTTTTTTTTTTGTAAATTAAAGACTACTTGAACAATATAGGATACATATACCATGTACATGAACCATTCATAAATTTAAAAAAACAATAAAAAAACACATATGTAAAAGACATAAAATTAATTACGTCATGTTTTCAAAATACCCCCCCCCCCACCCCCAGTCCCAAATACAAATAAAATAATTATAAAAATAATTTTTAAATCTCTGCATGAAAGATCTAAAAGAAGGAGGTGTTATTATGTAGATGATATCAATGGTGAAAAGCATGGAAAGTTTGAAGACTGTAACTATAATACTTTGCCTCGTAATGCATTTGGCATTCCTGAAAATCTGAAAAACGCAAAGTTGAGAAATAAAAAAATATAAAAAATAAAGACTACTTATTGAGCAATATTGGATGCATAAACCATGTACATATACTCTTCATAAATGAAAAACAATATAAAAACACAGATATAAATGATAGAAAATAAATAAAGTCATGTTTTTAAAAGCATACTTTTGTGGTAAATAACATTGTTATAAAATAAAAAATTCTGGAAAAATTATCTATCATGTGAGGTATGAAGATATAACACTTTCTTCCTAAGCAAACAAGACCCTAGGGTTCTTAAGGCGAAATCTAAAGATTGGCAACTCCTGTGTGAAAGAAAGAGCATATAAAGCCTTTATCCGTCCGATTTTAGATTAAGCATCTTCAGTCTGTGACCCATTTACCCAGAAGAGCATTGACAGGTTGGAGGCGGTCCAGCGACGAGCAGCACGCTTTGTTCTAAACCACTACAGGAATACCTCTAGTGTTGGCAGCATGCTAGAAACACTAGACTGGTCACCATTGGAGAAACGACGATGACAATCCAGGCTCTCCATGATATACAAGATAAATAATGGGCTGGTCCACTGTTCCAGTATTAAACAGAAACTCGTCCCTCTCCCCCATAGACAGCGACGAGCATGGGCGCCCGCAGAAAACTTTCTAGGGGGGGGGGCAAAAACAAGGAGCTGCTCATTCCTGCCCAAGACAATCAGGGACTGGAACAATCTTTCAAAAGGAACGGTTGAGGCGACAACACTAGACACATTTGTGTCTATTGCCTCAAGCCTTTAAACCCCTAGTGCATGATTTCCTCATCAACACCAGTAACAGAAACATTGCCAATCCCATCTACATACATAGGAGCCAAAATGATCAATAAATTGATCGTGGGCCCTTAAGATATAGAAGAAGAAGAAGTGAGCCAAGTGCCAACGTAGGACACATCAATGTCTACTACCTCTGCAACTTATCCTTGTAGGTTGGGAGCGATTGATGCAGGGTGGTAGTGTAGCATTCTGGTTGCTTGTCTTTTGGTGAATGTTTGGTAAATCGATTATTTGGAAAAACTTCCTCATACCAGCATGCCCCAATCCAGTCACTAACGATGCTGTCACAGCTCTTTTGTTGACACAAAAAGTTTTGCCATTGCATACAACTGAAGTGTCAGATGATGAGATGACAAAGTCATATACAATACGTACGGCTTCTAAAAATAAGGACTTCGTAAAGGACAGTAGTGGAAACAGGGACTTTTTAATTAGGGGGGGGGGATGCAGAGATTAGTGACGTTATATTGGAGAGTGGTCTAACTTTTTTTTTTTTGACAATGGGGGGGGTGGGGGTCAAAAATCGGCAAAATTTGGTGAGAATAGGGAAGGGAGAGTTGAGAGTGGACTAACTTTTTTATATTTGACAATGGGGGAGGTGGGGGTCAAAAATCGGCAAAATTTGGGAAAGCACGGGAAGCCCATTTGATTACATTAAATTACATATCTCCTAAAATTGTGTTGACTGGAAATTACAAACTCCATGAATAGTCATGGCCTGGGACTTCTTTTTCTAGGGCCACACTACGATTATGGTTATAATATCAATAATATATTATATTATTATACTATTTTTGGTAAATATAAGTATAAGAATAAATGTATTTTTAATGTAAAAAAAAAATCCGGTTCACGAAAAGGGGATTTCCGGTGTTTAGCTTGTTTTTTTCTCCCTAAAGAATGAAGTTGTACTAATGGTCTCTTTGATTCTATTAATAGAATTTGATAAAGCTTTTTTTAAAAATAGAAATGGGAGGAACAAAATCTTATTTCCGAAGACTTGTTTGATGTTCGCCTTTCGCTTTCGGATAAGTCGGAAAGCCCTACATTGGTATTTTTGATAACGTCGTGCGGGTAGGATTGCGTAAAAAATAAATATGTGTCTGATTTTCATAAATTACATTACCAAAACTAAAACCGCTACACATTTTTTCGCCGAACATATTATTATAATTATATAATTAGACTCCAACTCTAAGACTCTAAGTCTACTTTCTTGATACTTTGATACTGATCTTGAACACATGATCCTTACGCCATCAAAGCTCATTCGACTCATTCAGATTCATTCATAATATGGACCATGGAGGATTGGGGGTATAAAACAAAGTTACAACGTCGGAAAATTTTACAGAATCTCCAGTTCAATTATTAATCAACTACAAGAAGTGTGTCTTCACCAGGCTTGTCATGTCTGACTAACAACATTATTAGTTAATATAGTCCATTCATTAAATAGTGTTATGAATCTTAATCTAGTGCTATTTCTACTAGTGTAAATTCAGTGACTAAAAATTGTAATTATAACAAATTAAGTCTGTCACCAGTGAAGTCTCCGGACTAGTTTAGAGCATAAATAAATCAAGAAGCTATTCTCAAGACTTATGATTTATCCTTAGTCCTTAGGCTTAGCCTAGCGAGTTTAGTCAGTAAAAATAGAAATAGTAGCTGATTAAATAACTCTTGACAGCAAACATAGTATTAATCATCATAATATTTAATAAGAACTTGGGGGCTATTTAAAATTTTAATTAATGGCTGTGCTAAAAACGAAGAAAGAAATAGAGGCTTTGGTTGACCTCTTTCTCTTACCCAATTTTAATCCATTTTCTGGCAACACTGACCCTGGCACTGTATATCAAACAAAAATAAATTCTACATGTGAGTTGCAATGTGATCTGCTATTAATAATTAATATTAACTTTTAGATTATCCTACTGTTATTGATTATTAATAGTAATAGGTTACAATTTGAAATGCTTATTGTTTTAACATAAAAATAAAATAGGCCTAATTATTTTTGTGTTTTTTGCAAAAGATTTGGTTGTGGATAATATAAATAAATTCTAATTCCTTTATCTTAATACTAGCATAGTCATCATTTAAATTTTCCTTTTAAAAGGGACAAATATTGATTTTGAAGCGGAGCTTGAAGATGAAGAATGTTCTGATGAGCCATTTGGTAAGTCTTCTAAAAACACCTTTTGAATTATTCATTTAAACTATTTATATAGTATATTATATGCATTTTTCCTAAGTCCTAAGCTAGTTACTTTTCCCTACACTTTGTTAATCAAAGAACTGTAGCTGCAAATCAGAGAGTAAAAAACATTCTTTCTTATTTAAAAACAATTTGTAATTTAAAATGTAATTTTCTAGATAATATTTCAAAAGAAAGTGGATTATTGCTTGCAAGACTTGGAAATGATTTTCTTCATGACATGGAACAACAAAGATTTCAAAATCAAAGTAAGCATTTACAAAATTACTCAGATAATTTTTTATATTAATAATTATTCAAAAATTGATTTAAACTGTCAATTAACATAGCAAATGCAATAATGTTTGAAGTGTTGTTCACTGATGTGGTCATGTCAGATTGGAAAAACAATTTTTGGGTTAGAGGAATTTTAAATCTTGGTCTGAAGTGCAGGGTCAAAGATCTTAGGCATAATGGAATTTTATACTTTGGCATGATACCATAGTAATAATTAGAAGACACTGTAATCAGGTTAGAAAAATGGAAATGAGCGGGGAAAAAATATGGGAAAACTTGAAAAAAGAATGCAACACATGTATAGGTGTGTTGTTTTTTTCCCTCAGATTTTGCCATTACTTTGTTTCACTCTTTTCCATTGGCAAGATACTACAAGATTTTCTATAGAAGTTTTCATACTTGGGTTGTGATTCACAAAAAACTGAGATCTTAATAGTCTAGATTAACTTGGCAATATGCAAGACAAGTGAATAATGATATTAAGCATCGACTTGTGTATTACCTCACCACCCCACACTACTGGTGGGTCGGTTAATTGCTTTTAGGGAAAATACTTCTTATATTTATTGAGAAGCTGGCAGATTCTCTCATATTTTTTTTTTATTTAACTGTGTTAGCAGCTCACACAGCCTTAAACCTTGATGGCCAAACGTCAGTATGGAGGGGTGTTCCTAACCTTGCACAACTTTTCTTGAGTACTTGTTGAGCTATACTGAAAATGGTCTCCTTGGGTATTTTAAAATCTGGCCTATTTGTATGTCAGCTGTGTGTTTTATGAATTTATAAGGGAAAAAATTGATTATGTTTTGAACTTTGATAAAGTAGATCTATTTTAATGACATTATTAGCTCCCTTATTTCTTGACAGATTTATTTACGTTTGTGGCTAACAAAATCAAATCATCTTTAATTAGATTAGCAAGACTCACAGAACAAAGTGTAAGTTTTGTCCAAATTATTTTTCTTATAAACCCTTTGTTATTGTAAGCTTATCAGTTAGCATGAAGACAGGTGAACTCGTGTCAGTTTCATTTTATACACATAGGTTATCATCATTTCCAAACTATAATAAATTGAAATGGAGCCAATTAAAATTGTTTTTTTCAATGCAGAGCATATTTTAAAACACTTCCAACTTTATTTACCTTTCAATAGTTATATCAGCAGCTTCGATATTTAATTTTTTTTTCAGTAAATCAAATCTACTCAGAATCAGAAGGCTAAAAAATGCATTGTAACAGTAAAAATATAGTTGTGGGGGTATAAACAGCATATGCAGCATGTGTAATTGTTATTTAACATTAAATTTGTAAAGAAATCTTGAATATTTTATTGCAGACTGTAAGTCCTGACATTTTAGAGCAGGAAAGAGTTAATGCATGGACCACTTTTCAAGGTGTGATGGAAAGTTCAATTTCTGGCACTGGAGTTGACAATCTGCACAAATTAGGCTCATTTTTAATGTGTCTCAATGGCTTAGCAGGACTAGGTTCAAAACCAAGAGAACTTGCCAAGCAGTTTGCACTAAGGTTTCTTCTAAATAATAAAAACAGACAATCAGCTTTTTCAGTGAGTACGAGGATTCCTTTATGCCAAATTCAATTTTGTATAGAGATTATTATGTAAAATACTGATTTAAGCTCAATTTCAAAACAAGCCACATGTTGCAGTACTTTGTATATTTTTCTCATTTATCTAATATTGTAAAGGAAAATTGGCAAGGGTTTGAGTAATTATCAAATATTGCATCTTCTATTGTACACAAATTTTAGTACAATAGAATTTAGCTTTGCTGGTCCCCAAGAAAGTCAGAATGAATGAAACTGTAATTTTTTTAAAAAAGTATTTGCATGGAATATTCATTCACTGGAAGTTAATTTTTTATTGATTTTGTTTGTAATGAAGTAACTATCTTTTTTCCACAGAATGATTTTAAGCTATGTGAGGATGAGCTGGATTGACCTTTGGCAATATCGTAAATGTGAAGATTTTGTGCACCTGTATTCAAGTTTAATAAATAAATACATTTGTAAATAACACACCATATTTATAAGCTTTTAATGTTCTGAACTGAATTTGTGATCTACTTTCTTTTATTGTTTTAAAATAGGGCTGACTGCATTCAGGTTGAAGCAATATGAAAATATAAAATGCAGTATAAGGGAAAACCTGAAAGATCTCTTTCTATGGTTTTATGGTTGTACATTCTTGGATCTTAAATTACCATGTTTTCATATTAGTACATATTTGTATTTCAAAATTACATATAATGCTCAACTCATGGTAATCTGAAAACATCTTATGTACATCTGTATGTCATATGTTAAGGGCATTTATTGTATTCTTTAATCAATACATTAAGTTCCACATGTGCTTGATCTAAAATTTAAAAATACAATAAGAATTAAACTTTTCAACTCAAATTATAACTTTTGACTTGATAATTTTATTTATTACACTTCATGACAGAACATTTTATTGCATTCCAAGCACCATATTCATGTAAAGGGAAAATGCTAGTCTTGTTGTACATATTAATAATAGTAACAGACACAGGGATCATTCTAAAAATTGTACCATATTGGACTAAAACTTCTAGATATTAAAAACTGTACCATTAGCAAGCAGTAAGTTGCGAAACTCTTTTATAACAATGTTCATGGCTTGGAGGAGCTTCAATCAATTATAGAAGAAAAAAAAAATGTTCCTCATCTTAAACAATTTGTTTGGCCCAAAATCCTTTCACAGGACCAAGAAGATGACATCTCAGCACTTTTCACGATTAGGGGTAGCATAAACCTGTTAAGGAAAACAATCATGAAATCATTTAACAAGTTGTAAGTTAGGCCTACCACTTTTACTAGTCTGCATTCTTTGTATGCCAATTTGACCTATCAACCATGAACATTTTCATCTGGACCTTTGACCTTGCATGGATTCAAAATTTAAACAAAATAGTTTAGTTCAAAATTCTGAGCATTTTGATTAGCAGACCAAACATACATTGGAGTTTGCAAACAAATGTTTATAAAACAACTGAAGTCATGCAGTGAATAAAGAGGGGAATCTTACAGCAAAGAATCGCTTTAATGATATTGCAGAATATTAATAGAGTATAATAAGCACAGCAAGATTTGTTGATAAGCTGGTAAGACTATATAACTGCATGTTTTTTGAAGCAGCAAGCTATTTCTTATTAGCCAGAAGATTAATGAAATTTTGATTATTTAAGTTTTCCAAATTTAATATTTTAACAGCATTGTTGTATGGAATCAGTTTAAAATCTATCAAACTGTAACTTTTCATCTTGCTGTAGTACATTCATTGAAGTTAAAAAATACTTTTATACCCAAAGTGTCTCTTTTCCCGAGAAAAAACAGCATTATGAACTAAGAATTATTAATAGATCGTATCACACTTATCCATAAAGTGTTTTGTAAGCTGTAGTAGCAGTGATGAAATTAAAAATTTTAAAATGAACTTCAGAAAAAGGGAAATAGTTGCTTGTTTATTTATATTTGACTTGAACATTTTCAAAGCCAGTTGAAGCAAAAAGTGCCATGACAATAAAAGTCCTCATTCAAATAATAATATTCAAAAAGTTTAAGACCAGCATTTTTAACAACTCTGTCAAATTCAAAATTATTTGGTTTCCACATTTACATTTAGTTAGGTGCTAAAATTAAGGGAAACAAACCTTGACAAAAATATCAAATTTAGTTCTTTCCATTATCATCTGCTGTCTCGTCTTCATAGAGAGGTGGTTTTTCATTAAAACTCTCATCCAGGTTAACACTGACAGAATCTTCACCAATGTCAAGGGGTGGAAGGGCAAGGCCATCCTCGTTCTAAGTAAATTGTGGATGTGTTATTATAAATCAACTCTATTAGTTTAGAAAAATATTATTTAAAATGATGCTGTATTTATATACGGTATGTTAGGTGATTTTAAAGCTTAAAAAGCAAATAGATTACAACTGTAACTGTAATTAGTGATGAAGTACAAAATGTTAGCCAGTGTTTAAAGCTGTTGGGCCTTTTCTTTTGAAAGCAATGAGAACCTAGTGAAAGATTATTGGTTTAATTTTGCTAAAAGTTAGCATGTTATGTACATTCACTCAGAAATTGAAAAGAAAATCATAATAGCATGTTATAGCTAGATCAGTGGTTCTCAAAAAAATTTTGGCAACCAACCCCTTTGGACCACAAACTCATCCTCAGCAGACGAGCGAAATGACTTACAATATTATTAGTATTCTCAATATTATATTTTGCAAAATAAATACACAATCATAAGTTAAAGTGTTTCATATATTAATCAAAATACAAATGTTACTTTCACTTGAAACTGATTATTAGCTTATAATTTTGATAAAATGATTCGACAGTTTATTAAAGTAGGTTATATATTTAGCAAGAGTCTTAAATATCAAACGTCTTCAGTGATCAATTAATTTATTCTTAATGTTGTGTTCAGGCTTGGTATAGTAATAGCAGACTGCAACTCCTGGTTTTATGATTTTTAGATGAAAATTAATTCACAATGTTCATATTTCCATGCCATTTTATTGGTTTGCAAAAATTATTTCTCTCACCAAAACTCTTTTTACCATTGTTTGAGATTTGTCATTCCTCTGCACATTTTTATGAATTTTAAGATTTTAATACTAATAAACAAGTCGTGTTTAGTGGGATGTCTTGGTGGTTAGAACCAAGAGAATAATTTGTGTCTTTAAATATTGCTCTAACATTGTCAAATAACATAACAATGTGAATTGAGCAATTGCCTTATGATGTCAATAAACCTTCAGGCTGAAGCGGTTAATGCAAAATATCTGCATTGTTCTCAGCACAGACATCCCTAAACAGTCAATAATTAAGATTGGGATGAATCAATTTAATTCATTGCAATTATGGCAAGATATGATCAGGAGATTGTGAGTTATTTAGAAACCTGATTTTGTGATGATGGCTAGGACATTTGACACAGTTTTTTTTTATATTTCACATAAGCAAAAACCTAAATTTGCAAAAAAATAGCTGTCTTGGTATGCAAATATCTTATCTTGTATATTCTCAGCCCTATGTATATGAACTCACAAATCACTGGCCTTTTAAGATTTACCAATTGGACAGTGTTATGATACATAATATTCCCAAGTAATTTGTGTTTTGATGAAAAGAAAGACACCTAACCCAAAGTGTTGTCAATTCAAAGGGCTGAGCTACATATTAATGTGTTGTTGTTAACTGAATAGTCAATGTTTGAACATTTTTTATTATCTTAGTCTGGTGTCTACGATCAGCGTTTTTTTAAAACATAACAGTAACAGTATACCGGTTCAGTTTTTTTTTTTTTAAAAACAAAAATGGCTATTTCTGATTCAATAGTTCATCATCCAGTTTTGGTATCACAACACCCACTTTGAGAACCACTGCTCTAGATGGCTGATTCAGTCTAGACACATGTATTAATTATGGATGTCTGATATAACTGTAGATGGCTAATTCAGTCTAGATACATGTATTAATATGGATATCTGATATAACTGTAGATTGCTGATTCAGTCTAGATACATGTATAAATATGGATGTCTGATATAACTGTACATGACTGATTCAGTCTAGGTACATGTATAAATATGGATGTCTGATATAACTATAGATGGCTAATTTAGTCTGGATAGGAGTATACATATAGAGACCTGATATAGCGCTAGATGGCTGATTCAGTCTGGAAAACAGCTTTTAGATATATTAGTGGTTAACAAGAATAGTTACAAGTTTTAGAAAAGCTGTTTAAATCTTTTTATTTATAACAGTAAATACATTTTAAATTCTTGATAAATTTTTTAAATTGCATTATATTATTGTGAAAAATAATTTATTGACTACCTTTGACTATAGATTTTAAAAATATTTTGAGATCTTGAATACGTAGTATTTTTCAGTAGATCTCACAGCTCTTATTTTGTAGTGACCTACAAGTACTAGTTATTATTTTAAAGGCAATTGAATGCTCTTTTGTATTGATTTGTTTATTAATATTTCCATTTAAGACAATTTTTAAAAAAATAAAAATTTTAACTCCATTTTTTAAAAAATTTTGAACATTAAACTAAATTGTTTTAATCTGATCCACATCAATTTAAAATTTTAGTTTTGGTAAAAAAAAATGGTGTGTAAAAAAAATAATCCATTTTTCAATCTGCCTTTATATTTTTCAATGTATGAATTTATGGTTCTCTCACTTATTTTAGTCTGGATTTACTAATTAATGGTTTCTACAAAAAAAATCCAGAAGTCTTCTGAAATCAAATGACTTAAATTCAATGTTTGTTTACCTGTTGAACAGCTGTGGTGGTATAGGATGGAGGTGGGATGCCTACGGTGCACATTTTCTCATCGATAGGGATTGGCATCTTTTCTATTTCTTTGGTAATCACCACCTTCTTTTGACGGCGGCGGCGTCTCACGCACAGACATGTGACCATGACAAACAGAAGAAGTAGGACAACCAGAATCAGAATCAGTGTGATGATCAGCCACAGGGGGTAACCAAATATCTCCAAGTCACGGCTAACGTAATCTGCAGTGTCATGACCAGTATTAGCCTGCAATGAATATCAAATCTGTAAATTACTTTGCTTGGTAGTGGAAGATATAAAGTAAATCTGTCCTGCCATTTTAAATGAATGCAAATCTTTTTTTTAAATATTGAACTAAATAAAATTTAAGTTATGATTTAAATTGCAAAAATTTTGTTACAAATTTAGCGTTTAAAATAAAAATTACAAGCATTGTTGAGTTATATAGTTTGTACGGGCTTTACTTTACATCAGAAACATGCAGGCTAGCAGCTACAACACAGTTTAAAAATTTTTTGGGTAAAACTTTTGATACTGTATCTGACCTTTGCAGAGGCTCCATCTACATCTTGTTGACTTGGAACATTGTTGTTGGATACATCAGCTGATGGCAACATATCTGTGGATCAAATATCTTCAGTAACATATCCAAGAATATAAATATAATTTCATCGATTCACATAAGTAGGGGATCTCAAATATTTGTATGCTGATCCTTACACAGATTGGCATCACAAGGTGTCATGGTTAGATTGCTAGAATATTTGATAAATTGCTTCCGAGTGAAAGGAAGAAAATATAAAGTCTATGCCCTCAATCAGCAAGGTCACTTCTATGTAGCTATAATGGATCAATTATGAGACCCATTCTTCATGCTTTGATATTTTCATTAAAACATTTACTTAGTTCAGGCAGCATTTAGTCTATCCAACATATTTATGTTACCTTCAGAAGTGGGTACTTGTTTAGATGCTAGATTAGGCAGAGGAGACTTGACATCATTTCCTTTTGATTGTGCTGGAGTGTTGGGTGGCATTCCTCCACTACGTAAGAGTGGTCCACGGGGGATGCCTTTACTAGACGTTGGGACTCCTTGCTCACCTTATGAAATACAATTAGAAGAACTACTACAGTATATTTTGGTAGTGACTGAAGCTTTGAATCATAAATTTTAATTTATTAATTTAAACTCGTATCAGTAAATTATGTTAATAGATGTATATACAAGTTGTGACGCAATGGTCAATGGAGGTACATGGGCCCGGGCCATGCTTCATTAAAAGGAGCACATTTAACGTTTTATTTATACTCTTGATTTATGAAATAATGCTTTTTTAGAAGTGGTGAGTCTAAGATTAAAATGCCACAAAAAATATTACAATTCATTATCTTAATTTCTTGTCTCTGTGTTACATTATCAAAATCTAATGTACAAAATTATTACAATTAAAATAAAATTAAATGTAAGCCATATATAGACAATCTTAAGGGTTGTAAATATTTGGGCAATAGGAATAGACAATATTTGGGGGTTGTAACTATGTAGGCAATATAAATATGCTAAATCATTACCTAAGGACATAATTTTCTGGCAAACGCCGCCCATCATACTCAAGATGGAGTGAATCATCTTCCTTGTTGTGTCCACCGCATCTTGACCACAAACCGTGTCCAGCTTCATGATACATTCCCCTACAGCATTGCTGTCTCTAGACAAGAAGGAACAAAGAAAGTAGCTTCGTATATTATTGTACATTACTTAAGAATTTATAGTACCATTTGTAGAGATGAAGCAATATGTTATTAAAGGAGGTCAAAAAATAAATTTCTTTACCACCTGCAGTTAATAACCGTCAGAGTAAGATGCAAAAGAAATAATTATAAATTATAATTTTTTCTATGTGTGCTTGTTGGTAATGGAGGTGATGATTAGAGTAAGAACTGTAAAAAACAAAAACACATTTAATAGTAAGTAATTTCTTTAAATACCGGTATTTATATTTATGTTAAACTCTCTGCTTTATTTTTTTTTTAAACTTTTCCCATCCAAACAAAGTCAGAGTGCAAAACAAATTTAAAAAAAAGGTGCAACCAAATTCATCCCTTATAAAAACCAGTAGAAGATTCTGCACCACATTCTCTATCATTTTTTTGTGTTGCAAAGACATTTTTAACCCCCCCCCCCCCCTTCCTTCCCCAAGCTAAAAAGAAATGCTTGCTTAGATATTACAATTTCAGTTCTAAACATTTAAAAAATTACTTGCAAAGAGCCCGAGATTTATCCATGAAGTCAGGATTGACAAACTGTTCAATTGTGAGACTATGTCCTTTTAAGCATTCATTCAGTCTAGGTTCTAGGGAAGCTTGGCATTTTTTCATACTCTCTAACTCTTGTGGTGTTGGTTGATTGTGTTCTCCATTATGAGGAGCATTGCCTGGAATATGGGCTTGTCCATCTTTTGGAACTTGATGTTGCTGTTGCTCTGTTGGAAATGTTTAAAAAAAAAAAAACTTTATTGATTAAAGAGTAATTTCAAGTATATCAAAGTTAGAGAATGATTCAGGACTCATGGCTCAGAATTGCAGAAATCAACAAGTTTTTATGCAAAGCAACCTCTTTAAATACTGACTTTTGTGCTATAGATAAAATAACTGTGGTAACCGGTGAATAACAATAAAGGCAATGGGTAATGAGAATGGCATGACTGAGACAAAAGAGCTGGAAGGTTGAGCTTATCCTCATTCTCAAGAATATAATTCAAAATACCTTGCTGTTCCTGCACAGACTGGGCTGGAACACTGGGCTTGGGCTGATCACCTGGGTGAGATAGCACAGAGAGGGCTTAAATGTTAAACAAAATTGAAAATATTCAGGAAACATCCTTAAATAAATTGATAAGACTTAATTAAAAGTTTATTGTCAATAGTGATTTATACGAAGTTCCTCTCCAAGAATTTCAACAGATAAAAACAGTGGGAATCGTTAAAACTGAGCTTAAATAACAAGCTAGATATAATTGCAGTTTCAAAAGACAGCTGCTGTTTTTTCGAGACATATTGGTTGAAATTGAGCAACAAGTTATTGTTCAGGTGGATTAAACAAAATTCTGTTCATTCTCACCATGGGCCTGAATTTGTTGACAAACCATTCCCATCATTCGGAGGATGGTGGTCAACATCTTTCTTGTGGTCACTGTTGCTGTTTCACCACAGGACTTGTCCAGTTGTACAATACACTGACTTACAGCACCATTGTCTCTGTGTAAGATATATAAAACTCAACTTTATGGGAAATAAGAAACATCAACTACTTATGAAACTCAACTAAGGGGGAAATAAGAAACATCAATTACATGTACAACTCAACTTTAGGGGAAAAGAAACATCAACTACATGTACGACTCAACCTTAGGGGAAATAAGAAACATCAACTACATGTAAAACTCAACTTTAGGGGAAATAAGAAACATCAACTACATTGTTTCATTCTCCTAGCCAGCATTATTTTAAAAAAATTATCTCCTTGATGCAATTGAGTTTTCTGTGAGACAACTCAATTGCCTCAATTTAGAACACAGTGACAAGCAGCTTGGTCAAGTGACCATGAGAAACACAAAGTTACAAGCTTAGCTGTTATTGACTCACTGACAAACTTTACGAGACTTGTCAATGTGTTCTGGGTTGATGAATTCCTGGACAGTCACTCCATGCTGTTGGAGACACTCGTTCAACTTGTTCTGCAAGACAGGCTGGCATTGCTGCATCAGTTGTTGTTCCTCCTGGGTTGGCACTGAAAGGTCATCTTGACTTTCCTGAGTCTGGGGTTGTTGCTGAGATGGTGCACTTGTTTCTATAAAAAGATAAGTTATTAAGATTCAAATTGTGTGCTTTGTGGTGTTGTCCCCCCTGATGCAATTACCCTATCAGTATCATTTCCACCATGCCTATTACATGCTTCAAAATTGTAATGCCTAAAAGATAAGGGCTATAAATTATCAAAGCAATATGCATATTTTCATAGTTTTTCAGTTTACCACAGCTTGTAAAAGAGTTTGTATGATTTGTCACCAGACTTTAAAAGCATACATTCTTTTTAATATAATAAAAAAATGCCACAATATTCTTTTTAAAAAAATATTACGCAGCTACCACTCATAAAATAAACAAATACGTTTTTTTATTTGAAATTTAATTACATGCTTATTTAAAAAAAATATTTAGGTCTACAAAACATTTTCCTAAAATGTGTGGGTGTCTCCAGGATCGATTGGGTTCAATGTCTCTCATGAAACTGACTATAAACTTTAATAATTAAAGGAAAAAATTTCTTTTTGAACTTCAATAATCATGACTATTGCCAAAATGATGGTGAATATCTTAAAGAGGAATTACAAAAATTGCTTTAGAATTAATTAATCTCAAAGAGAAAACTGTAAATAAATTCTGACCCTTTTCCTGAGGAAGAGCATTGGTTGTTGGTTTTGCTACCAACTCATCATGGTTATTAGGCCCTTGGTTACCAGCAGTTGCTGGAGCCATGGGGCTCTCTCCTTTACATAAAATAACATTTAGAAATTAAATTTTGTTATAGGACTTGAAAAATAAAAATGGCAGTTAACAAATCAGAAAAAAACAATAATTTTGCAGAACAAAGGTGCAAGCCAAACAGCTCATCTCAGAAATTAACTTCCTTAATAATAATATCAGTCAATTTTTCACATAGGGACATGACTGGGATTTTATGGTTACCAGCAGTTGAGTATATTCCATTTGCTCATAAATATTTGTATTTATTTCTGTTTATTTGCTGTTTCTCATAAAGTGATGACCGTAAAACAATCATTAAACGAGATTAGATTTCAACGTGGAACTCTAGAATTCAAAATTAGAGAAAAACAACTGACCTCTGGCCTGAATTTTTTGACACACCATTCCCATCATTTGGAGGATGGAGGTCAAAACCTTTCTTGTGACCAAGATGGCCCCGTCACCACAGGTCTTATCGAGCTGTCTTAAACAATGACCAACAGAAATACTGTCTCTGTCAATAGTTAAATAAAGAGCTGGGATTCAGTAGAGTCAAATATTTCAAAAACATCTTAATCTCTTCCTATATACATATATATGATAAGCATTACTATATCAAAATTGTATCTTAAAAAGATGGAAAAGTGGCTTTTCTCCCTCATAGTAGGATAAATTTACACAAAAATCAAAACTTATAAAAGAAGCAAATGATTTATTGTTCATATTATGCTCAAAGTTTTAATATAGATGTAACAGCCTTTTTAAAGATGATGTCATAAAAAAAAAAATATATATATATATATGTTAGCTACTCACTGACAAACGTTGCGAGCTTTGTCAATGTATTCTGGGTTGATGAATTCCTGGACGGTCACACCATGCTGGTGAAGACATTCATTCAATTTGCTCTGTAAGACAGGCTGGCATTGATGCATAATTTTTTGTTCCTCTTCGGTATGCATTGGTTGCTCACCTTGACCTTCAGTTTGGGATTGATTTTGTAGGGGGACTCCCAACTCTGTAATTTTCAGAAAAATAAAAATTTATATTGGAGTTTAAATTATCTGTAAGCATTGTATATTATTTTTGTATAAAAACAAAGGTTACATGTTGCATGTTTGCTTTATTAGTGATTAAGAATTAACAGATTTGTTAGAATTTTTGCCATTTGTATTAAGTGATATGGAAAGGTATCAATAAAGTCCAATAGTAGTAAGCTATTCAATTTCATTTAACTGACTTTGATCACATACACATTTTAATATTATTAAAATTCCCTTTAACATAACATTCCATAAAGAATAGTCAGTGAATTTAGATCATTATGTTCTAGATAATTTATTGAGTATTAAAAATACCAGGTTGCTGTTGGATAGTTTTTGACATAGGTGGCTCCTCAATGGGTGCTTTTTCCTCCAGGATGGGCTGGCCTTTGATTGGTACTGCACCAGAAGTGGGGGAAATTTTGTTGTCTCCTTTAAAAGAGTGAACAAACATTAGGTCATATGATGGGAGAGCAATGATAAATGGCTTTTAAGAAAAGAATTTAATTTCAAAAGTTTGTGTAATTCTCTATTTGAAAACAATTAAATATAAATTCTCTATTCAGAAGTTGCCATTACAAAATTTAATAATTTTCTCTTACCAAACAATAATTAACTATCCTCAGCAACAGATGTTACTTCCCTTTCCAGTAATATTTTGTGATTACTGCATGACTTACTTACCGCCCCTTTCCTGGATGTGCTTGCAGACCATTCCCATCATTCCTAAGATAGAGTGGATCATTTTCTTGGTTGTTTTTTGAGAATAATCCCCACATACTTTGTCCATCTGCATGATACATTGTCCTACAGCCGTGTTATCACTGATGGACAAACACATTTAATAACAATGATGACAAAAGTTTATAAATAAAGTAACATTGAACATATTTAACAGCAGTTTTATTTAATTCTCATTGTTTTAAAACTTATATTTCAAAGAGATTTCACATCCGTCAACATATATTTAGGACATTTCAAACAGTCATTCATGAGCTTACTCGCAGAGGGCTTGTGCTTTGCTCATGTACTGAGGATTCATAAACTGGTCTATGGTAATATCATATTCCTTCAAACAGTCATTGAGCACTGGTTCAAGAACTTTCTGGCATTCAATCATCAGCTGCTGTTCCTCAGGTGTGGGCATCTCCTGCTGTCCTTGTGCTGGTTGCTGCTGCTGTTCTTGGGGCAGCTCTGTGTCACACACACAAATATATCATATATTGAAGAAGAGCTAGTAAATACAAATAAAAGTCATTGTATTCAATCTATTTTATACACATTTTAAAACCCCACTGTGATACATATTTTGCGATGTGATTTTATTGCATGAAGTAAATTGTTTTATTAGTTTTCAGTACCGTATCTATCGCAACAGTCTTTATGTTTTATTTTTATGAAGAATTTAAATAAACTTTAGACCTGTTTTTTGTTCAGTAGTTTGGGTTTGTAGTTCTACAGGAGGCTCAACTGGAATAGCTTGTGAACCAGCATGTGCTGACAAAGATTACAAGCATGATTACTATTTCATGAGCCTCTTACTCCATAAAATGGCTGAATTCATATCTAAATGATAATAGTTAATATTGACAGCAACAGGGGAGGGGGGGGGGGGAAGATTTTTTTATATAAGTTTTTTTTTTTTTATCTACATATTTCATGAGCCTCTTACTCCATAAAATGGCTGAATTCATATCTAAATGATAATAGTTAATATTGACAGCAACAGGGGAGGGGGGGGGGGGAACATTTTTTTATTAAAGTTTTTTTTGTTTCATCTACATATTAATATGTATATTTTTAATATTAGAGTGTTGCAGCCTCAGTGAAGATGCATTTTGATTTACCCCCTTCCCCCAGCTCTGACATTGCCAATGTTTGATACTATTTAGTACCATAATCAAATTTCAGATATCTTTCATAATTTTTTGTATATGGCTATAATAAATATAATTTTTAAGTCTGCTAAGCCATGCTCCTTCTATATTCCTTTCACCTTTCAAGAAACCTTATTGAAGTAAAATTGATATAATTTCCCTAAGTCTTACCATCCCCAAAAAGTAGTTTGCTAAATGGGATTTCTTACTCCAAGTATTATGTGTGCACACATGTTGATGCCATTTGTCAGTTTATCTTTATTGCTAATAGAAAAGCTGGCTGAGTCACAATTTTTTAGATACACAGTAAGTTTCAAATTTTGCTACATTGTATAGCAATGGATTCAGAATTATGAAAGTCTAATATCAGATTCTTCCTTACTGCTTAGATTAATTAACTCACCTCTAGCCATGATTTCTTGACACACCATGGACATTGTGCGTAAAACTGAGCTCACCATTTGTCTTGTTGTAGGAGCTGCTGCTTCACCACATGCCATCTCTAGGCTTTGAATGCACTGTCCCACAGTGTTACCATTCCTTAAAAACATTGAAAGATTAAGGAACAACCAACTTTTTTTTGCTAATAGTTTCAGCTATGAAAGTAAAAGTTTAATTAATTTTCGAATATTTATAACAGTGAACTAATAACTATTCAAAATCATTAACTCATGAACTTAAAAAAAGGAACTTTTTAAATGAATTATTATACTAAGAATATTAATAACAACCAATGTTAAGCTTGTAAGTTAGTTTTACAAAACTCGTGCATTAAGACAGAAGTTGATGAATGCATTAAATGCCACAAGTTACTGATTGACATTGAATATGTAGGTTACATTTCATTTAAAATTATTTTAAAAAATACAATGACGAGATCTTAAAATATGGTTGCATATCTTTCTTAGCATGAAAGACCATACTATTTGTTATTGTTTTCTCCAGATGCTAGCAATGGAAAATTTTCTTAACTTATGGGAATTTATATTAGTCCTTTTTTTCTTTATAAGGATTTTATAACATATATGTTAAAATACAAATTATCCTATATAATGTACTGACTGGCAAACTTTGCGGGATTTCTCTATGTATACTGGACTTATGAACTGCTCTACTGTCACATCATAAGTTTGAAAACATGCGTTAAGTTTGGGCTCCACTTTAGCTAGGCACTGACGCATCTGGGTAATGTCATAAGGTGCTTGCATTTGTGGGGGCTCAACACTAGGCTGCTGTGGCTGGGGTACTATGACACAAAGAATTTTTAATGAAGCATTCATATACACACAAAAATTAATAAAATGTATTTATCTTTTAAGAAATTTAAGACCATTTCATGTAATATATAGTTAAAATATTGCCATCAATAGATTTGACCACTTGACACCTATCGGGGATTAAAATAATTTAATTGTTAATTAATTTTTTTTTGTTCTCATGTTTTTTAAGAGTTTATGTTTTGTTGCTTGCAAAAATTTTTAATCATTTACCCTAGATATTAAAATCAAATAATAAACCTTTCTTTTATCAAACTTCCTGATTGGCTAAAAGAAGCTCAAGAAATTTTTAAAAAATTATACAAATATTTATTTAAGCAAATAATTTGAAGTAATATCATTTACTTATCAAAAAAGAACACATTTAATTAAATTATAATAATTAATATATTTTATTATTATGTTGGTATATCTGAGATCAATAAGTTACCTGGGTTTGGACTTTTGCTGTGGTCCTGAGTTGGGATCGGCTGATTCACACTGTTGAAAAGATTGTTGTAAAATTATTTTCGAAAAATACAGTTTGATCCCTCATTTTCATTGTCAGTGGAATCTTAAAGCCAATTATGTAATTATCAAGGACAAAACCTTCAAAGATACTGACTGCACAACTCATAGGTGGAAATATTTACAGGTTTAAAATAAAATAATATATATTTTTAAAATAAGAAGCTTATCACACAAGTAGTGTACACGCATATGTATAGTTGTGGTAGGGTGACCAGGGCATCCTCCCCCAGTTCATTTTATATCAACCAGGGCATTACAAAATGGCAGTAAACATTAACATGTTTGTCCTATAAATTTAAAAAAATTAAATTTTTATAACTGTGATTTTAAATTACATTTACTTTTCCTTGATTTTTTATAAGCACCATCACTTGGTAGGTTTCATATTTTAAATGGGGTAATTAGCTATATAATTATAAAAATAATGATAATAACTTTAATAACCATGAAAAAAAAAAGACATGATCCTAAGACTATGTCTTTACATTGTGCACAGTGAGTAAAAATATTCTTTTAATGAGTAATGACTATTGCGACACCCCCAATGTTTCCCCTGGAGCTTATACCTCATTGCTAATTTTTTGTGATTCCCTAGTTATGCAGTTTTTGAAGTTTGCCATTATTATTTATTTTACCAGTAAATCATTGAGGGTCCAAGGTATGAGTGAAAAATATTTAGGACCCTTCTGATCAATTTAGCAAAATTTAAATAACACACCTTTTAATTGGGGAACCTGCTGCTAGCCTTGCTCTCTGTTGGTTTAGAATGTGCTGAGGAATATTAAAAATTTTAGATAAAATTTAATTATTAAAAAAACAACAACATGGTGACTGCCTGGAAGACCTGTAATCATTGTTTGAAATGGTTTTATTCACCACTGTTTATTTTTGGAAGAAATGATTTGTTAGAAATTACTCATTACTCATCCTAACATACCACAGACAAGTTGGCAGGAAATGGAATGAAATCTGCAAAATTTGTGTGAAATTTTTAAATTAAGAATTTGAATTAAATAAATCAATGCTTACATTATTTTCATGAGAGTTGGAACCAGAAAAATATAACTATTTGGGTTATTGATGATATCGCTAAATTAACTTCCTCCTAACTATTATGTTTCTTGGGGAAAAGAAGCTGCTCCTAAATTAAACTTTGTATTAAATAAATTTTGAAGTTTAAACTGTCATTTATCCACTGTTGCCTTGTTTCATTCTTACTTTGTAGACTGCAAGTGCCAGAATTTGTCTGTCGTTGTTGAATCCTTCAGGAGCTCTAACTCTGGTAGCCCTGGGGTCATTCATGAACACAGGATTTTGTTGCTGACCAAATGGATCAAGATCCCAAGGTGTCCTAGCTTCAGGAACCCTTGCACCTGTAACATTTAGCCTTTATTAATTTGTGTAAAAATAATAAAAAGAAGACCTCTACCTTTAACAAGTTGATAAAATTATTTAAAGCTATAATTGAAATTTTATAATTTTAAAAAAATGTTTACGTTGGGTTAAGTTTCAAGTATTTATGAAAATAAACAGACATGTTTACCCTCAAACTCTAAAAATCGTACAATATAATCTCAAAAGCGTCCAATACATTATCTTAATAGTAAAAAAAAAACATACAGTATATAAAATGTATACACCTCAAAATCGTACACTGTACGCCCAAATCGTAAGAGTAAACAGGTCTAAATTAAGTAGCAACTGTAAGACATAAATTTCTGCTTGAGTCTGATTTAATTAGAAGTTTACTATTGAAAAGCAAAATTAATTGAAAATAAATTCCGAAATATATATATTCATCTCCAAATGCATTAAAAAAATAAAAATTCAATTTCTAAAAGTCATCCGACTTCTATTTGTGATAAAAAGGGAATTAAAAAACTGTTCACCTTGCGGGGGTTGGTCTCCTTGCATCTGGTTAGCCATTGAATTGATATAAGGGCTGTCTTGGAAATTACTACATCACACACAAAATTAATTTAATTAATATTTTTGTGCTAATAAGCTTTAAATTAATTTGAAAAGTGACATATTTTATTAATTGTCAGTATAAGGATATTGGTTTAAATGATTTATCTTTTAAAGATATATATTTTGTTAAATGACATTCATTTAAAGAGTAATTAAAAAGAAGTAGATGAATTGTATGTTTCTCTGGAGTCAATCCCCTGCCCTTTCCATCATATCTAAAGAATTTGTTTGACTACATTAGATTTTTCAAAATATGACTTGAAATCTTTTTTAAATACACAATATTAATCTTCTGTGTATTATATTAATCTTCTATTTAACTATAACTTACCTATATGGGTTTCCTGGACCACGTTCCTGTTGCTGGAGCTCTTGTCGAATGGCATAGGCTGCTTGAATCATTCCAGGTGGCAGCTGACCTGGTTAATTAGTTGTCAAGAATTTTTGAAATTAGGACACCAATATCAATTTAAATATATATCTTCAAAATTAATATGCCTTTTGATTTCATGAAAAGCCCAATCAGAATTTCCGTAACTTGTAGCATAGGCATGCCTAATATTCACACTTCTTATAATCTAGTTTTGATATTTTAGACATAATTTTAATAGGTAATATTTAACAACTTTAATGAAGAGCCTACTCGATTTCCGTAGAGTAAATAATAGTTGTGAGACTCCAGCTCTTTGAACCCAGATCTGCTAAATAATGGCATTTTTTATATGTAGATTAAAATAACACTAGCAAAACAAATAGTAAAATAACATTTTCATGAAATTTGATACTCATGTTTACTCCACATAAATACAATTGGTTACAACTTTGACCTTTGACAATGACACTGAGTTTGTTGGAACCAATTCCTCACTCCTGGAATATTTAACTAACTCAATGCACTTGAAATGCCAGTCTATATATCCAAATGACTGGAGGCAATTTGGCACCAGGGAAAATGTACCCTTTGGACATTAAACAAAAAGCTAATAGCTTGAACAAATTACCAATGTCAACCAAAATTCTTTTGACCCAGTCTGTCAATGCCAACTTTTATATCAGTTTAAGTAGGTTTTAAATTTGTTTTGTTTTTTTAAATAAGGGTTGATCCTTGAAATGATTATGATTATATGAATTCTGGATTACAATACAATGTAAATACAAATATAATTTAGTCTTCAATAAGCATGCTTTGAAAACGCAGTGTAATGATTACATGGGTAAAAGTTTAGCTATTTTTAGTGAGCAAAACAAATTTACAGTTTAGTAGCTGCCAGTTTGTCAATAATTTCTAATTTATTTAAAGCCTATTATTTCATGAATAAATGCTGGGCTATTAATTTTGTTATAGGGCAATAACTCTCGGGTAACATAAACACAAGAACAAGGTTTCATTACAAAATTTTGTAAGCCACCAAATTATCAAATAGCTGCGGGATAAAGCGCTAAGTAAATCTGTAATATTTTGCTTTTTGTAAGAGGGAAAGGTGTTGAAAAAAAAAAAATCCTTTATTCAGAATGTGCTGTGAAAGGAATACACATGCAGGTAGGTAATATGTGGGTCTAAGGCGGGAGACCAACACAATTAATTAAATCAATTTCATGAAAAATAATTCTGGCTGAAAGCACAATATAGATATTATTAGTAGATCTAGCAAATATTCAATTTCAATGACAATAACTGACTTGGTATTCATCATAATATAAGGGATAATCAGTGGTGGAAACAATGAAAAGGGATTGGGGGGGGGGGAATATTGGGGAAGAAACTCTATTATAAATAAATGTCATATATTATTATTGTTTCATAAATACATATAATAGCATTTTATATATTTGCAAAAAGATAACCACTGGATTCTTCAAAGAGGGTTATTCTATCATTGTCAACCATCCCCTTTGCCTGCATCCACCTCTAAACATTATCATGCAGTAAGTCGTAAGTTTTGCATATTTTAAAAACTCAAAGCTTAGTTGGTCACAAGCATGGCCTAAATGGGAAACTGATTTTGTTTCATGCAAACTGGCTACCTGGAGAAATGATGGCATTATATGGATTTCTGTTTTGGGCATCAGTTCGTGACTTCAGAGAATTGATTCTTTTGCTGATTATAGATTTCAGAATTTGATTGAACAGATTTTGTCCCCTCTCAGGTTCTGCAAGGGGGTAACCCCTCATACGAACTGGCTGCAGATTGGCAGGACTTTGGAGAGGAAAATGTTGCAGAATAAAGGAATCTCTGGTGGGAAATGACTGTGGAGCATTTGAAACTCTGCCACGAATTGGTTGTGGAGCATTAAAACCTCTGCCACGAATAAGTTGTGGAGCAATCGAATCTCTGCCACGAATAGGTTGTGGAACATTCAAATCTCTGCCATGAATAGGTTGTGGAAAATTAAAATATCTTCTTGGAAAACGTTGTGGAACATTAAAACCTCTTACAGGAAAAGGTTGTGGAACATTAAATCCTCTTCCAGGAACAGGTTGTGGAGCATTAAAACCTCTTCCAGGAGCAGGTTGTGGAACATTAAAACCTCTGCCAGGAATATTTTGTGGAACAGGTGAAGCTCTGCCAGGAATTGGTTGTGGAACATTAAAACCTCTTACAGGAAAAGGTTGTGGAACATTAAATCCTCTTCCAGGAACAGGTTGTGGCGCATTAATACCTCTTCCAGGAGCAGGTTGTGGAACGTTAAAACCTCTGCCAGGAATAGGTTTTGCAACATTAAAATTTCTGCCAGGTACAGGTCGCAACCATGGTGAAGCTCTAGGTGGAAAACCTTGAAATGCTGGGTAACCCTTGACATTAAAAGCTGAAGATCAACATGTTCAAATGTATGTTACTGATTTCAGCTTAATGGGAACTTCTTAAATTTCACAAAATTAAATAGCTTCCTCAAAGTTTAAAATAAATTTGTTCTAAGATTAAGGGCATCTGTTCAGGAAACAAAAAGTTCTTATCAAATTGACCAATGCCTCATATTAAAATGTCTTTTGTTAAATTCATGTTTGATGATTACAACCAACGTTTTTTAGAGACTTATTATGAAATATGTTTAAAAAAATTATTTTTGGAATCAATATTAAGTCTTATTTTGAACAGCCTTACACTTAGACTTTTAAATGTGTATTTGTTTCATGCTTCTATATGTGTAACGCTGCTATACAATTCTGCTATTAACATTTTTTCAAGATAACACTAACTCCAAGTGAACTTCGATGTAAAGGGTTTGCAATGAGATATATTTCTGTATTTTTATTTAGTTCCTGTGGCATCAAATCAATGGGTAACAAGTTAATGATTTTTAAATTAGCCTTTGTTATTATATTTTGCACATTCTTAGAATTGACCTCCTACCTTGTGTCCGTCTATAAAGTTCTTCCAGTTGTGCAAATTTGGCCCTGAGTGCCTGCTGGTGCCAGAGTGCTGCCTGTTGAGCTGAGATTAATAATATGACCATATTGAATAGGCTTTACATTATAAAGATGGTTATATAGAAGCCTCATTGCTAGAAATATGGGATGAAGTAGATACCTCATTGGACCCTCACTGAACTGGAATCAGTTATATTATATACTATATCCAATTTACCATCCAACTACAGTATATTTACTCAAATAATATTGAATAGCTTCATAACTTACATTAGAAATATTCACAATTCTGCAATTAATATTTTGGGATTAATCAACATCAGCAAGATGTTTCATACTATATATTACATATTGTGAAAGGTCTCTCCATGTCACATCTCTAAAAAGTCTGGTTAAAATAAATCTAAACAAATGATGCATTGGATATATAGTTATCTACTCTATTTTAATGATTCAATTTTATCAAGTTCAAAATAATATTTTGACATATTATTTTAAGCTTTAAAATTAAATCCAAATGATTTTGAAGAGAAATCTTCCCGTACCCCATGGATCATAAGAAGCAGTGATTGGACTTTGTCTTGGTTCCATGACAGGACGATTGCTGGCCTGTGACATCAATCGTTGCTGAATAATAAGTAAGTGTTAATTCAATTAATTTACATAATTTTATTTTTAATTGCAAAAAAATAACTAAACGAAAAATGATTACGAAAGAATTACACAGCTTTTTAAAATGTCCAAAAAGATTACCAGACTAAGGCAACACATTGACTCATCCTGTCTCTGAACACAACGTATTAAAATAAGGATGATTTCTTCTTATAATCATTTACTAATAATAATCCAGCATCAGATTAAGATTTTTTTCACAGTTTGTGTAGCCTACCTGCTGTCTAAGAATCTCAGCATCTTGTACTGCCATATCACCATAACGGCCATATGTGGTGGTCACGGGAATGGCTGGACCAGATGATGGGTTGGGGGCAACAGTCTGGCTAGTTTCTTGAATATGACACAATTTTCCCACATACTTCACATTCCCCGTTGGGCACCTGCATTTCTTTAAGAAAATCATGAAAGAAAACAATTAGTTGTCATTAAGCTTTATCTTAAATGGGAAAATGAAATTCAAAACTAACATTTAATTTAATAGCTTTAACATGAATAATAATATTCAAAATTTAATTATATAAATGCTATTTTAAGACTTAACTTTATAAATTTAATTCACAACTATAATTATAACTAATAACTAGCTCTCTTCAATTGTCTGTAATTCAGGTGATACAAAGTCAAGATCATTTTAATAATATATGCACAGCATAGTCATTATAAATTAAATAAGATCAATAATTGTCTTTCTAGAGGATTTATTTAGGAAGGAAATAGAATGCTTAAATGCAAAATGTTTAAAATTAGTTAATATTGAATGAGGCCATCTAATTAACTTACTTGTTGTCCATCCTCAAATGTCAGCTGTCCACCATTTACACATGGGGAGTTGGCAGTGATATCAGGGGAATCTTGGATTGGCTGATCTGTCAAGATTGATAATGATCCAAATATTAATTTGAAACAATCAAGGAATTAATGTTTGATTGTTAATCAAAATTAATTTTAACATTTAATTATAATTATATATTTCTTATATTAAAGCATGAAATACAAATGAAATTTTCACTTTTTAAAAAAAAAAATAAACCAAAATGTTTATTTACTCTGGTCACAGTTCTGGTCCCATGGACAACAGATTTGCACTCGCTCATATGTGAGCTGGGGCATAAATGCACGCTGGTTTCTGACAACCCAGCCATCACTGTTGACAAATATGATTACAGTATTTGAAAAAAATAATATTAATTAAAATTGAAAAATTAATGGTAAAATATGTATTTTTTTTTAAAATTCGATACAAAAACATGTTTTATACTATATGCAACTATATTACTAAATAAAAGTGTATGTTGACGTTTTACTAAAGCTTGCAAATAAATATGTTTAGGGAGCCACCTTTCTAGTTTCGCAATGACACTCTGGTCAGCATTGTACAAAGCTTGTGGTATTGGTGATATCTGCTTTGTCTTAATGTTATACAGCGTTGGAATTTGAACCTGGGCCTGTCGTGATCGTCTAGCCAGGCCAAAGCACTGTGACTGAGAGTAATTAATCGTCACACTTTGTTGATTGGGCCCTTGGAAACTGATGAGGAAGAAACAAAAACTTGCAATCAGACATTAATAGACAATATATTTTATTAATCAACGGCTTGGCCTATTTACAGACCAGCCAAACTCATATACAGGCAGAAGCCTAGGGGCAGACGACTCATTGGTCGCCCAAGGATGAGGTGGATTGATGATGTGGAGACAGATTTACACCAGTTAGGGGTTCGAGCATGGAGACGGAAAGCCATGGATCGCTCCGAATGGAAGGATGTGGTGGAGCAGGCCAGGGCCCTACATGGGCTGTAGTGCCATTGATGATCGATTGATTGATTGGCCTATTTACAATTGCCACAGCGACCAAATAAATGTAAAAATCAACAATTGGGACCAATTAGCCCCCCTCCCCACACAAAAAACCCTCATTTTTACGGTCTGTCAACAATGGCTTAACTTCAGTTATATTAATATTTCAATTATTAAAAATAAAAATATGTTGACACTTTTACTTAGACATTATTTGGATATAAAATACAGCAATTAGGATCAAATAATACAACTTTTACCCAAGGTGCCAAACATGTAGACTTCCATTTTGTAAATCTTTATGTTAATATTATTTTGGTTTCATAATAACATAATTGTCCAAATGATTATATTTGAGACTAAATCACCCAAATAAACAATTTAAAAAGTTGCACAGAACAATCCTACGCCTGACATTTAATTCAGTCAAATGGATATCGTTTTAACAATTAATCTTAGTAGCACATTAACTGCACGAGGGCTTCTTTTTTGTTTGGCTTCACATTAATAGTTTTAAAAAATATAATATATATTACGACTACTTCCTTGAACTCATGATTATATTAGTATTAGCAATACAAATGTGACTCAGGGCACTCCCGCGTATCTTTTGATATAACTGGATTTTTCAGCAACAAATGAACAAATGAATAATAACGTATTAGAAGTAACAATCTGTTTCTACAAGAAAAATACCACATCATGGTCTTTCCTGTTTTGCGGCTGCTGAATTTTTAAGCGCGAATTCCCACCACCTATGCTCATCATTGATGGCCATTATGAAAAGAGACAGTTTAGACAACTTCATCTCACATAGTCCACTCTGAAACCTTGGAATAGTCGGAAAGTTTGAGCCACCACCAAGCCATCGTTTACTTCCCGCAGTCAGCGACGGTCGATAAAATGTACCCAGAAGTATCCCCTCTCCCAAAGGTCACTCAGCACAGACGCATCAGGTATAATCATTTGAGCAACACTTTTAGATACAAGATGGTTAACCAATGCAAGATAACCTGTGCCAGGTTACCACTGCCAACTTAATCGATGCCAAATATGAGCCAATTAGTTGACCAATGGCAGCTAACCGATGTCAATTAAATGACAGCTAACGAATGACAGACAATCAATGCCAATTAACCAAATGCAGCTAAACAATGACAGACAACCAATGACAACAAATGACGTTTAACCAATGACAGACAGCCAATGACAAATAACCAATGACAGCTAACCAATGATAGACAACCAACGTCAAGTACCCAATGATAGATAAAGTCAACAGAAATTGGATGTTGTACTGGTGACCATCAAGAAACATCCATGATTAAATTTTCTATGAGATGAGTTACAACAATTAAGAAAGGAGTTGCGGAGGAGGAGGGGGAACAAAGACACAATAAGAGACTTTAAACACAGGGGTATAGGGGCAAAGATGGCGTATCAAAGTGGCAAAGATGGAGGTCCAGCCTCGGGGACGGGGGTGGGGGTGGGGTGGAGCACTGTCATCGTGAGATAAAATACAAAATTCAACGGGAGTAAAATAACTTCCGACTCCCTGGCGTTATAATTATATACGATACGGGGGAAAAAAAACAAACTCAGCAAGAGCTAGTTGAAGTTTCTTCCAAATAGATAGCATAATTTGAGAAGACTGCCACGTAAATCTTACTTAGCAGACAATTTGATACGTTTACTCTTCAAAAAATAAATAAATCTCTGGGTTCTGGAGAGTCTGGCACAAAAAATCAAACCCCAGAGATATTTATAGATCCAGAGTTTAAGTCTTAAAGAGATTGTTACGACTCTTATTAACACAAATTATGGCAATACCCCACACCCCCACCCCCCTTTAACTACCAATATGAAAATGCTACTACCTCCAACATCTCCCATTAACACCAATTATGGCAATGCCCCCCACCCCAACTCCTCCCATTAACACCAATTATGGCAATGCCCCACATCCCAATTCCTCCCATTAGCACCAAATATGGCAATGCCCCACACCCCAACTCCTCCCATTAACACCAATTATGGCAATGCCCCACACCCCAACTCCTCCCATTGGCACCAAATATGGCAATGCCCCACATCCCAACTCCTCCCATTAGCACGAAATATGGCAATGCCCCACACCCCAACACCTCCCATTGGCACCAAATATGGCAATGCCCTACACACCCAAACCCCCCATTAGCACCAAATATGGCAATGCCCCACACCCCCAACCCCCCACATTAGCACCAAATATGGCAATGCCCTACACCCCCAAACCCCCCATTAGCACCAAATATGGCAATGCCCCACACCCCAACTCCTCGCATTGGCACCAAATATGGCAATGCCCCACATCCCAACTCCTCCCATTAGCACCAAATATGGCAATGCCCCACACCCCAACTCCTCCCATTGGCACCAAATATGGCAATGCCCCACATCCCAACTCCTCCCATTAGCACCAAATATGGCAATGCCCCACACCCCAACACCTCCCATTGGCACCAAATATTGCAATGCCCTACACCCCCAACCCCCCACTAGCACCAAATATGGCAATGCCCCACACCCCCAACACCTCACATTGGCACCAAATATGGCAATGCCCTACACCCCCAACTCCTCCCATTAGCACCAATTATGGCAATGCCCCACACACCCCGATACCCCCCCCCCAAACTAATACCAGTTATGACAATGCCTACCACACACGCACAGCAGATGTGTACGTTTTAGTTGAAAAATGAAAATGTCCCTTTTTTAGTCACAGACATATATTAAATGCGAACATGTAATGTCTTTGCCCTGGAGAGGACACGCTAATAACAGATGACTTATGTAATACTATCTTGGTATCCTTTCCTAGGATGAAAGTGAATTTCATGATTTCAACTTCAACTAAAGTATGGTTACGCTTCTTAAATTTAACCGTAAAATAATCTTTTAAAAAAAAATAGTAAAGGATAATCACAAACCAAAATGTTTACATCTGACACAGATAAAACATCTGGCAACACTTGATATAAGTTGAAATTTAAAAAAAAAAACAACAACAGCAACACGAAAATGTCAGTTGTGAACAACACACAGCATGCATTTATATTTACATATTTAAAGTGGAACTAATTATACCAGAGATACTTTGTAGGTGATGTCAACAAAGGCTCAACAGTCACTAATCTCCCCCCCCCCCCCCTCCCCTTTTTTTTTTTTTTTTTTGGCCAACTGCAGAGTTTTTTTCTTAGACCTGGCTGGGGGGTGACTTAATTTTTGCCACCCCCCCCCGCCGAAACTTACCCAAGCTACGCCCCTGCGGAACACTTCCGCGCCAAGTCGGGTGATGTCTTCTGTGGTAAATAATTTTTTATGGCTTCTTCGCACAACTTACAAGTACAAGTCGCCCGGCAATTAGATGGGGGCGACAAAAATATTCCCTTTCTTTCTATCCCCTAAATGACAGGTTTTGAAGGAAAAAAAATTTAACTCCTTAAAAGCATGTCTAAATGTAATGACTTTATTTGCTTCATAACCCACAGATGGGCCAACTACGTTCCCCAACAATCAAGTAAGCTGTTGGTCTACTATAGGCGGACGTTTACAGCGAACAACATGCGTCACATCATTCATCTCCCCTGAAACACTTAGGCATGCTAATGAGGATGTTTGCATAGCCTCCCTTTTACAGAAAATTTAGACACGATATTTTGGACCCAACGAGTCGAGTTTTGTTGTTGGAATTATGAAAAGTTTAAAGTGTCAACAGTTTAATTGATGGCATGTGGGGCGTTAGAATAGAAACTTATGTGTGTGAGTGTGTGTATGTGGTTATGCAATCAGAAGTGTAACGGGCTGGATACGAGAGGCGCATCTCATAGGTGTATCTCGTAGTCTTAGGGAACTTTACAGGAGCCATAAATAAATGAATAAAGAAATAAATAATGTGTGCTGAAAGAAATAAGATCGTGCAGAGGAGTGGGACAGATTTTGAAGGAATGCACATTTGACCAACAGCGAGGATTTTGTCGGCTCTACTATTAATAGATTTTAATTCGTTGTATGTTCTTTGTTGAGATTCATAATTAAAAGAAGAAAACTTGAATAATGCTAATATAAATTATGTTGTTGTGAATCGAGTCCTTGTTGCAAATTTAGTCATTGTTGTAAATTGATTTATTATTGTAAATTGAGACCTTGTTGTAAATTGAGTCCTTGTTGCAAACTGAGTCATTGTTGTAAGTTGAGTCCCTGGTGCTCGATACACTAAATCAGCTGTAAATTACGTAACAGACAGCAGGAGTAATTGTAGTTTTTATTAAAAATTATATATATTTTTTATAAAGGAAGATCTCCACAGTATAATTGGGCCTTTCTCTCATTCTTTCCAGATAGTTAGCTTATATACATATGTTTGTATGTAATTATGTATATAAGCCTAAAAATAATACGATGCAGTTTTAAAGTCTACCTATGCCTGTTGATGGTTTAAGAAACACTTGGAGCCCATAGCCCAAGGACCGCAAGCAGTTCTTTGGAGAACTGCCGAAGCATGTATTTGGGAAGAGAGATAACAGCTGTTTCCTATTCGAGGGAGCGTACTGCAGCTCAAAGGTGGTGTGAAACGTGATGAAACGAATTTTAAAAAGCAATGGGCGCTCCACGGAATTAACATCACAAATTCACTGACGTCATCAAGCAGCCCCCCCCCCCCCCCCCCCNTACTGCAGCTCAAAGGTGGTGTGAAACGTGATGAAACGAATTTTAAAAAGCAATGGGCGCTCCACGGAATTAACATCACAAATTCACGGACGTCATCAAGCAGCCCCCCCCCCCCGCGCTACTTATTCAAGGACATGTCAGATGGAAAGGGCCCCATGGCAAAACGGAGTGAGAGGCCCGCCTCTCAACGAAACAATTAATGAAGTTCACCGAAATCAAGACTTTCCACATAACCCAGTGCTCGGCAAATCGCTGCTCGTGAGTCGCATGCGGTTCTTAAGCGACATGAGTGTGGCTCGGCCAGTCGGCCACAAATGTTTTTTGATAGATTCTTGAAAATAAATGTGGCTCTCAAATTTTTTTAAAATCATTCTACTGCGATTTTTGGCTCTTTTGACTAATGAGTTTGCCGACCACTGGCGTAACCCAACCTTCTGAAGATAACAGCCCAATTCAGTCAGTTATCGGAGTCTTAGTTGCACCAGCCCAATTCAGTCAGTTATCGGAGTCTTAGTTGCACCAGCCCAATTCAGTCAGTTATTGGAGTCTTAGTTGCACCAGCCCAATTCAGTCAGTTATCGGAGTCTTAGTTGCACCAGCCCAATTCAGTCAGTTATCGGAGTCTTAGTTGCACCAGCCCAATTCAGTCAGCTATCGGAGTCTTAGTTGCACCAGCCCAATTCAGTCAGCTATCGGAGTCTTAGTTGCAATTTGTTCGACCTTGAACCTTTAAACTCTCCATAAGTAGTTTTTGCAATGCGATACATGAAAGTTGCCAATTATTAATTATATATCTTGACACGTGGTTTACAGCAGATTTAGGAATGTCATATTCTGGAGCTCATTATTTCCCAATGCGGCGACTACGCCAAAAAAATCTACCATAATGACTCATCACTAATTTTAAACCGATTGAGAACCTTGGACGTTATATAACGTACATTTTAAAATATTAATGGGGAAAAAAAATCCCATCACGTGTTCTTTTAAAATTTAATGAAGGTCTGCGTGGACGTTGTTAAGTAGATGATTGATGGCTGTCATTGGGAGGATCGCCCTGAGAAGGAAGTTAATACATTAACCGAAACTCAAAGGTGCTTAGTAGTCATAAGATCACGTGATAGTAGACCCCCAGGGGGGGCGTGGTGTAGGGGTGGATGGGGGCAGTCTTGTTAGCACGTCAGGGGCTTAAGGAGAAATTCACAGCTTTGAAAATACGGTCAATTGTGGACTTCTGGTTAAAAAAGGGACAGAGGCGTAGCGAGGGTTTTTGGCGCCCGGGGACAAGATCCATTTTAAAGCGCCCCCTTTTCTTTTTTTGAACTCTCAAACCGATTATTTTTACCAATAATATAATATCAAAGCACATTTTGGCGCCCCTAACTAGCTTGCGCCCGGGGACATCTGCCCCCCCTGCCCCCCCTCACTACGCCTCTGGGTAGGGTCGACCTTACATTTATTTTAAGATTTGTACAAAATGTGCAGACATTTTTTTAATTTTATTTTTTTAATACAATTTCTGAATTTCACTGAAGTAAACATTTTTTTTTTAAAATCTCAAATTTAATGTCTGTAGAAACAAAGAAAACTAGTAGAGCAACTTATGTTTACATGAAGAAACTATAAGAACAGTTTATATTTAAATAAAGAAACTATTAGAGCAGTTTATGTTTACATGAAGAAACTATAAGAACAGTTTATATTTAAATAAAGAAACTATTAGAGCAGTTTATGTTTGAATAAAAAAAAACTATTAGAACAGTTTCTAAGTTTCTTTATTTAAATAGAAACTGTTCTAATAGTTTCTTTATTTAAAATTAGAACAGTTTACATTTAAATAAAGAAACTATTAGAACAGTTTATGTTTGAATAAAGAAGCTATTAGAACAACTTATGTGTAAATGAAATAAAACTATTACAACGGCTTATGTTTTAATATAAAAAAATGTTACAATAATTAATTTTTTTCCCCCATTTATTTTAAAGCTGAAGGTTACAATGATAAGTAGAATGTGTTCTATTTTGTTCTGAGGAGGTGCATTAATAGGGAAACATTTCCAACCCTCTTTTAAAAGGTCTGAACGAACATCTCGGGACGGGCGGGTTGGGGGGGGGGATGGTGTTTCACCTTTTTCAAAAGTTTATCTCCAGGCCTAGATCGCCATTTAAGTAAAGGCCAACACCCACCAAGTTCTAACACATTCCAGTCAACGTTATTGTCTTCAAGGCTCACCAAAGGGAGACTACACGTGTGCCGATAGGGAAGACGTGTAAGTTAAATCCAGGGATTTGGGGGAGGAAAAAAAAGGGAGGGGGGGAGATGTTGTGGGCCGAGAAACCAGTTGTCTCAGTTCTATTTTACTACAGGCGTCATTAGTTTCTCAAACAGATCAAATGTCATCGATTGTTTCTGTAACACAACCAAAGCTGTAACAATACTTATAGTAACTTCTGGCTATCAAATAAGTCCCACAATAACTATAGTAACTTCTGGCTATCAAATAAGTCTTACAATAACTATAGTAACTTCTGGCTATCAAATAAGTCTTACAATAACTATAGTAACTTCTGGCTATCAAATAAGTCCCACAATAACTATAGTAACTTCTGGCTATCAAATAAGTCTTACAATAACTATAGTAACTTCTGGCTATCAAATAAGTCCCACAATAACTATAGTAACTTCTGGCTATCAAATAAGTCCCACAATAGCTATAGTAACTTCTGGCTATCAAATAAGTCCCACAATAACTATAGTAACTTCTGGCTATCAAATAAGTCTTACAATAACTAACAAATTCGGATACGATAATTGTTGAGCAACAAACCTGACAGTGAAGAATTCAAAAAATAAAGCTGAGTACTCAACTTAGACAGGAAAGTGTCCAACTAGTAAAGAGGTTCTAAACTAGGACATGAAAGTACTGATAGGACAGAAAAGTACTCAAGTAGTACAGAAAAGAACTAAATTAGTACAGGAAAGTACTCAATTAGAACAGAAAAGTACTCAATTAGTACAGATAGGTTCTTCAACTAGGACACGAAAATACTCAACTAGCACAGGGAAGTACTCTGAAAATAAAGGAAAACTCCACCAGACTTAATTCTACATTGCAATCTGTAACAAAGTTTCAAGTCTTTTTGGTTTTTTTAAAGTGAAATTCAAGAAAAGTTGGAGGGACATTCTACCAATCAAGTCTAAGGGACATTCTACCAATCAAGTTGGAGGGACATTCTACCAATCAAGTTGGAGGGACATTGTACCAATTACCCCCTGCCAGGACAGTTAGAAAAATACAGTAACAGAGAACAAAAAAGCTATCAGATAATGTTTTTTTTAAAAAACAAACTATGTACACAATTTTCGTGGATGAGATTGTGAGATGCTGCGAAGACAGATGGCACTAAATAAAACCGGGCACGAGTAACTATGTTGAGCAATATGCACCGTCCTCACAATCATGCACACACGTACAAGTCGTATAGTTGACACATAAGTAACAAGGCGAATTCACAAGGGACTCAAATTCACACAAATAGGTTCAAATATTAAGTGTCATTGTTGACAAATTAATCAGTGTCTAAAAGTTATCGATGAATTTCAATGTTGATTCTTTTCAAGTTTTAACAGAAGCAAAATATTTAAATTCTTCTCTTTTCGCAGCATCCATGTTATCAAGCAAATAATACGTCGAAAAGAAGAATGGATTGTTGGGTTATCCATAATATCCACCGGGAAAGGTAGGGAGCAAACCCAGGACCCTGGTCCTTAGACTCAGGATCCTAGACCTATGACCCTAGACCCAGGACCCTAGACCCAGGACCCTAGACCCAGGACCCTAGACCCAGGACCCTAGACCCAGGACCCTAGACCCAGGACCCTAGACCCAGGACCCTAGACCCAGGACCCTAGACCCAGGACCCTAGACCCAGGACCCTAGACCCAGGACCCTAGACCCAGGACCCTAGACCCAGGACCCTAGACCCAGGACCCTAGACCCGATCTTTAGAGGCTTCCGAAAATCATCGTCGGTTTTTGAAAGACAATGATATTATACCTCATTATAGGCGCATTTCATAATTTTATCGTAATTTTGCACCTGGCCCTGGAAATGACGTCATAGTTATGTCCTTAATCCACCATAATTTTCACATAAAAGATAAGATTGCTATATTTATAGACATTTGTTTAAAGTAAAATTAATGTACTCCACAATCATACCAAAACAAAACTATATCTATGACAATTCATCATCTCATCCACACAAAGGCTTCGCCAGCCCTTTGCAACGCCTACCGAAATGTCAAGGGCCGTTGTGTGTCATTTGTAATATTTTGTAAGCAATGGCGGATACATTATTTTTAAAAAAAGAAACACAGTTACCATGCTTGAAAGGGGACTGGTCACCTCAATCAATGTACTTATATCTGCTTTATCTTATAATTCAGTCGAGATTGCTATTCCATGATCGGCTTAGTATTCGTTGAAGTGTACATAGCTACTCCATCGTTTCGCGAAGCCGGAAGAATGCCCTGCATATCTTTCTGACACTGTTATCTTCTTCTCTCATAGATACACCGTGAGCCCGTACACTGTCACCTCCACCCCACACTCTCACCCAACCCACCCCTGACCAGGACGCCCTTCTCTTTGTGTTCCATTATTTATTAATATTTTTTAAAACGTTTGTTTCGTTCCTTGTTTTATCATTGAAACAAATATTTCGCCAAAGAGAACGTGTCGTCATTTCCTGTTCATCAATTAATCTCGAAGCCTTTTCTTACTTCCTTTGTTTAAAAAAAAAGAAAAGCTGGCGTCCATATAATACCACTATGTCTATCGCCCGTTACGACACTTGCCCTTGAGCAGAACCTACCTATGACAACATATTGCAACTTTCAGCCCATCAAGTAACTGGCGTGGTCCAAGCGTGTTGTCTGCAGAGCTAATGGGCTTGCATAATTAAGCGGACATGTTACTTGGTGACGGCTGGGCCTGAGATAAATTATTCGAGTATTTTCTCGGATATTTGTGTCCTTCGCATTTACCTCCGCGGTGTAAGAAATACCGCCGGGAACTCCGCTGCTTTCGTAATACTCAAGACACGATGCTACATCCAGGTTAAGTCGACTAAAGGTTTTTCTTTGACCTTTCATTGTTATGATAAGGAGGGAATAATAATACAGTGTCTCACGGTGGGACAGTCCTAATGCAAGCCCCCAGAATAGAACAGTCCTAATGCAAGCCCCCCGGGTGGGACAGTCCTATTGTAAGCCCTCAGGGTGGGACAATCCTAATGCAAGCCCCCAGGGTGGGACAGTCCTATTGTAAGCCCTCAGGGTGGGACAATCCTAATGCAAGCCCCAAGGGTGTGACAATCCTAATGCAATCCCCCTGGTTGGACAGTCCTAATGCAAGCCCCCCCGGGTGGGCCAGTCCTAATGCAAGCCCTCATGGTAGGGCAGTCCTAATGCATGCCCCCAGGGTGGAACAGTCCTAACGCAAGCCCCCAAGGTGGAACAGTCCTAATGCAAGCCCCCAGGGTGGGACAATCCTTTTGCAAGCCCCCAGGGTGGGAAACAAAGCATTGTAGATCGCGTGTTTTCCCCCATCTACGTGTATCTTTGTTAGGCCTCCGCCTGACTCTAACGTAGACACAAGTGTGTAATTTCGCTGTTAAGTGTTAAGTGCCTTTTCGATGTCCTATCGCAAGCCCCCAGGGTGGACCAGTCCTAACGCAAGCCCCCAGGGTGGGACAGTCCTGTTCCAAGCCCCCAGGGTGGGACAATCCTATTGCAGGCCCCCAGGGTGGGACGGTCCTATTGCAACCCCCAGGGTGGGACAGTCCTAATGCAAGCCCCCAGGGTGGGACAGTCCTAATGCAAGCCCCCAGGGTGGGACAGTCCTAATGCAAGCCCCCAGGGTGGAATAGTCCTAATGCAAGCCCCTAAGGAGGGACAGTCCTATTGCAAGCCCCCAGGGTGGGACAATCCTATTGCAAGCCCCCAAGGTGGGACAATCCTATTGCAAGCCCCCAGGGTGGGACAGTCCTATTGCAAGCCCATTGATTTTAGCTACACGAACAATGCTCTTGTAAAACACTCTTCAGTTGTGAGATGGATTCTAGCTCTAGGAAATAATATGTGTGTGTGTGTGGCTGTCTGGCCCTTGGAGTTCAACATGTTTGACCATTCGCAGACCTGTTTAATCATGGGCTCGTATCAAGGTAGTGTTAGCTTTTTAAGAAAAAGTAGTTTAAAGAACCAAAGGGTAGTTTGGTCAATTAGCTGATTTTGGAAACGGGGGAGTGGGGGGTCGCTGGTTTGCAATCAAATTGCAAGTTGTCTCTCCGCCCCCCACCCAAAAAAAAATAAATAAATAAAAATAAATAAATAAAAATTATACTGATTGGTGCACTAAGATGATGACCACAAAGACCAACCAACGGTATTCTCATTCGATTGCTTACGGTGTTAACACAAAAAAAATGCGATCAATTTTTACTGAGAACAATTTACTTCAACAAACCTTGCTCACCAATTTACTTCAACAAACCTTGCTCAACAATTTACTTCAACAAACCTTGCTCAACAATTTACTTCAACAAACCTTGCTCAACAATTTATTTCAACAAACCTTGTTCAACAATTTACTTCAACAAACCTTGCTCAACAATTTACTTCAACAAAACTTGTCCAACAAGTTACTTCAACAAACCTTGTTCAACAATTTACTTCAACAAACCTTGTTCAACAATTTACTTCAACAAACCTTGTTCAACAATTTACTTCAACAAACCTTGCTCAACAATTTACTTCAACAAACCTTGTTCAACAAGTAACTTCAACAAACCTTGTTCAACAATTTATTTCAACAAACCTTGTTCAACAATTTACTTCAACAAAACTTGTTCAACAATTTACTTCAACAAACCTTGTTCAACAATTTACTTCAACAAACCTTGTTCAACAATTTACTTCAACAAACCTTGTTCAACAATTTACTTCAACAAACCTTGTTCAACAATTTACTTCTTGTTCAACAATTTACTTCAACAAACCTTGTTCAACAATTTACTTCAACAAACCTTGTTCAACAATTTACTTCAACAAACCTTGTTCAACAATTTACTTCAACAAACCTTGTTCAACAATTTACTTAAACAAACATTGCTCAACAATTTACTTCAACAAACCTTGCTCAACAATTTACTTCAACAAACCTTCCACAACAATTTACTTCAACAAACCTTGTTCAACAATTTACTTCAACAAAACTTGTTCAACAATTTACTTCAACAAACCTTACTTTGCTTCAACAAAATACTTTGCTTCGCTACCGATTCAAAATTCACTGATATTGTAGATGTATATACATTAAATAGTAAATATGATTTATAAAAAAATAACAATTGATTCTGACAGATTTAAACCTGTCTTAGATACCCAAATCAGACAAACATATTTATATAAATAGGGTGATAATAAAGCTGATAGTAGGTCGAATGAAAGAAATAATATTAGCGTTTTAAAAATATTTTTTTTTAAAGTTAGAACCATAAAATATTTCATTGTATCGGAGTTTCTTATTAAGATTTTTAAAAAGATATAAAACATTCAAATCACATCTTTATTTTTAAAGAATGTAAAGGGTAAAAATTCAAAGCTTTGATTTTAAAGAATATAAAGTATCACAAAAATCGCTCTGTTTTTTTAAAAAGATATAAAGCATCAAAATCCTTGCTTTCTTTTTAAAATTTATTTTTACGACACAAATGTTTGGGGTGTGGGGTGTGGGGTGGAGGCAGGGAGGTAATGGTGATCCCAGCTGGAGTAACAGACTTAAACAGGATTCAAAACTTATCACCTTAAACCAATAGGAATCAGATATGTGATGGAACTTATGGAAAGTTCTAAAACATTTCGAGCCACTTGAAGATCTTGTTTTCAAATTTTGTTTTTTTTAAATGAGTAATCATCCATTAGAAATCGTTCATTCGTGTAACATTATTTCAGAACCTTGACCTTTGTTGCTTTAAATAATATCTGAACCATAAAATATTATCAATATTTATTTTATTGAAAAACAAAAATTATATCAGAGAATACAAAATTTAATTCTTACAAAAAATAAATTTAAGAAAAGCAAGAAATGAAAATGAAAGTTGTAACAATGACGCCCCGAGAGGTGCATGAAAATACCGGCGCGGAATTCCCCCGAAATATCCATTACACGAAGATCCCGCTGATAGTAACCCTAGCAACGTTAGTACTCACCTTTGGACGTCCCACCTCTGGGCAGCGCACACCGCCGCGAGTAGTGCGAAGAGCACGTGGCACAGCATCTTGACCACTCACACTCTGGAGGCTGATCTAAGAGTTCTGACGACCCTCAAACAATCGTCTCCAGGGTGACTTGGTGAAAACAGTATTGAACCGGACAGCAATACAGAACGTCTCCGGTGGATATATTTACGTCAGCAAACTGTGCAAAGCTACAACCCCTGGTAGCTACAACCTTCCCTGCGTGTTTAGTTCGGGGGTAAATTCCTTATCTTAGTCGTCCGACAAATTTAAGGCCCCGGGGGCCCTGGGGAAGGGTTTGACACGGTTGGGGGAGGTTTACGGGCGGGCATGTGTCCACAGGTAAAGAAGAGCCGTTGGCAGGCTGCGTGACGACATTAATACATGGAGGGAGACAGGTTAGAAAGGATTTATTGTAAATTGCTCTGTTTTGTACTGCACTAAACGGTTTAAGACCTTCTCTGTGTGTGTGTATGTGGGGGGGGGGTGCATATACATGGCAGGAGACAAACAAATGTGGACTTTTTTGTGTGTTGTTTAAATCCAATAATTCGACCTCGGCCTAAACCCTGGGACCAACATAGCTAGGTTTTTTAATCTACTTAGATCGACATTGAATCTACGAATAAGACCATGAAGGGATTTTCAAATTAATTTTCTGGATACACAAAAACTGAAAATAAATTTAGCACTTCTGCCAGACAAATTGTATCTAGTTTAAATTTCAGTATTTGGCTTTTCGTTACCAGTGTCAAACCAGCAGAATGACAACCCAGCATATTTTCAACCCCGCAAAGTGTCAACTCAGCACAGGGTCAACCCCGCACAGCGTCAAACCCACACAGCGTCAAACCAGGAGTGTCGACCCAGCACAGGGTCAGTCCCGCAGGTCCAGCTGTAACGAAAATGACGAGCTCTTGTCACCAGATCAAATGCCAGAATCTTTCCTCCGACAAACATGACAAGTGACACGAATGAACACGAAAGCCTTCTTGGTTATTTGATGGTGCTCGCCGCTGAGACGGAGCCGATCTTTACTGGAATCGTAATCGTAGAGTTTGGAGTCAGCGTCACGGGATCGGGGTCACGGAGTTGAAGTCACGTAGATGGAGTCACGGAGAAAGAGTCACGGAGCTAGAGTCGCTGAGTTGAAGTCACGGAGATGGAGTCATGGAGTGAGAGTCATGGACTTGAACTCACGGAGATGGAGTCATGGAGTGAGAGTCATGGACTTGAACTCACGGAGATGGAGTCATGGAGTGAGAGTCGTGGACTTGAACTCACGGAGATGGAGTCATGGAGTGAGAGTCATGGTGTTGAACTCACGGAGATGGAGTCATGGAGTGAGAGTCATGGAGTTGAACTCACGGAGATGGAGTCATGGAGTGAGAGTCACAGAGTCACCTGCAAATTCAAGCGGGGATATTTTTTATGTGATGAAATTGAGATGAAACACAAATGAGGTCATATTCGATTTAAATTTAGGCCTATACTGATTGGGAACATCTGCAACCACAAAGAGTACCAAGGTTTAAGTGCGGTTCTTATTTTTACCACACCCCCCCCACCTCACCTCTAAGTTGTTGGGTACTCGCAAGTATCCACCAAAGTAAACTCAGCTAAAATTGTGCAAGCCACCTCTGTCGAAATATGGAAATAACGCTGTGTAAAGTTCAGTTTTAAATACGTGGCCTTTTCAGGGCACAGAGGTCATGACCTTTACAAGAGCTTAGAACGCATTGAGCCAGGTGGGCCATTAGCCTCGCAAAACTTGTTCAATATTAATCTGAATCTCATATATATATATATTGCTTCTGGTGTGGCTGCTTTTGTTTCTGTTTCACAACCGGGCCTCCCCTACTCAAAATGTTTTATATTAATAATACTGAGTGGTGGAAAAAAAAACTGTCAAGCAGTGAGCGTCATGCGTGACGATTGAACTCAGGTAAAAAGGTGGAATTTTTTTTGAAGGCGACTATTATATTAGTCAATAAAGAGCCAAGGTATGATGTAGGACTGTCTGTAGGACTGTCTTAAAGATTGTCCGTCGGCCTATTGTTTAATGGCCGACAGGTAGGGTGTAGGACTCTCTGTAGGCCTATGGTTTATAGAAAATGAGTTAACCTTTTTTTTGTAACGATAAAACCTGATTCATTGTTCAAAACTGTCCCCGGGTAGCCCTAGTATTATTTATGTAGCCAGGTTGTCTAATAAATGGGTTTGCCGATCTGATGGGTGGCGTTATGGGTAGCTGCTGCTACAATACATTGGGTCTCAATTGTTTTATCATGGCGTTCTCCGTTCTTTCTTCTTCCGATCAAAGCTTTTCAATCCCTAAAATATCAGCAATCTTTGGAACACGGAGCAATTAATGGAAGAATTTACATGATGAAATGCATTAAATTCATTTGCTGTTAATTTCATAATTGTTCTATTTCAACTGCTATGAACTGTCCAGGACTAGCAGGAGTGGGGAGACTGGGGATGCGGTAGTTAGGGGCGGCACAATCAAGGGGCACCCTAGGCATCCCAATCTCTTAGATACTCCACTACCAGGCCCGTCAAGGTGGACGAAGGCATGCATCGAATCTTGGCTCTGGAAGGGATTGGACCCCATTCTAAATGTAAAGAAATGAAGAAAACAGAAAAGAAATATGAACATGCAAGACATTGTTTACAAAACCTGGCACATTCCATTTCGATGTTTAACCTGACAACCGCGAGAATAGCTGGTCGACGGTTCTAACTACCCCAACGCTGCACCTTTAGTTTATTTACACAGTGAGTGCCCTATAGTTACAGGGAGGGAAGGCAATGGACAACCCCAGTCAAACGAGACTTGTGATTTCTTCAACCCCATTCAAACGATACTTGTGATTTCTTCAATCTTGTACTTCTTTAACCAAAGAAAATGTTTTAAGTATGTATTTCCATTCTTAATTGTTTGATCAACTTATACTTTGAAATATTTTAACTAAAACAAGCATACTTTAAGCTGTGTCAACTTTGATGTAATCTTAAACATTATGTTTGATGTTGTGTTTATGTTGTGTTGTATCATGTTAGTGTAACGTGGCATAACAACTTGGAAACATGAGATAATCGTGTTTTGGTTATGATTCTTCGATTATCATATTTCAAGAGAAAAATGACGATTTGTGACAAAATATTATTTTGGTGTGATTCTCACATCTCTCAACATCTTTCCATCCTATGCCATCACAGACCTCTCCCTAGATCTACTTCTCACATCTCTCTACATCTTTCTATCCTATGCCATCACAGACCTCTCCCTAGATCTACTTCTCACATCTCTCTACATCTTTCTATCCTATGCCATCACAGACCTCTCCCTAGATCTACTTCTCACATCTCTCTACATCTTTCCATCCTAGGCTTCTCCCCCCTGATCTCCAGCCCCAAAGTTATGAAGCTATCAATCACACGGTGACTAGTTGTGCTGTTAGCCAGGGCATTTCATCCCCGCCCATAGCCAAGGGACACGACGTGGCCGTCGATGATTGGTGGAACTCAAACTGTAATGGATCACGTGAATAAAACCTGGATCTCTTCTGTTTTAAGCGAGTTTTACTTTAGTGTGTCATTGGAGAATAGATGGAAAGAGGTGCATGTCAAATACACAGATGTCACGTTACGGTGGCTCAGAGACTCTAACAGGAACAATTCATTCTTGTTGTGAGGTCACAGGGAGTTGGATGTGATTGCNGTGGCTCGTATTGTATTCAATATGATTTTTTTTTTCAATCAACAATTCAGAGCATTACTCTTAGTAAAAACATAGTCCCATAATTACTCAACTTTATTGGATACACATTAAGTTTGACCCCCCCCCCCACCCACCCAATATACCCTATAAAGTTAGGACCAACAAATATAAAAAAGAGTTTTGTTCTGCAGTCTGTACTGGGATTTATAAGCGTGCTCCACAATCAAGGCTACACAATCTAAATGCTCACTAAATAAATCATTATTGTCATTAAGGGAGTTCATTGATAGCTGATTTTTGCGCCAGAAAAACACTTAAGATGTCTTGTGTTTAAATTGTTATAGTAGTAAAATCGTGTCTTGGTTTTGATATGGATTTATTTGTGTGCTGAAAATTAATTTGTACAAAATAATAAAAACAATTGATTTCAATCAATAAAATAATCTTATCCTATCTTATAATATGCGAGGCAGCAAATGTTCCATTCATTATAACTAATTTGTTTAAGGTATTCCATTATTATGTTTACGAGGCCCCTGTTTCTGGACATTTTTTGTAAATCCACAATCATCCTCATAAGTGATGCTACTGCCCATGTTATCCTTATATTCTGATCCATCAATGGGTCTCTGTCTCCATGCGCGGACCCCAAACTGGTTAAGTCCTTCTCGACATTGCAAATCCACATGCTATATTTATATCTCTATATCTCTTCGTCTCTCTCACTCTATCCTCTCCTGTCATTGACACTATTGTTAAACAAGTGAGACGTGACGAAACCCCAGTCATGTGTAACGGATTTGAGGCTACTAATCTCTACCTTAAATGCATGTGAAACTGCAGCTAACATGTTGAGCCTACTGATTTTTATCAGGTAATGGTCTTCTTTGCCCCTGAAGTCTTTGTCTGTCAAATCATATGTTTCAGTGTTCTAAGACCGACAAGTTCCACTGGCATAACTATACACCGCTTTCCTCGACACTAATTTTTCCACTGTTTAAAATATGATCCCAAGACACACGAGGCAATCTTGAAATAAACAGACAGCGACTACGATATTTCACCTTGTAAACCATCTTTCATTCACAAAAAAAAAAAAAAACAAAAACAAAACATGATCGATGTGTTGGGTTAAGATCTACCTGTTGATTATTGCGATTAAGAAAACCTGTAGCAGCAGCTCAATCGAGTGTATCTACATAGTATAAGAACGTAATCTTAATAATCAGTTGTCCCCAAGCCATCAACCCGTGACTGCACAAATTCAACTTAAATATTTAGTCTCCATGAAACAAATATATATATGCAGTGTATATAAATTAATGCCTCCGTGACCGTGGTAAATATATTTATTGATATTAACCCTTAACGTCCAATTAAAAAAAAAACCGTTGCTGCGGTAGATGGATTATTCTATCTTATAGCCTGTGAAGGGACTGTCCCTAGGCAACCGTTTCGTCCCAGCTACGATGTGACCTAATCACCAACTAGAAGCCACGTGTAGAAATCCCTATCAGAGGGCGTCTGACACCACCCCAGGGTGGGAAGGGGTGTTTTTATGGACGTCAAATGTTTATCCATCCCAGCCCCAAGAGAGTTCGACTGCAGGTGCCATGAGAGCAGCACCAAAGGTCGACCAGGT